AAAAAAAAAGGAAAAAAAAAAAATCTTAAAGAGTTGGAAGAACTCTTAAAAGATCCTCTAGTCTGACTTTGTATAACAATAAAGACTCAAATTCATTGTTTCATATGAAGAATCTAATTGAGTAAATGATTTATTAATTTTTATTTAAAACAAAAGCAGAGGAAAAAGGTTCTGAAGCTCTTCTGCCAAGACTTTTTACATACAAAAAGATGCAGGCAGCAGCTTAAATAGTTATCCTTAACAATTCATTAGTATGTTATGTTTTGAGATTAAAGGTTACATTTCAGGGGGAAAAAATTAAATCTCTGAAAAACAGCCGTCTCAAAAAGGAATTTCCTACAAGTAACCTCAAAGGATGGTTTTTTTATGGTTATGTAAGACCGCAAGTATGATTTACATTTTCGTCAGTATTCTCATTTTTCTCTACAAGCTTCTTTTAGATTACTGTTCAGAAGTTTATTTCCTTACTATGCCTTCAACAACTATTCTCTTTAGGTCTGAAATTACTTTTTTTTTTATTACCAACTGATATTTATAAAGGCTTCAGACAGGATTCTACGCCTAGAACTTAATCAGGAAATGTAAGGTTTCAAGAAATCTAAAACATATCCTACATATTATACCACTGTAACAGGAATCTTCTGGTCTCTGCTTAACTATCTGAAGTGCCTCAATGCTTACTATTTTATAAAGCTGGTCCCTGAAATTAAGAAAAGCCAGGAAATGATAGAGGTATTCAGGAAATCTGGCTGCATTTATCTGTGAAGTTTCACATTTGCTTATATAAAGCTAAGCTAGAAATCTCATTTAGGGACCAGTCTTTTGTTTTAAGCAACACAGACTACCTCTGCTGAGTACTTCTGAATCACCACGGGAGCAGGTACACATTTAAAACACACATTAATGTTTTCTCCTTGACTTTCTTTAGTGTTATTCTTTTTTTTTTTTTAGGTATCGGGAATCCAACTCAGGACCTTGTGCTTGCCAGGCAGGCACTAGTGCTGCTGAGCTATATCCCCAGCCCCTCTAGTGTTATTCATAACTGATTTCACTATTAATTTCATTTACCTGTGTTATGTTATTATCAAGTGGATGATAAAGGCTGGTAATTAATGTAGTCTATGAACTAAATGAAAAAATATCCCAGGACATATTTGATCTAATCATATGAACTGTGAATTGATTCCCTGCAGTGTACAGAAAAATTTTTTAAAGAGTACTGAGATATCCTCTTCCCTGGATATTCAATGTATTTTGTATTCCATGTATTTTGTATTCCATTAACCTTTCAACTGTCTACACTAGATACACAGTTTGTGAAGGTCTGGGAACTAGCGAGGATTTCAAGGTCCAAGATCAATCAGGATCACTGTCTTTACCAACCCACCCCTTTTCTCTCTCAAAATAAAATGCCGCTCCATTTCTTAAGACTAGAAAAAACTCCTTTCAAACTATATACACATGTTATAAAATGCTACCAATAAACCAAGTTTTATCATCTATGGAATACAACTGAACTGATTTTAACACTCTTATTGGTGACCATTATTTTGATTTAAAAATCCAATAGAATTTCAAATACACGTAGTCAAAGCATAATCTTTTATTACCTGGGATTGGGAGGGTATCCGGATGGGTATGCAGAGATTCCACCGGGCATGCTTGGCATGTAGGAGGCTAAAAACAATTTTTAATATTTTAAAATAATATGCACAGTCCTGAATAGGAAGGGTATCACATCAGATATACATCAGTGTGAAAACCACAGCAAAATTTCACACAGAGAATCCAAATCTTCGCTTCAAAACAAACATCTGACCCACACTATTTTTTTACCTCAAGCATAATTCTCAGATCATTAAACGTAAGTTACAATACTCATGAAAACCCCAACAAGAAATAACTGGCAAACAGGTCAACTTGGTCAGCTCAATTAGCTCTCAAGGAGCTGTAACTTGAGACAAGAGGTGGTTCAATTTATAATTGTTTTTCTTTAATGTAGTGGTCAAGTTTACTTGTTTATTATTTTTGTATTTGTTTGAGACAGGGCCTCACGATGTAGTCCAGGCTGGCCTTGAACTCATGGAGATCCTCCTGCCTCAGCCTCCCAACTACTGGTATTATAGGTATGAACCACCACGCCTGGCTCAATTTATAATTTAGAAGAAGGTAATTCTGGCCTCACTTGGTCCAAGATCAGGTTCTTAGAAAGTGATCTCTTTATTATATCTAAGAATTATCTGATATTTCTATGAAGACTGTGTTGACCAATGAGCACAGCTAGTTTTTGTTGGCTTGCCTGAGAACTTTAAGACTTTAACTTAGTATGAGAAGTACAACTCAAAACTTACATTCATGTTTATCTAGATTGGTTAAAAACAAAAACTTGGAAATACTAGAGAAGGACGTTAAAATCATACCATTTTAAAAGAATGCCTTACACTCTCTTTTTAAAGCGAACCCTAACAGCACAGAGCTAAGGTCAGGGTGCCAAGAATCTCATCACAGAAGGAAGAACGTCATTCTGGCCGGAAGTGGCAATGACACTTGCGGAGAATCCATTTTTTCTTAGTGAAACTTTTCTCATTGAAAACAATGGTGAATTAGTTCTTAAGATGACAAATATGTCTGTGTCTTCCGTGTGATAAGAAGCAGGATCTGATGGAAAAGAGGGGTGAGGAGGGAAGAAGAGACTCCCTGGCCTGCAGTTGCCTGCAGTCTAACTAGGGAGAGAAACGAGTAAAGACTAAGCAAGACTGCCCACGCGAGGCGTATCTCCCACATCACCGGGACGCAGGCCACGCACAGTGCTGCACGCAGACCTTCCACCAAGGGAGCCAGTCTCCCCGGACGTGGGCGCGGCCGGAGGCAGGGGGCCCGCCTGCGGGAAGCCTTTCCTACAGCTGCTGAGCACACATCTCCGAGACCAGTGTTAACAGTCACACAGTTAGCGGGAACAGCGATAAGCAATTTGCTTTTTCCAAAGTCCTAAAAAGCTAGCAATTTCACCAAAGCTTTTAAGTTTCAACTCTGGGAAACAAGACCAGCAAGGAAGCAGATAGCAGAGCGCAGTGATTTCGGAGCCAGAATCAAATGCAGTAGTAATGTATTTCATGTGTGAGGAACGGTGGTGACCACGTGAGAGTGCTACGTGAGGTGCGGTAAGCCCCCGACTTAGGAACGTGAGTCGCAGGCTCCCACAGGTATGAACGGACTCGTGACAGATATTCACAGGCAGGAGCAAAGCGAGGAGGCAGATCCGCCTGCCGGACACCGTCACAGCGGTGCTGCTGCGTGCTCACTGTGCAGTGCTCAGTCAGGGCTCAGGAGGGCCGCAAGCGGGGAGATGCAGAGGGGTGCGGAGGGACCGCTAGCAAGTGCAGGGCAATGACCGTGGAAACAAAAGCGACAATGAGACCGAACCGAGTTTATCTGCAATTGCACTGTACTGTACCATTTTAAGGTAACTGTAAAAGTAACAATAGCTTACACTATTTTTGTGTGTTTGGTTTGTGCTTTTACATTGTATATTTGTGTCAAAGGTTAAGATGAACAAATCCGATTTACATTCTCCCACAACGGAACTTGTCTGAAGTTGGGGACTTACTGTACGTAACTATGATTCATAATTAATGCTCAGTAAATGTGGATTATTATTATTGTCAAAAGATGAGGTTTTACATAATGCCTGGTTGATTGATTGACTGATTTATTATGAGGTACTTTTAAAGACTGTTTTAGCAGTTATGCTAGGCTTCCCAGGCTGGCCCTGAACTCCAGGTCTCAAGAGATACTCCTGCCTCGGCCTCCCAAGTAACTAGGACCACAGGAACATGCCATTACTAACAATGTTTATTAATATGACTCATAGCTATCTCAACAGCCATCTTAAAAGAAATAAAAAATGTTCTGAAATAATAAAAAGTATGTAATTTCTCAACTGTAATACTTCTTTAAGTATGTGTCCAAATTTCTTGTCTATTTAATTGTAGGTATGTGTGTGTGGGGGGAAATTCAGACTTTTATTTCTTTAGGGTGCCTAATAATAATAATATATGTTGCCTAAGTGTATAAAATGTATTAAAACTGGACTGGATGGGCAATGGCGTCACTTATGATAATGCGTATAAAAACTGCAATAGGGATCATAGTGTGGTCTCTTTTTCAGTGTCAACATAAAGCTCAAAGAAAGGGAAAAAGTCTTGTTAGGAAACTACCTAACTTTCTGAAAAGCTGAGCTTTGCCTTAAGCAGCCACTGGCTATGTTTTGAGCAGATAAAGAAAAGTACTGAGACTAGAAAATATGGTGTTTGGTATTTCAAACTCCAGTGAGCAAGATTCTCCTCTCCTGGGTACAGGAGACATAGTGTTTAATAAGATAAAAACAACTTCTGATCCCAAAGAATCACTGGGATCTTTAATGGAGATGCTAATCCTAAAACCAATCTTATTCTGGGAAGTTGGGGAAGGAGCACAACAAGTTCTTTCTGTTCGATTCTCATTTATTCGTAAGTCATGAAGGTCCTCAGGAAAGAACAGATTAAAAAGAACAGGCTGATTTTTAGCAGTAAAAAAATGAAAGCTCACATAATCTGCCTTAAAAGGCAAATATGTTCACTTAACTACACTCTTAAGTAAAATACATTAAAAACCAAAATCACAGCTGAAGACACAATAAAATCAATAGAGATTTAATAAAGACAAACCCAGTGAGTACAACCAATTCCCAAATTATTCCGGGTGACTTTAAAGTACCAGTAAGAATTACCTTTTTAAAAAAAGATAATAGGGGTAATACTTATCAATTAGGGGGAGATTTGGTTACCATCGCCCCTACTCACAAGATAGAATCACGAATTGGCTGTACTAAAGAGAAGAAAGCTGAAAGCTAGACATCCAATTCTGTATACCTGGAATAGCTGAATGTGAATGATTTGGCTGACCTTATAGTTAGTTCTCACCCACACACTAATCTGGAATCGCAAAGAGGAAGGTGAGGTCAAACTACCTTCCAAGTTATATCTACTTCTGAGATGATCAATTAAGGCTATTCCATGGCATGCATAATTTAAAAAATTCTAGCTCTACTCCAGCACTTTCTCCTCCATTTTGGAATCCAGCACACACATACTTAGATTTCTACCCACAAATGGAAGCCCAAATGCCAGCCTTTGGTAGGAATCTGTACATGCAGATGTGGGGCCTCTGAACACCTCCAAAAACTCCATTAATTTGACAAGCTAAAAAGCAAAGTTATCAAACATTTTAGAAGGCTGTTTATTTTGTTCAAGTTTTCTAATCAAATCTCAATTTTACTTACTATTTGGCGGCCCTGTTGCCTGGTACGGTGGGTAGGACGCTGGGACAGTAGGACGCGAGAAGACGGGAGGCTCATCTCCAAACACCACGATCATGACCTGAATGAGCCCCAGCAAGTCTGACTGAGGCTAAAAAGGAAAACGAACTCTTGTCAACTGCAGAATCATTCTCCAGCGAGAAGGAAAAGTCTGGCCATTTCTCATCAATTTTCGACTCAGTTTGACAATTTTCTTTGTAGGACCCCAATCATAAAAATGCCATTTAAATTAATTGACTGTAATAAAAGTATGTGATTTTTAATAGTTATTTGTGTATCTGTGGCAAGGCTCTTGCCTCAGATATACAAGAGCATTAGTTAAAATAGTAGATTGCAAAATTCTTCAACTGATTCCATAGAGCTAACCAAAACTTACCTTATTTTCAATGGACAAGTACACTAACATAAACTTAAGGATGGATATTAAACCCTAATCACAATATTACTTGATGCTTTAAAAGATAAACAGAATTACCTTGGAAGTACATGTTCTCAATTTTTATCAAGGATAGTGTTATAAATTAAAATTGTAGGTAGATTAGCTTAGAAAATGCTGGATTAAAAGTTCAAAAGACAGAAACTGTTGAAGGATCTTTCCTTCCAATAACAGTTGTGGACCAAGTGCCAGTTTTGCCGTACAGGTTGCTAAATTTTTTCTCTCAAGTATTTACTGACCACTACTTTAAAACGAACTATGTTAGGTAAAACTGCTGAAACTGGCTTATGATGGTTCAATTTTTACCTATTCTGTAGACCTCATCTTAACTGCTTCTTTCATGAACTCATCAGGGTCTGAAGGGCTAATCATCTTACTCAGCTAATCATCATCATAACCCCTTTTACTTCTGACTACAGTTACCAACAAGAACCAAACTCACTGCATTTGTCTGATTTTGACCCACCTTGCGGACAATGACAATAAATAATACTTCTCAAAGCTTCCTGTGAGAACGCGCTCATTCTCACTGTTCTAATACGTTTCTTTCTTGTGTTTATTTGTACATGTAGTGCTGAGCCTGGAGACAGGGAAGTATGATGTTTTTGTTGCTTTGTTCCTCTTGGTTCTTTCTTGGTGTGCTTGGTAATTTCACACTGCTGGACACTTCGTGGAGTCACACAGGTCTGTATTATTATTTTCCTCTACTAAGAATTCACACTCTCCTGAAGCAGGCAGACATACCAAGGATCATTTTAATAAAATGAGGGACTGAGCTGGCTCATGGCTGGGCTTCCTAAGGCTTGTGTACCTCTGGGTGCCTCTCCTAAGATAAGTTTCTCCAGTGAGGCCAACTAAGAGCCTCCTTAGATCCTTTCTTCTTGGTAAGGCTCGGAATTCCAACTGCATCCTCAACCTGAGGCCGCTCAGCATTTGGCTATATTTTTCAGAGGTTTTCTGCTGAGCTTTTTTAGCATCTTGTCTTTGAAGCTTAGGGATTTAGCATATATCTTGAGGGGGAAACCAAGAGGATCTGACTCACTTCTCTGGGGCATCCTTTTCTCCCAAATCTTGGACCCTAAAGCCCTGGATACCTTGGAAGAGAGAACAGCAACTTTTGTCTTCTCCAGTCATTTTAGGCTGCTTGAAATGCCGCCAGCTTCTCAGCCTCTCGGCTTAAAGCCCTCTGTCCAGATTCTCGGACTCTCAACCTGTGCCAAGTCAGTGACCAGCACGAGGTGGAAAGTCAGGGGCACGATGTTAGCTCGTCTCTTTATGGTTCCCTTCCTGTAGAATCTTGCCTCTTCAAGTCTTGATTGCCTCAACAGCTTCCCAAAGCGTTCCAACAGATATTGTTTGTGTTCTACCTGGCTTTTCTAGTATTTGTGGCAGGATCACTGCTTTGCTAGTTAGACCATCAGAGACAGAAACAGAAGTTCCCAACTATTATTCTTGACAGGACTGCCTTAAATAATGACACCTGAGTTCCACAAATATATTTTACCAGCATATTTTTTAATCCATTTTCTATAATATAAACATAGTCTATTTTTAAAAGTTCAACTTGGGAAAGTAAAATAGTATTTTGTAAATTTATTTTTTTTTTCCCAGTACTGGGAATTGAACCCATGACGTCTCGCTTGCCAGACAGGCGCTATGCCGCTGAGCTAAATCCCCAGCCCCAAAATTTCAAAGCTCTATACAAAAACAAGACGCATTTCTCTCAGAGTTTTTTTTTAATCCGCTCAGCTCAGCATTTAGTCCATTACCTGAACTTATCTAGCCTTCCTGGAATCCTACTGAGTGTTACAGAAAGCAGATGTTAGTAAGCAAAACATAAAATACAGTGAATTCAGACTCCTATGAATACTTACGTGTTTCCATTCATGCAGGTAAGGGAGATAAATTTTCCCATTTGCATCAACATGCTTTCCTGTTTTAATAGTCATTGAACTAGTAGGCTTAACAAAACAAATAGGAGGGTTATATGGGTACGTGTCCAGCAGCCATAGGCATATTGGAATATTATATGTATTACCTGAGAGAGAAAGAAAAATTTCAGTTACTCTACATTTATTATTTTGCCATCACACCTTAACAGGAACAAGAGAGCTGCAATTACACGACATACACACACAGATGCATAAAACCACAACAAATATCTGTTTCAAAGTTCTATTTAAGATCAGGTCCCAGAATTTTCAGTTTGTAAAACACATCAGCAGGATGAGGGAGCGAACTGATCACTACTCTGTCAGTGTCTGCTTGCTGCTACTGTACAAGTCTTCAGGAATAAGCTCAGCCAATCTCTTCTTTGCTACGTGACTCTTACCATTTCAGTTAATAAGGCTTGGTGGGAAGGGAAATGGAAGAAAGAACAGGGATTAGGTGCTATAACAGAAAGACATACAAAAGATAGACTTGAAATTCTCTTCCCAAAAGCCAGATTATAAAATGCAGTCCACCAGTCAAACAAATCCTAAGGGGTGGCATCAGCTTCACCAATGCATAAGGCATTTTTGGTGTTAACCATTCAGAATCTAGAATACCATCCCTTTTTCCTTGTTTTATGAAACAGAAATGTCTCAGCTGAGAAACTTCACTGTACAGAGTTAAAATGAAATAGCGAAGTTATTCGTTCTCAAAGGATCCAACAGGTAATATATCAAACGCAAATCATAGTCTTTCTTTTAAGGCTCAAAGCCCAAGGTCCCAAGAAACCATTTGAATCATCTAGCATAATTTAGATGCACATCAGAGAGTTGTGAGACTTTGGGTTTTTTTTTTTAACCCCAAATTACTTCTACAATGAACAATAACAAAAGCTCCAACAGGATACATGCTAATACGGGATCCCCAACCCACAGGTGCGTGGCCTGCCTGGAACTAGCAGGTGGCAGGCAGGGGACAAGCGAGGGAAGCTTCATCAGCACTTACAGCCCCGCTGGAGGCCCGCCTGTCACCGCGGCGCGGCACCAGCACTGGGCACTTGGAGGACTCTGAACTCCTCTGTGAGCTGCGCATGGGAGGTACCCAGGTCCTCCATGACCCACTCTATGGAGGACCACGAATTATAAGTTGAGTATAGGGGATGTCCACACCTGCTCTTGTCCTGCCCTTTGGCCAGACTGGAACGTGTGGAAACTCCCCGTTCTTTTCTGGTCATGGCTGGAAGCCATTGGGCTGATGAGTGCTGGGGCACTCACAGGGCAAGACAGGATCTGCTGGAGACAGCAGGCATCCGGGGAAATCGCAGTTCCGCCCCCTCCACCCTTGTCCTTGTAAGAATGCTTTGTTGGTCTTACCAGCCCACCTTACTCGCCATTTCTGTTCCCGGAAACGCCCACTGCCCTTCTCCCATCGTCCTTCACTCAGATGTAATGAATCAATACCAAGAATCTGGCTGCCAACCGGCCTTCTGTCCCCTGAGAACAACTGGCCATCCCAGATCCCTGCCTGCACCCTATTTTGTTTCTTGCTCTCTTTCTTCCGGTGGTGTGCCGTATTTCCAGGCAGGAGATAGGGGACTCAGTGCAGGGGTCCCCAGTAACTGGCACTGTGCAGGGGTCACCAATACCACTGTCATGAAACTGGTCCTGGGCCAGCTGCACTAATACACAAAACTGAAGTTTACCTCCACCTCCACCATCCACAACTCTCTGCTTTGTGACAATGAAGACTTCTCCAGAACAGGTTAGGCCTGTAAACTTTTGCCACATGCAGAATGGCTGAGGGAGGGTGGGGATGTAGCTCAGTGGTAAAGCACTTGCCCAGCATACATGAGGCTGAGTTCAATCCCCAGTATGGGGGAGGGGGGATGGGTGATAGCAGCTGGGTTTAGATAAAATTTACACCCCCACCCACCCCACACATCTATAACCTCCTCCTAGATTAGACTTTACTTTCTTAGAGTAGTGGCAAGGTTAGGAATCTTGATTTCACTTGCCTTCCCTAAGCTCATCCTACTGGCCGGATAGGGTGTTGGGAGGCTCGGTCCTGCGCTCCCTCTGCCTGGAGTAAGTGTCTGGTGAACAACAGCAAGCTCAGATGTCACCACCTATGTGATCTTCCCACGCAGTCTGGTTCTCTTTTGTAATCTCACAGCACCTTTATATTATACCATTCTATAGCCATTCAAAGTAGCATAAATATCTATTTATTCCTTGCATAAATATCTATTTATGTGCATAAATATCCTATTACTGTGCACTGTCCCAGAAAAGTTAGACTTTATTCTCCTTTGCAGCCAGTGCCCCATCCCCACTGCCTCCTGGGTAGCGGTACTATGTGAAATCAGTGGTGAGTCATGGGGACAGAGGTCTCAGATCCCCATTCTAGTTCTAAGATTCTGATTCCATGAGACAGTTCTGCCCGTGCAGCCAGGCACATATTTATTTTTATCTCTTGATAAGAAACTTTAAAAAGCTGCAAATGTGAGGTGCTGCTGCCAAATGAAGTTCAGTTAGAACAGAAGTTAAATCTCTTTATCATAATGAAAGCCATGAGTAACTCCTTGGCAACGTACTTATGGCATCAAACACGGCTGTACTGGAAACATAAGTAACATAATGCAGTTACCTCTGTAAGGCACAGGAATTGTTCCAGTGAGGTTCATTAGTTCCCTAGAACTGCCATCATTAAAAACTGAAAGGAGAGAACAAAGATTTAATCATGAGCATTTTTAAGGTTTTTGATTCATGAGCATTTTTGTAGAGACTTCATGTAGCTTATTCTTTTGGAAATACTGGTTAGAATTCATTATTATTTATAAAAGGGGCTAACTTGTTAATGTATCATCCATTCTGTCCAATAACAAAGTGTCCTTTGTTCATTCACTGAATGGGATCAGCTCTTCAAAGAGTAAAGAAAAGATACTTTGAATTACTTGCAGAAATGCATGTGAGGCTGGGTGTGCTGGTAAACGCCTGTAATCCCATCCCTGGGGAGGCTGAGACAGAAGGATCGCTTGGAGTTTGAGGCCAGCCTTGGCTACAAAGTGAGTTCAAGGCCAGCCTGAATTGCATAGTGAAACCCTGCCTCAAAAAGATGCCCCTCCCCGCAAAAAATAAAGAAAAAGGAAAAAAAAGGGATGTGAGTGCTGCAGTTCCAGTAAACAGGTGCTTCTGGTCTCCAACTAACATGATTCTAAAACTATTTACAAAGCACCATCATGGCTGGGGGCGTAGCTCAGTGGTAGAGTACCTGCCTAGTATGTTTTGGCCATGGATTGATCCCCAGGATCTTAAACAACAAAAGCCTCCCAAAGCCACCACCAAATGTCACCATACCACATGATAACTAGTGTCACTATGCTTGACCAACCCCCGGGCTTTATCCCTACTCACTGCTGGTCTCAATCTCAACAGAGTATTAAACCACAGTATTAAAGATTTAAAAAGGGCAAAGTTTACACAGTTAATTAAATACAGATAGCTTCTTTCAATATGTATTTCTCACATGACGCACATTTTTGTACCATTAACTGATTAACTGGGGCATATAATTTGTGTTACATAAACCACTATAATTTTAATGACTTGAACATTGTACCACATAAGGAAAACACTATAATGTACAATACAAAAAAAATACTCGGAACCACACTGTTGACCTCAGTTCTTTTTTTGTTTGTTTGTTTTCTGAGACAGGGTTTCACTATGTAGTTCAGGCTGGCCTCAAACTCATAATGATCCTCCTGCCTCAGCCTCCCAAATGTTGGGATTACAGGCACAGGCCACCATCCATGGAGACCTCAGTTCTTTTACTTCTTGTTGACAGTTGTAAAATATGTTGCAATATTCTGATTTTGTGTATTTTAAAATAAAAAAAATCTTATTTAAATTTAGGGTTTTATTTACTCTAAAAGTATCCTGATAGTGATTTACATTTGGTCTAGCCATATGAAGCTATTGTTTGATGAACATATTTATTATTTTATTATGCAGTAAAAACTATACACTCACAATACAGTTCTAGCCACAATCATTTTTCTCCACACTGAAGCCATTTCAGTTTTAAAATGACTAACTTTACTTTTGGTAATATTTTTTCAGATCAAAATTCCACAGGACAGTCTGCACACAGAAATAAGGGCGGCTGGAAGGAGGGGTAGCTGCACCCTAGGTTTGGAGACGACTTCTAGTTCTTGTCTCTGCAGTTCAGAAGGCACAGAACTGATTGCCCTCCGTGGCCTCCCACCTCTCTGCACCAGGGCCTACTGCTTTCAAAGCCTAGGGCTGAGTGGAATTCAGAATTTCTTGGCTGGCTCCCTGCCTTCAGAACCAAGGGCTTTATTAATCAACGGGAGGTAGCACAGATTTTCCCTTGGCCCTGGCATGCTAGTTGTTTTCAAGAATATACAGTTGAAGAGATTCCGTTAGGATTCAATGGGGACAGAAAATAATGTGTTTTTTAAAAAAGAAAAATTCCACGTGCTGTCACTTTTAACTCAAACCCTAAAAGTAAAATAAAGACAAATTGAGTTTACCTACTGTACAGAATTAAAGACCATATTGAAAAATATTTTGTGCATCTCTAAAATGTGAGAGACAGCTAGAAATATAGTTTTGCAAGATGTGTTCCTGAGAATACAGAGAACTGCTGTGAGAGGAGAAAAAGGGAAGCACCAGTAGTGCAGTCCCTGTAGCGTACATTGTGTAAATACATGCTTTCTCCTCTTTGTGATGTACTGCATATCAGCATATTAAATGTTCTCAGAAATCTGTAACAGTGAAATGCATTTAACTTTTTTCTTTTTGAAGAGACAGAGTTTTGCTATGCTGCCCAGGCTAGACTTGGAATTCCTGGGCTCAAGTGCTTGATCCTCTTGCTTCAGCTTCCTGAGTAGCTGGGACTATCTGCATATACCACTGTACCTGGCTGAAACCCACTTGATTTTTCCAATCCACAACTGCTCAAACTTTACCACAGAATTCTTTTAATCTTATCCTCATAGCCTTCCCCCTATAACACCCTTCATAACTTGCTGTCTACAGATAACGCTTTGGGAAGTGATGCACTACACTATCTTTAAAACTCCCTCCTTCGGCCTGGGAGGGTAGCTCAGTGATAAAGTGCTTGCTCTCCCTAGCACAGTAACACGCAGACACACACGCTCACACACGAACTCCCTTGTGGCCAGGTGAAGCACACCTATAATCCCAGGTTCCTTACTCAGGAAGCAGGAGGATCACAAGGTCAAGGCCAGCCTGAGCAACTTCACAAAACTGTCTCAAAATCAAGAGGGCTTGCAGCGCAGTGGTAGAATACTTGCCCAACATGTGGGAGGCCCTGCGTTCAACCCCTAGGGAGGGTGGGTAGTGGAGACAGGGAATCCCTCCAAGGTCTAAATTTGCATAGTTCTGGGTTAAAAAAAAAAAAAACAACCTTAAAGAGCTGAACAAATATGTTGTTATCAGACCTTATAATTTCTTATGCCCTAAAACTTTTATTAGACCTTCATTCCTACAATTGAAAACCAGCAAGCTTAATAGGAAAATAAGAAAACTACAATTAATAAGAAGAGTAAGCTCACAGTAGAGTAATGAGTGCTCTTATTACATAAACTCACCATATGAATCCAATACAGGTTTGAGATCTTTGTATAGGGTAATAACATTGACAGTTTCACGTACAGTTAGGTCTCTGTATTTGTACTGAAAAGCAAAAAATGACAGAATTTAGTTTAAAACCAATGCTCATTATCTCACTGCTACATTAATTTTCTTAAAATCTTATTTTCTTTATAGCAGTAATCATTAATTACAGCCTGAAAGGGCCTCAGTAGCTTTTTCTTCTATCACCTCTTTGAATCCTTTACTTGCCCTCAGCTTGCCTTTGAAGTTACATTCATCTTAGTTCTTCTGTCCAACTTAACAGACCCACCAAATTAAACCTCCATCCTTCTCCAAGCCCTACCATATAGGTACAGCTTACATACCACTCCCAGTGAGTCATTTTCAGCTTCCCTTTAACCCATGAGCACCTCTCCCTTCTCTTCAAGCTGCGGCATTCACTGCTAATATCAACATTTATTGTGAATTGTCAACATCAATTTTGCACTGTATCATTTGCTGTATTGATTTCCATCTCATCTGCTCCATTCCACTCCAGAAGCACTAGCAACCCAGCTTGGGGACTCCTAGCAGGACGTAAGGACATCGGAGCCTTTCATCCCACAGCACATTGAAGCTCACCAACTGACAAGCTGCACCCTTGCACACAAAGCTTTTAATCAGCTTTCAATGTTTCTTTCTTAATAAGAGCAGTAAGCTAGGCCAATAAAACACTAATAAGCAAGTCAGAGACCAAAACAAACAGAAAACAAGGAACTACGTACCAGTAAGGACCTAATGCAAGCAGAAGACAACTTCAAAAACAATTAGTAACTTTGAAAAAAGAAAAAGATATCGTGCACATGAAATAAGAACATGCAGTTAATAAGAACTGTTGGATACAAAAAATGTGGTAGGAAAATCAAAACATTCAATAGAAGAATTAGAATATAAAATCAAAGCCGGGCGTGATAGCGCATGCCTGTAATCTCAGCACTCTGGAGGTTGAGGCAAGTTCAAGTCCAGCCTGAACTGCACAGTGAAACCGACTCAAAAAAAAAAAAAAAAAAAAAAAGAATATAAAGTCAAGTCTCACAGCACAAAAAGACAGTTATAAACAATAAGGAAAAAATACAAAAAGTAAGTAATAAATCCAGGTCTACTCAAAGGCATTTCTTATCCTTTGTCCTGTAGCACTAACTTGTCCATCTATGGGATCAGTCTTATCACACAAACGTACTTGTCCCATCTTACCCACACAAAGCCATTCCTATACTCCCTGGCTCCTCTTGCTGCCACTTTGCCCTCAGTTCTTCTTTATAGGGGAAAAAAAACCTTCATGCAAAGAGTTGCCTATGTTTACTGCCTATGATTGTTCTCTTTCTATGCTTTCTTGTAAAAACTTTTTATTATGGAAAAATTCAAATATATCCCAAAATAGACAATACTCATCTCTATTTTATAGTTTTATTGATATAATTCACATATTATAAAATTCACTTTTAAACTGTATATTTCAGTGATTTTTAGCATAGCTCTACAACACTACATTGATTTTAGAACATTCTTATTATCCTCAAAAGAAACCAATACCTTTTAGCAATAACTTTCCATGTTCCATTTTTGGCAATAACTCTTCTCATTTTCTTTTTTGTAGCCCTAGACAATCACTCACATTCTGTCTCTATAGGTTTGTCTTTTCTGGATATTTCATTTAAATAAGATCATGTGTGATCTTTTATGATCTTCCACATTTTCTTTTTTTTTTTTTTTTTTTGGTTTTTCTCCGGTACCAGGAACCGAACTCACGACCTTGCGCTTGCCAGGCAGGCTCTTTTGCCGCTGAGCTAAATCCCCAGCCCCTCTTCCACATTTTCAAGACTCATCCTACTGTGGTATGTACCAGTATGTCACTCCTTTCTAGTACTGCGTAATATTTACTATATGGACACACCATATTTTATTCATCTACTGTTCAGTGGATTTTCAGCTGATAGGTTTATCTCTATTTTTACCCCTAGGAATTTATCTGTGGAAGAAATCTGTTATTTGTGTAATAAATCTGTTCATTTATCCTAAGAGGCTCCTATAGCTTGGAATTTGCTAACTGTATTCTGTTGGTGTATTGTAACATACGGTTTCGTTTGAATTATTATTTGGGTCTAGAAGTTATTTTTCTTTTCTCTCTCCCTTTCTCTTTAGCAAGGTCATTTCACAGACAGTGATGTTTTCCATCAGGAGCACGTGATATCTGGATGCCCCTGCAACGTTAGCAACCATTGATACACAGCACCTAGACCCTATTCTCTCCAAACCCACTGCCAATCTGGACATTCTGTAGTTGTGGAGACAAGTGAGCAGTGATCAGATTGTGGCGATATTGTGGAGGGAGAACTAGTAGGATTTTCTGACAGATTTACTGTGGATATAAAGGAAAAGGAAGTATCAAAGATAATGTCAAGGTTTTCAGCTGGAGCAGCAGGAAGTGTGTGCATGCATTTTGCACCTACCACTTCACTGAAACTGTTCAGAGTCACCAATACTTGCTACATGGTGTGCAACAGCCAGCTGCTTTTGTCTTAACCTGTCAGCAGCAGTTGACTAAGCTGATTTGTTCTCTTTTTTTTTTTGGTACCGGAAATCGAACTCTGGACCTTGCGCTTGCCAGGCAGGCACTTGTGCTGCTGAGCTATATCCCCAGCCCGATTTGTTCTCTCTCTCTTTTTTTTTTTTTAATTTTTTTAAAGAGCAGAATATATTTATTGAGGGAAAGAAAGCTTCTGTCCAAGAGAGGGACAGAAGGCAGGCCCGAGTGGGTTACCACCCCGATTTGTTCTCTTAAAGTATATTATCCCTTCAATTTCCAACACACCAAGGTTTGTCTTCCTCCTCTCTGTGGTTACTTCTGTCTCTTCGCTGGATCCTTCTTTTCTTCTACTGAACTAACACTGGGCCACAGGGAACAGTCCTCTACCCAACCCACTTTTTCAGTGGTTTCTCGCGTGTTTTTAAATATCATTTCTATGTTGAAAACTCCTGAACTTTTCTAGTGAACCTGTTTCATAAACTCCAGACTTATATAGTGGTCCTTTACTTTCCACAGTTTCCGTTACCTGAAATTTTTGGTCTGAAAATACTAAATGAAAAATCCCAGAAGTAAACAATATGTACATTTTCAATCTGTACTCGCATGCCGCTGAATAGTGTGATACCATGACGAGATCTTGCGCTGTCCCATTCTGTCCCTCCTAGGAACTGAATCATTCCTTTATCTAGCATATCTACACTGGATAAGCTACCCACTTATTAATGACTTAGAAGCCACTTCAGTTGTATGAGCAACTGTTCTAGTGCTTGTGTTCAAGTAACTCGTATTTTACTTTATAACGGCCCCAAAGTGAAACGGTAGTATGGTAGCAATTTTATTATATTGTTATATATTGTTAATTTCTTGATGTGCATGATACATACAATAAACTTTATCTACATGTATATACTTTATCTATAAATATACAGACACACTATGAAAAACAGTATATACAGGGCTCAGTATTATCCAGCTTCAGACATTTACTGTGGGTCTTAGGATGTAAACCCTGCAGATGACTACTGTACATCCAATTAGCAATCCGACATCTCCACTGGGTATCTAATGAATGTCAAACTGAGTATGACCAAAACCAAACTCTGTATCTTTCCCCCAATTTTTTTTTTTTTTTTTTTTTTGGTTTTTTGGTTTTTCTCCGGTACCGGGAACCGAACTCATGACCTTGTGCTTGCCAGGCAGGCGCTTTGCCACTGAGCTAAATCCCCAGCCCCTCCAAAATTTATTCTCTATCTATATCCTTCAAACTGTTCAGGGTAAAAGTTGTTCTTTTTTTTTTTTTTGAGACAAAGTCTCGCTATGCCATTCAGGCAGGCCTTAAACTCAATTTGCAGCCTAGTCTGGCCTTGAACTCTCAACGATCCTCCTGCCTCTGTCTCCCAAGTGCTGGGATTATAGGCACCCGGCTAAAAGTTATTATTGATACTTCTCTTTCTTTCACATCCATAGCAAATGTTATCAGAAAAGCCTACTAGCATTACCTTCAAAATATACATAGAATCTGATCACATCTCACTACCCACAGCTACAATCCCTGGTGTGTACCACTAGCACCACTTGCCTAGATTATTTCAAAATCTCTTCACAGGCGTCCCTGCTTCTACTCTTACCCCCTTGGACAGTCTAGTTCCAATACAGCAGCTAGAGTAGTGCTGGTAGGAGCTAAATGCCTTTCCCTCATAATTCAGCTAAACACTAAAGCCTTCCAATGAGTCTGCAAGACTCTCCAAAATCTTCTACACTGACACTCAGGGCCTGAACCCACACTATAACCTACCTCTTCCCTCAGTCACTTCAGGCCCAACATGCTACCTTTCGTTCTTCTTCTACAACAAGTGCATGAGAAACTTCTGCCCCAGAGCCTCTGCCCTTTTTACTTCTTCCTGGAATGGCCTCACCCTAGACTGTTCCGGTTTGTTTCCCTGCCTCTTTCAGGTCTCTCCTCAAACAGCTCTTCGCAGAAAGGCCTTCCTTTTTGATCTGATACAACTTGCAATCCAGCCCATTCTCACCTCCTTTTTACTACTCTATTTCTCTTCCCTGTTTTATTTTTTCTCCAACACTCTTTAGCAGTTTCCAACATACTATTTAAATATACTTCTTGAGTTGTTTACTGCCTTCTATGTGAATTTAAATTCCACAAGTGTGGGGTCTGTCTGTTTACTGTTGTATCCCTGTACCTAAAACAGTGTGAAATACATAGCCACTTTAACGCGTCTGCTCTCCTCCACCCATTTGGTTATGACACAACCTCTAGGAATGCTGTAGATATAATGTGCAAAAATATAGGCAGTTGCATGAACAATCAAAATTGTTACTCATGTAAAGCAACATGGACTCACACTACATACTTCTATTAACCAGCCAGGCATGGTTTGCACACCTGTAATCCCAGCACTCAGGGGGAGGCTAAGGCAGGGGAATCTCTGAGTTTGAGGCCAACCTGTGCTACATAGTGAATTCAAGGCCAGCCTGAACTACACAGCGAGACCCTGTCTCAAAATAAATAAATAAATAAATAAATTTTAAAAACATACCTGTCTATTTACATATATATATTTCTGTTAACTGACAAATGATGACAGGGGTTTTAACTAAAAGTTACAGTAAGTGGGCTACGTTAATTCTCCAAGTAAAAATGATTTTGTAATAATATTTAAAAAAAACATAAATCAAGGAAGGAGCCCAGTGTATTTGATGGGTGTAGTGATGCTATAACAAGAAAGCATAAAGGGACCCATGGCATGTTCCTCTAGTCTAGAGAAAGCTTCTACAGGGGTTTTAATATTACTGGATATACATTCAGGACTAAGCTTTTTTAATGGCTGTGCTACCAATTTAAGTATCAAGCACATTATGGATCAGTTCCTCTTCAGTTATAAAGTACCTAAAACAATATGCTATTTTTCAAAAAGTGATATATAATTATACAACACAGACTATTACCTGGGCCACAATCTAAGGCTTCCCCAAACCTCCTCTATAATTAAAGACAACTACTTTAAAAAACAAAACAAAACAAAACAAAACGGGGCAGGAGATGTAGCTCAGTGCTAAAGCATGTGCTTAGCATTCGTGATATTCTCAATTCCCAGCAGCAAACAAAGAAGCCTAGAGGTCATGGATGGACAACCAGGAGATGCTTTCTTCTGAAACCTGCCGCTTTTTCTATAGAGGTTAACTGATCTTCAACCAAGAATCATGGGGACGATTTTCCTAGAAAAAGTCTATTAAGAAAAAACAAAACTTTTCTACGCAGTAAGTATGCATCAATTGAAAACCCACTCAAGCTGATAATTTCGACCACAAAAGTATCCCAAACTAACCCGTTTGAAGACTCAGCTCTCAACACCTACATACACCTCATTCCCGATAGATTTGGTAAGTTACAACAAAAGGAAAACCATTCCACTGTGGGGCCGGGTGCCACATTTGAACTATCAAATTAAATCATGGCTTTAAAATCCAAAACGCCTAACTGCTTTCTAAAAAGGGAGGAAAAAAAAATCATGCAGTAGGCGAGCTGTGAGGACTGTAGTGTGAGCCCAAAGTAAATACGTTCCGAGAAGCATAATACGCTCAGTAGTGGTGGTGAAGAGTTACCATTACCCTGGGACGGCGGTAACGAATTCCATTAATCCTACTCGGGTAGCGAGGGTCTGGCATTTGGGATTCTCTGCTCGTTTCACTGAACTGAGTCAATTCACCCGCTAGTCACCGGCCTCCCCCGGGCCGGCTGCGCGGCGTGGGGAATGCAAAACTGAAAGGGCCGTGGTCTCCGCGCCCAGCGAGGGGCGGGTGAAGGCTGACGGATCCCCCGACTGGGACCGGCGTGAACCGCCTCAGGTCAAGAACTAAGCAGGACTCCTTCTTTTTGTCCAGAACACTGAAGACCCAAACTCTCCCGCCCCAGACAGCTCCAAACTCTCCCGCAGAGAGAAGGGGGCGGGCGGCAGGTGGCGGACGGCCTCTACTCCGCGCCTTTGTTGACGGTCGCCGCCCCCCGACTCCCCGCAGGGTATCGGGGTGCGAACGCTACGGCCTCGGGCTGGGGGCCTCGGCGGCGGCGGGGGACGGTGCTGGGGTTCCGGCCGCCCGGGAGGCTCGCGGGGCTGGGCCGGTCCGGGCCGAGCGCGGAAGGGAGCGGTGGGCGATCGCGGGACGGCGAGCGCGTCGCAGCCTCACCTTAGACACCATCTTCTTGAGCTGGCTCTCCGACATCGCCATGACGGCCGCCTGGCGACTCCCGTCCTCGCGGGCAGAGGGTCAGCCGCTCCGGGGCCGCCCCAGACCGCCCCAGACAATCGCACACCGAGCGGCCAGCCCCCCACCCCCCGCCTCTAACAGGAAGTCAGCGCCACCGCCGCACTTCCGCTTCCGGTACGTCACTTCCGAAGCTGTCGCCTAGCGGAGACAGGTGAACACCTTAAGCCACCCAGGCAGGACGGAAAGTGGATTTAGACCGACCAGCTAATGGTGTGCTGGAGCTAGCTGGATCCCAAAGGCAGGGCAAGCCCGTTCCAAAGGCTGGGATGAGATTGGCAGCTATTTCACAATCACTCGTAAGATTCAGGAAGCAGGTGCAGAGAGGGAAGAAGTAGGAAGGGCTTGCGGTGAGCCTTAAGGACTGAGTGAGGTAGTGGGAGGACCTAGGGAACCGCCTGCCTCCGACTTGCCCTTGTGAAAATAGTGGACGAGTGCCGGGCTTAAAATGTCCCCATCTCTAAGAAAAGCTTCCATTAGGAAGATGCCCAGGGTTTCCTTGGTAGTCACACGGTTTGGTTTTGTTTTAAAACTTAAAAAGTCCTTCCTCCTATGTTTGTAAGGACTAAGTGTAGAAATCCCTTGTTTCTCAGGAAGTCAGACATAAAGATCCTCCGCAGGATACCTCTCCCTAAATCAGAACTTCTGTGTACCCAGACGTAAATCATAGGGGATGCATTCTAACCTTGCCTTGTGTTTGTGGGCTAGCCTGTTCACCGTTAAGTCCGAGAGGCCAGGCTTGGTTTCAAATCTTCATTGCTTTATAGAGTGCAAGAGTAGGTCCTCGATCTTGAAATTCAATTTTTTCAATAAAAGTTCATTGTGGTGACATTTATTTATAGTCCATGTCACCAGTTTTATAGGCAGAGTATCAAAGTATCAGAAAGAGTAGGTTTTTGGATGTTAAACATAAGTCTGGATAATTATAGTATAGCCTAATGAGAACACGACCATGGTATCGATTCCTTTCTAAGGCATCTAAGTGAAGAACTGAATACGCCAGAGGGGAACAGCTGAAAGCTTGTGGAAGTTCTCATTATAAATTGTCGCTCACACACACACATAAAGCCATCCCAATAGCCATTATTCTTGGAAAACCATACATTAGCTCCAGTCCAATCAGAAGGTCAGTCTATTTCACTGCACCTGCTGTTTTATATTTTTTAAAAAGCAAACTGTTCAAAATAGTCAGGGTTTTTTGTAGGGAGTGATACAAAGTCTTGCTATGTAGCCCAGGCTGGCCTCAAATTCACAGCGATCCTCCTGCCTCAGGCTCCTGAGTGCTAGGGTTACAGGTGTGTACCACAACACCTGGGTTCAAAATAGTCTTGAATCCACATTTTACTCAGAAGTACTTTTAATTAGAGCAACTCTGCTTCTATAAATTGGAGGCACATCAGGTAATACATTGTTTAAAATTTTTTCTTGCTAAAATAATTCTTTAAAGCTTGAAAGTGAATCATAAAATCCAACCTCTTAATTTTACACACCACTTAAAATGAAATAATTAAATGTCCTGGATTCTGTACAAATTATATGAAAAAAGTCTCAATCTGAATTAAATTTCATTTAATAAGTCAGGCATCATCTGGTATTTTAAAATCAAAGTTTATTTTATTATTTTTGATATTTTAGAACATAATGCAAATTGGAAAATAAAAAATATATCTTCTACTACAATATCAAAAAACATTTTAATCCAAGGCTCACTAAAAAAACATATCAAGAGGCACTGCATGATTTTGGAAAAATGAAAAAGGTGAAGTTAATAGAAGCATTGTGAGTGTTAAATTATCACCAACTTACAGTGAAGTGATAAAGCTTTTTGACTTCTATGTGGAACTCACAACATAATTGCCAATACTTAATACTCAAGGAAACACCTGATACAGAGAATTACTTCCATATTGTACCTAATTCTTTAAGGATTCAAATTATGAAACTAACCAAAAAAAATCTACTTTAACCAAAAGGTTTGTAAAGATAAGTAAAAGACACAGAGGGTAAGGACTAATATTCATCTCTGAACATTCAAATTCTAACATAATTGGAATAACAGGAGGTGCTCAATATTTGTTTTATTGACATATTCCCTCTATAATTAATGCAGTGAATTCTTGTAGTGAATCTATTATCGTATTTTACAGCTAGATTATAGTTTAAGATTATATTAGAAATTTGATTTTAGGAATTGTCAAATTTCTAGTTATACCTTATTAGAAAAGTCTAAAAATTACTCTTTTAGTTTTATTTTCCTATTTCATACAAAAGGACAGTATTCACTGTTAAGGTAACACAGAGGTGATCACAGGAGTAACATTAGAATAAAGGGAGGTTTTGGTAACACCAAAATATTCTACCTAGAACTAATGCTTCCCTCTTCAAACATCCACAGTTTGTTCATTTTTCAGGGCTGGAGACGGAACCTAGAGCCTTGCACATGTAAGGAAAGTGTTCTACCCAGGAGCTCCATCCTCACCCTTTGTAAGCATATTACTTTTATACTTTCTTAAACATGGGATACTGAATTTCACCTTCCACTTAGAGTAAGTTCATCATTACAACTCTCCATGATGACACTATTACTGTGTCTACTTTTTCTCCACCTATGATATGTCTGCCCTTATTTGGCTCATATCTTCCTGACCATATTGTTTCACCTATTGTATGCTGAATTTCTTCACAATTCTTATTATATTTATTTGTGAGATTTTACTACTGTGTTTCCCACAGTAGACTGTAAGGAACAGGAGGGCTTGACCCTAGCCCAGGCATATTCACCACTAGCGCCTGGTGAAAATACTGCTATTGACCCATCACCAAAGCCTGTGTGTTTTGAATCGTTCTTCTGGAATGACAGAGGGTTTGCTCAGAACCATCAGTCCGCTCAACCTCTCTCCCTGAAAACCAATGGTTTTTATGAAAGCCTCATGTTTTGGCTTCAGAACAAATTGCTTGACTGTTATTCATAATAAAATACATTTATCTATGCTTTACCAATATCATAGTAAATTTTTGACATGTTGGGGATCTTATTTAGCTGAAGAAAAAAACTTCAGAAAGGAGAATTCCAAGGAAATTAAATTACATATGCTTTTTTCTTTATATATTAAAAAGTTTTACTTTCCCTTTTATTATTTAAAAATATATATAAAATCTTTTCTAGTTTTTGGTAGCTAATCAATTTGGAGAAGAAAAATAAAATGCTTAACTACTCCACCAACTGTATTTTGCAAAAGAAATAAATAACCTACACTGTGGATCCTCTGAATTTTGTAAGTGAGGTCCATCCTGGGCCTTTAGTTTATCATGTTGATTATAAATGTATTTTTTTTCAGGTTATTTCCAAAGTGCTGAATGTGCTTTAAGTTTAGGATACACATTTTAAAATGATGCACATAGTAGGTCAATATTTATCCCAGCTATAGTTTTAAAGACTATATTGCTGGGTGTGGTGGTGCACACATATAATCCTAGCATTCGGGAGGATGAGGCAGAAGGATCGCTGCGAGTTCGAGACCAGCCTGGGCTACAAACTGAGCTCAAGGCCAGCCTGAACTACATAGTGAAACTCTGTCTCAAAAACACACACACAAAAAAAGAGTACAGATTTATTAAGAACCTCTCCTAAATAGATTACTTTCTTTCCCTTATCTAACTCTTTAAGGATTCAAATTATGAAACTAACCAAAAAAAAATCTATTTTAACCAAAAGGTTTATAAAGTAAAAGACACAGAAGTTTTCAAATCTATATATGTTGGCGAAATTAAAATGACTTTTCCTTTGCGGTAACTGTGTTTGAAAATCAAAGTTTTAACTGTTGCTGGAGACCGTGGATTGAGGATGCACTGCTCTGGAGTTTTTCAGTCACTGTAACTTCTGTCACTGAAGTTTTGATGACTTCAGATACCCCACCAGTTCCAAGGATGCAAGGCAAACTTAAAAACACTTCACTATTTATATCGTAATATCCCTGAAATTAAAAGATAGGGATTATAATAGTGCTCAGTCACTGTACAAAGTTAAATCATAAAGATGCATGCTCTCTTGCTTTCCTAGTTCTAGTACAAAGTCATATCAAGTTGAGTCTAATTTTTTTTCTTTATTTTCTAAATTCAAATTATTACTGCCAAAACTTTTTGAGAGACAGACAGAACTCAGACAGAGACACTCCCTTTGCAGGGAGGTAAGCTAGCTGCTGCAGTACGGGTAGCAGGCTGGGGGGACTCCGAGAAATGAGGTACTGAATGGATTCCTTGGGGAGGTGCACAGCCTGGGCCAAATACAACAGCCTCTTTGACATTCTTCTTTCATGCTGTGTCCCCACCTCCATAGTCTAAGCATTCAGGAAACTTCTGATGAGCATTTGTACCTCATCTTAGCTGTGCTTTAGGGACTTTATAGTCTGGGTACAGTGACAAGAGACAATGGCTGAAGCAGACGGGTGACCAGCTGAGACCAGACGGCATACCAGTGTGGGGTGATGTGGCTGGCTGAGGTGATAAATGACAACCAGAAGTAGTTTCTAGGGTATGGAAACACTTCAAAAACTACCTGAGGGTGGGCAAAGGCCAGATTCCCTGGAGCTAAGCAGGACAGGGCATGGATTAAAGTGCCTCCTCCCATCTCACTCTAAAAGCTGAAGATGCCTGGGTTAGAGTACAAACATCAGTTTCGCTAGTTTTACACTCATATGAAAGTTTAAAATATGACAGAATGATGACAACGGTTACCTTTGCTAAAGTGGATACAGAATGCACTTTCTTTTTATTGTTCACGACGCTGTCAACCAGGTCAGCTACTGATAGTCCCACAGACCAGGATCTCTGACCTTTTACCCTTAACAGTTCCATGGCTCTAGGTTACAAAAAAACATAATCTCAGAAAATGCACAAAACATACACCATTTAGTTTCACATCCTGTTTGTGTGTTTTTTCTTTTCTTCTTTTTTTTTTTGTTTTTAGGAGGCAAGGTCTTATTATGTACTTCAGGCTGGCTTTGACCTCGAGGGGATCCTCTTGCCTCAGCCACTCAAGTGCTAGGTTTATAGGCATGTTCATATGTAGTGTTTAAGGTAGTATTTTTATGACAAAGAAGTAAGAGTCATACAGCAATTATTAGGCAGGCTTATCATGATTATTTAAGCTTTCCTTAGTGTATGTGCTGCCGAAGTGAGCACTATTTAAGCTTTTCTTAAAATGTCAGATATGCAGTTCACAGAGAGAAAGTACAAATGCCCTAGAAACCTAAAAAGATTCTCACTGTTATGGCCGGTGTCTAGATATCCCCCGGAGAGCCAAATGTGTTCATTGGTGGGGCTTTTTAGAGGTGGCTGGATCTAGGGGGTGTGATACTGGGATTAAGGGTGTGTGTTACTAGATAGTCCCCTGATTGGCTTAGCATAGTTCTGTGTGGATAATAGGAAGGTCTGCCCTGGATGTGGGTGGAACCACTCAAAAGGCTTGTAGCCTGTATGGGATAAAAGGGAAAGCTGCTTTGCTGCTTTACAACCTTCTATGTGCCATAGCATGAATTGTTTCTCCTCTGTGATGCCCCTCTGCCATGCCACGCTGCCTTAGAGCCAGCTGATTATGGAATGAAACCTCTACAAAATGTGAGCTGAAATAAACTTTTCCTCCTTCGGTTGTGGGTGTCAAGTATTGTGTCTCAGCAATGAGAAAAGTAAGCAAGACATTTACCATTCTGAATATTTAACTAAAAATGAATTAAAGCAATAAATACCAGTTTGCTTACCAACATAGGCAAAGATAAAAAAAAACTGGTCCTGTGAAGGTATAAACAGATATTCCCATAACAACTGTTGAGACTACAAGGTGATTTAAATTTTCAGGAAGACTGGCAATATCCGATCTAGAAATTCCTTTTTCTAGGAATCTGTCCTACAGCAGTATGTTCAAGTGTGCAAGGATATACAAATAAGTATGCTGTATTTGAAAGGGGAACTGGTTAAATAAATCACTACCATATGTAGTACCATGCATCTCCTAAAAGAAAAGGAGCTGGGTATGGTGGTGCATGCTTGTTATCCTAGTTCTGAGAAGCTGAGGCAGGAGGATCACAAGAAAGAGCACAGCCTGGATAACTTAGTGACTTAGTAAGACCTGTTGAAAAAAAAGAATGAAGGAGTGGGCTGGGGATTTGGCTCAGCGGCACAGTGCCTGCCTGGCAAGCACAAGGTCATGAGTTTGATTCCCGGTACTGGAAAAAAATTAAAAAAAAAAAAAGAAAGCATGAAAGAGAGAAAGAGAGGGAGAGAGAAAGAGAGAGAAGAAAGCAAAAGAAAAGGAGAAGGGAAGGGGCTGGGTGAAGGGAGGTTGGGAGGGAAGGAAGACAGGGCAGGCTTGGAGATGTAGCTCAACACTATGGCCCTGTGTTCAACCCACAGTAGTGATTTTTGGGGAAAAGGAATAGATTTATATGCACAGTACAGAAAGATGTCCAAAACTTATCATTAAATAATCACGTTGCAAGACAATACAAATAATATAAATCTTTTATAAAAATAATAACATATTTGGACAAATACTGAAAAAAACCTTTGGGGACATGTGGATACTAAGCAGTGGTTGCCTCTGGAAAATGGAATTTCCCTAGATTTTTACTTTCTCTCTCTTTTTTTTTTTTTTAGATTTTTACTTTCTACTTTATAACTAGCTACAGTATTCTAAGTTTTATAATAAGCATACATACTTTTTGTAAAAAATAATCACTTAAATTTATTTCTTGTCTCGTACTCTGATTAACTACTTTAAAAATAATACTCAATGTATTAACTATTGTTATTCTCCTATTATTTTGTTATGAAATTTTGTTTTACATTTTTTCCATAAAGTTAAAAATTTTTAAAATTTATTTCTTTTAACATCTATAGGGAATATGGCTTAGAGGCAGCATGTGTGCATAGCACACTTGAGGCCCAAGGTTTAATCCTGAGTGCCACCAAGTCTATAAGTAAACAAAAATCAATAAATGCAAGATAATTTAATCAGATTGGAATGAATTATATCACACACTTCTCAATAAAAGAGTACCTTCTTTTTTGTTTGTTTGTTTTTTGTTTTTCTTCCGTGACCAGGAATCGAACTCACAACCTTGCGCTTGCCAGGCAGGCGCTGTGCCGCTGAGCTAAATCCCCGGCCCCAAAAGAGTACCTTCTTTCCACATAAAGTCACCCCTACTCAGACTTTAGAAAAATCTGCTGTTATGCGATGATGAAACAACAAATGACATGAAAATATATAGTATGTGAAGTGCAGCCTCTGGGGCCCAGACCTCAGAAGGCCTCAAAATAACAGCAGAAGATACAAGGAAGTGGGAATTATACTTTTCTCCTTGAACATATGCTATGGCATTTTCACTCACACTACACTGCTTTCTAAATCCTGTATTTATGTGTGATGAATAACTCCTAATTTTTAAGAGGTACTGTACTGACAAATTCTTTTCTACATGAGGAAAAATAATATCTCCAGAAGGTTAGAAACAGGAGAAGGAAACTGTCCACAGGTAAGGAGTATGTTCTGTCCTTCAGTTGTCAACTGTGTTATCTGGAGGAGCACAGCACTCCTGGATCTAACTTCAGATAAGAAATCAGAGGTTATAAAACACTGTCCCCTTATACTTTTGATTTCTCCATAGCAGCTAGTTTTGTTTTCCAAAGTACGCAGTATGTAAATAGCTATAACGTTAGCTATGAAGTATGTGACTCTTAGTTGCATGCATGCAAACTTGTACTGTCTTACCTGGTGCACAGCTGTGCCTGAGAGCTGTGATTCACTACTTCTTGTCCACCCCATGTGGGCACTAAAAACAGAAATGAAGAATTAAGTATAGTTTGCCAATTAGATGCAATAAATGATCTTTTGCAGTCAAGGGTGCCTGTATTAGTCTTTTTACAGAAGTTTTCCCCCTCCTGGCAACAGTTACTTTTCCACTGATGGTGTGATGGCGTAGCATTTGCTTTGCTGCTTGCAAGCTGGCCCTCCAACCAGCACAGAAAGCCTGGTAGAAGGTGGGAAAAGATGGGGGGAGGACATAGATCCTAAGTGTCTTGTGGCCATGGAATTCCTCCCAAAGCTGTAGGTATTATTTGTCTCTGACAACTTAAAAAAAATGATTTTACTTATACAACTTCTAGTTACAATTGTTTCCAAATCCTAATGTTGCTTTCTTTCAAAGCATAGTTTTACAGGTCCTTTTGCCAATTTTCTATTCATCACCATCTTGTCAATTCTGTAATAAAAACAACCATTTGCTGAGTGTTTAGTCTATGCCAGACTCTGTATTAAAGGCTTGAAATAAAATTATCTACATAAGTAACAGCAAGAAAGAGCACAGCATTAGTGAGGCCAGGGCTCAGTTCTCAGGGTGGCTCTTACTAGGTATGTGACCTTGGGCACAGCTCTTCGCCTCGCTGAGCCTTAAGTGTCCCATCTATAAATCCGGAAAAACAGCTCCTCCTTTACAAGGTATTTATCAAATTTAATGAAATGCGGAGGACCTGTATGTGAAACATTTAATATATATAGCTGGCACTTAATGAAAGTAATTCCAATAATTATTAAATATATCAAATGATTACTGTGATGGTACCACTGATGCAAAATTACCACCAGCTGGTGGATACACAAGATATCAGCAGAGGAAGCCTCTAGTCCACTTCTGGGTTAGTGAACCTATCTATGGATGGAACTGTCTGTAAAGCATGAGTAGGAGACAGGATAAAAATGATCTGAGCCTGGGGACGGTGGCCTGTGCCTGTAGTCCCAGCACTCAGAAAGCTGAGGCAGGAGGACTGCCGCAATTTCAAGGCCAACCTGGACTACATAGTGAGTTCAAGGCCAGCCCTGAACTACATAGCGAGACCCTGTCTCAAAAAACAAAAACAAAAACAAAAAAAAGTGATCTGAGGACTTGGGGTATAGCTCACTGGTGGGGTCCTTGCCTGGCATGCAGAAGACTCTAGGATCCTATAAGACCCTAGGATCCTGTGCCCTCGGTTTGATCCCCAGCACCGCAATGTACTGGGGAGAAGTGATCTGAGGCACTTCTAGCGGGCAAGCAGGAAGATGGACTGGAGAGAGGTACTCCTAGCTTCAGTGGTACTGGTCATGTTGACTGCGTGGACACTCCAAAGTGTGTGTTCTATTCTTATCATTTTTTTTTTTTTTTTGGTTTTCTCCGGTACCGGGAACCGAACTCACGACCTTGCACTTGCCAGGCAGGCGCTTTTGCCGCTGAGCTAAATCCCCAGCCCCCATTTTTTTTTTTTGAGGCAGGACCATGCTATGTAGTCCCAGCTGGCCTTGAACTTGCAGAAAGCCTCCTAAGTGCTGGGGTTACAGCTGCACAGCATTATACTCGGCTATTATGTTTTAAAACTTGCATACACATTATGTCAAATATTACAGAATACTGTGTTTAAATAATATGAATTCACATGCACCTACATCCTCTATTTCTAGTTATCTGAGACCCCAAGACAGAACTGCCACACAAATTGCAATTGCTTTTAGCTCAATGTAATGAATAAATCATTGTAGAGTGATGTGACAGGAAAACCTTCAGGTGTGTGGGGGGCTTCACTTAGACTCTGAAGGATGAGACATACGGGCAGAGATGCGGGGAGGGAAAGAAGGTAAATGCAGCAGGCAGAGGTTCCCATAGCTGAGGCAAAGCTGTGAGCGGTTCTGGATGTCTGTGGATCTGGGTTCTAGGCTTTGTCCCTAAAAGCTGTAGGCTCCTGAGCAGGTCCCTCTTATCACCCTGCATCCACCACTTTTGTTTGCTTACTCTCTGAAACAAAAGGAAACAGATGATCTCTTGGGTTCCTCTCCCATTGTACAATATCATAGCTGCACCTGTAACTACAATTGGGAAGGAACATTAGTGCTACACTTGGGCTCCCTGAGTGCCAAGCAAAGGAACGCAATGGTTTGCTCAAAGGAAGGCCCTGGAAGTGTTTGAAAAGAGGAATGTCTTAGGAAGACTGAATTAAATGGGAGAGCGTAAGTCTTAGCTACTGTCATTACTTTCACATCACAGGGTAGAACAGAGGTGAAGCAGACTCGCTGGGAGATTTACAAGATCAGCAAGTGAGCAAGAGACCATTGGACCAGAACTCCAGCAGCAGCAGTGAGTAAAACTCAGGGTGCTGGGTCTGTCTGAGTCTCTAGACACTGGTTACTCTAATACACTTACTCCAAATTCTTGTTTGCTACCCAAGTGTTCAGTGTCACAGAGCACTAGGTCCTGAAAAGTATTTCTGTTCAATCACAGTCAGGTTTAAAAGGGTTTAGTCTCCAGCTTGACTTATGTTAGCATGGAACTTTCTAAGTAGCTAGTGCAGATTTATACAGATTTAAAATACTACTATGTTTTTAATGTCCTTAAAATTATATAAATACATATAAAAAAATTAGAAAATGCAGAAAAGCACAATTTTAAAAAGTTGCATCCAATCTAGATATCACCACTGCTAAAAAGTTTTAATGGCATTAAAGTATATATACAAAGCATACATATTAAAGCATATATTCCAAGAAAATGCTTTCAAAAAAGTGATCTGGGTTGGGCATTATGGTTCAGTAGCTATTTAATTTTTTAACATGTACGGTCCTTCTCCAGCTCGCAAATTATTACCTCCTCCAAGGCAGAGAGGTTATTTCCCACATAACACTCTCATCAAGGCACTTCCATGCCAAATTAAGTAATAATAATGAATTTCAAATGATGAAGTAATTAATTTCCCTGAAGTTGCTCTTTCAACATTTCATTTTCATGGTTCTTCTATGCCTGAGAATCACCTTCCAGTTCATAGACCAGGTATTGAAAGAGCTCCAAAATATGGTTTTTACCAGGCCTATCTGGTGGAAACCCTGTGCAACTAGTCCAGATGTTTTTATATCATGAATATGGCCTACTTAATTATGTGTCTTTGCCAGTTTGTGATTTCCTGTTCTTGGAATGTCTTTCTCACTCTGCTAGCTATTCAGTCTTCCAAAGTCCAATTCAATGATGCCCTTTGTAGATTTTTTTTCTAGTGACTTCAACCCCTGTCAAATGCTCGTAAGTCAGTAATATTCACAATGGCAGTTAACGAATGGTATCCTACACCTTACTGCTAACTAAAATATGAGACATTGTTCTTATTTGTTTAAAGTATGATGAGGGCAGAGACTGTGTGCTATGCCTCTTTTCCATCACACTGGCATCTAGTACAGTTGTGAGTAGGCAGCAGGTACTTATCTACTTGTTTCAATGAATAAAAATGGGGGCTGAGGATTTAGCTCAGTGGCACAGCGCCTGCCCGGCAAGTGCAAGGTCGTGACTTCGATTCCCGGTACCAGAAAAAAACAAAAACAAAAACAATAAAATAAAATAAAATAAAATAAAATAAAATAAAATAAATGAATAAAAATAGACAACATGAGAGGAAAAAGCTCTTTTATCACCTGACCAACCTGGCTTTATAACACAAAACAAACAGGGAAAGTTTTCTTTTGGGATAGGAAAAGGGGCTTTTCCATTGAGGGAACTGAAACAATAATTTCTGTGGTAGAGAGAGAACAACGCCTAGTTAAAAAGGCTATACAGACAAACAAAGTGAAAATTCAGAAAAGTAAGAAACAAGAGGCATGTATCTAGGGAAAAGGTCTGAATTTAGCAAAGGTAAGCAAAGTTGAAAGGTGAATGAGTAATGGGAAAAGTTTTGTAAATGCTCTACGTATATTTAAGTATTTCTTTCTGGAAAATTAAACATTTAAATTGTTCCTGAACTCTACTTCAGTTAAAAAACATAAAATCTGACCAACGAGTCATGTCTAAGCTTAAACTGGAAGAAAAATAATATAATGAGAATGATACATATGAAGGCTCTATGTACAATACAGGGCCTGTTTTTGTTTTTTTTTTCTGTCTTTTTGAGACAGGGTCTCACTATGCACTTCAGGTTGGCCTTCAGCTCACTTTGTAGCCCAGGCTGGTTTTGAATTCCCAACAATCCTCCTGCCTCAGCCTCCTGAGTGCTGGGATTATAGGTGTGTGCCACCACACCTGGCTTACAGGGCCTGTTATACAGAAAGTGTCGAATGTAAAACAGAAGCCAATGAAGTTCACATCTCTCAAGTCCCCAGATACTTCTAATCCCATGGCCGCTGGTGATTTATCAGCATAACTAATCAAAATATACTTCTTACCTTTGTCTTCTCCCTGTTCACCAATAACCCATACTTCTTTGCCTGAAGTTTGTGCATTTAAAACGTTTGTGATAATATATTGTAATCTCTGTGAATCCAGATTACATCCAATTCCAATCACTTGATTTGCAGGAAATGTACTCAGTTTCCATGTCACGTAAGTCATGATTTCCACTAAATGTTGCATAAAAGGTGAAAATACAAAGATTTTAAAAATATATTTCTAGCCTAGCTCACAAATGAAATATTTATTATTTTAATAAGTAAAGTATATTAGAGCTTTTGTATACTTGTCTTGGTTCGTAATGTACTGTGGCATATTTTTAATGTATATTAAATACACTAACCAGGCTTCAAGAAATTTTACATAATTTTGTTGTTTGTAATTTTTTTGGGGGTACTGGGAACTGAACTTGGGACCTTGCGCTTGCCAGGCAGGCACTTATGCCATTGAGCTATACCCCTGGCCCTATAAATTGTTAAGAGTGGAAAACAGATAATTTTCTAGAATAAGAAGGTAAAAAATGGGTATAGAAAGCTAGAAAATAATTACATTTCATGGATGAATTCTACTTTTTGTAACAACGTCAAGCTGAGTTTCTGGTTTTAAATTAAAGTACTGTCAGACATGGCACACATCTTCAAGCCCAGCTACTTGATAAGTGATGCACAAGGATCCCAAGTTCAAGGACAGCCTGGGCAACTCAGTGAGACCCTGTCTCAAAATAAAAAATAAAAAGGGCCGGGGATGTTGATCTCTAGTGCAGCAAAAACAAATTAACAAAAATATTGATTCATATACCATCACTATGAAGTACAGTTTTTTGAACAAAAACAAATTTTTTCTTTCATGCCAAAAGGGTGTCAGGGTTAACAGACCAATGTCCCTCCACCGATTACAGTACTATGGAAAAACAAATGAAATGCATACCCTAACCTTATACTGGAAACACTTTTTAAAAATCTGTTCACCTTTTTCAGTCCAATACTACCTAACTCTTTCAAACATTTCATTTTAGAGTAAAACAGTTTCAAAACAATTTACAAAATACAAAATGCTAGAAATGTAGCCCGGCTTACTCATTAACATTTTATAATATTTCAAAGTTGTTCAAGTATCTTTCATATCAGTGACTGAATTTTTCTTTTGAGGGTTCAACCATTTTCTCACTGCAGGAGGTATGGCTAACGATTAGAACATAATACCACATAATACCACAGTTCAAAGAAACTGCAAGTTGAATCTTCTAGTTATTAATAGTCAAATGAAGGAATTGGCTGACAGGATATGGAAATACCATAGTGCTCAGAATGAAAGCAGTTTTACTCAATATTCTATTGACTATGAAGTTTTACAGCTTTTATCATCAGTAGTGGCCATCCTACCATGCACTGAAACATCATATTAACCGGAAACAGAGCCTCTTACCTGGCTGAGACGCAACGACCAGGACGGCATGTTGGCTGTAATGTGCCAGGGCGGGGACGAGGGCTCGGAACATATCCACGTTGCTCTGCACCACATCAAGGTAGGACTCAGAACGACCCAGAGAGTTGACTGTGAAGATCACCACCTTGGAATGAGCAGAGGCAGACAAATCTAATGAATGAAAAGAGAAAGTCTGAGCTCAAGATACAGACTTAAATCCAGTTCAAATTCATGATAAAAAGGTTTTTCTTTTCAACAAATGGGGAGCTTCTAGGCATACTTGCCCCTAGATCAATCCTATCTCCACAAGAGTATATAAAATACTAAGGGTTAGAGCAAGAGTACTGTATATCCAAAGAGGGGGTAGGAACAGTAGATAAATAAATACAAACAAAACAAATTATAGGATGCAAAACATGAGGACTGAGTTTTCCATATAATTCCTACAATTTTAAGGGAAAATAAGTAATATGCTAACAGCTACTACAATCAGTTATACCACTGGCTTCTAAACTGAGAGCTTAGGGCTCCTTGGGTAACAACTTCTTTCGGTGGCTGCTACAGGTGAGCAACTGTTCTAGCTAAAGGAACACTTCAGTTCTCGCTAAAGGAACGCTAAAGGAATGCTTCTAAAACTCAGGCACAGGTAGGCTATTAGACAGCTGTATTATTAACTGCCCCACCATATATTTTTCACAGTAAGCACACACCCAAACAGTGCCCAGATGTTATCAGCATCAGAAAAAAAAAAACGTAATAAAGTAAGAAGGATGGCATCAGCCTCATACACATTCGTAAGTCCCAAGGGGATGGTAAGTAGATTCCAATGCTTTTATTCTTTTTTTCAGTACTGGGGATTAAACCCAGGGCCTTCATACTGAGCTATGTCTCTAGCCCTTTTTATTTTTTAATTTAATTTAATTTTTTTTTGGCTTTTCTCCGGTACCGGGAACTGAACTCACGACCTTGCGCTTGCCAGGCAGGCGCTTTTTCTAGCCCTTTTAAAATTTTGAAATAAAGTCTCACTGAATCACGCAGGTTGGTTTTGAATTTGTGAATTCTTCTGCCTCAGCCTCCCAGAGTACTGTCATCCCTGCACTCTGGGAGGCTGAAGCAGAAGACAAACATGTGCTCTAACATTTTTATTCTTAATTAAGGCTCTATGGCTATCTTTCTAAACTAGTTCCAGAGGAAACATCTGTGCAGTGTGCCACGGGGAAAGGTAGCATCCAATTTATCTCATATTCTGATGCAGCTGTGGTCACGGCAGATCTGAAAACTAAGTCTTTGATTTTAATCATAGCTCTTTATGAGCCCTCTTTAGTAACCCCTGTGTTCCAGGGTTCAGAGTGGATACCTGGTCACTGTATATCAGAGTGGATACATGTCACACCTTTAAGAACTGGAAAGGGTACAGTTAACATTTTCATGCCATTAACTGATACGAGGAACTGCCCTAAGAGCTTTCCAGATGGCTACTGATTTAATCTAACCCAAACACAGGCTGGGCATATGATCCTCACTTTGTAGATGGGAAATCTGACATACAGAAGTAACTTGCTCACAGTCACATAGCTTGTAAGAAGAGACAAAATCCACACCCAGGCGGTCTGGCTCCAGATGCTGTTAAACACTGGTGTATTTAGAAATATAAGTCCTACCCCTCATAAAGATGAGGGAACTGGTACCTGGAGAGGGCAGGTGACTTGTTCATATCATTAAAATTCATGGAACAGTCTGATTTACAACTTTGCAGCTTGGCCCCAACCTTTCTTGCCAGAATTATTTTTCTTTTCTGCCTTAAGCTTTCCCTACTATGAAACATGAAATGGTCCTTAACCTCATTGTTCACTCATGAGTAAACAGAGTAGTAAGGGTTTAACAGAAGTGCAAAAGTACAAGAAGGACTACATAGTGTGTACGATTTTCCATCAAGCTCCAAGCCTTGTAATCTCTTCTTTTGAGTTTAGAAGTTAGTATTTTTTTTTAATAATCTCTTATATAAATCTTTGGCTCAAGCTGAACTGGTCCTATATTCATCCTCCAAATTATTATGTTGGCATTTGCTCAAATTCTCTTTGTCACTATACTTCCCAGATGTTTGATAAACGTGTGTAACTACAACATCAAACACCTCAGGAGCTCTGTGAAGGCAGCGCTTGCCTGTGTCTTATCTTTCCATCTCTCAGATCTCATCACTTAGCACTGGGAACACTTTCCCCATCTCTCTGCTAGGCCTGATCCCCCAGTCATGGCCATCCAAGGTCCTCACTGTCTGGGTTATTCTCTTGGTGTTTTGGCTTGTAGCTAGATATCCTCCCAAAGCCTCATGTGGTCATAGGTGGGGCTTTTCAGAGGTGGCTGGATCTAGAGTGTGGATTAAGGACATGATGCTGGGACTGATTCATGATGCTATGTTAAGATTAAGGCTGTCCCGTCTTGGGTGTGAGTGCTATCTGCTCTAAGGGTGGGTAGCCTGGATAGGATATAAGGGACAGAAAGAGGGTCGTTGCTTGTTGCTGCTTGCTACTTTGAGGCTTTGCTTCCTTCTGCCTGCTATAATGTGTTTCTCCTGCACCATGCCGCTCTGCTATTCCACCCTGCCTTGGAGCTATTTATACCTGGTCTGTGCTATTCATCTAAACTTCTGCCCATGTACAGCCTTCCATATCTAACAACCCCCTAACTCAGTTCTTACGTGCTAGGCTGGGTACTTACAGATTACCAGGGAAGTTTAATAAAAATGTACATTATCTCACATTTTGAATGTTTCATTTAATTAGGTAATGGGAAATAGCTTTCAGAAATGCAACTTCCCAATAAGTCTGATGCACAGCCAGGTTATGGTAAGCTGTCCCATAGGCAACTAAGTTCTTTGCACTTGGAAGGCATTCAAAGTTTTTATCTGACTCTTCCCTTAGATCTTGGTCATTTAATAAGGGCAGTAAGATTGTATAGTTATAAAGAGAATCAGAAAGAACAGTAACCATGTGATGTAAACTTATGGTTTAAGTTACAAAGTTAAGGATAACAGTAAGATTTCATTTGACAGTAATTAATTCAATAAACCCTGAATAAGTCACAACTAATTGTGCAATGTTCTAAGAACACAGACATGAATAAGATATTGTCTGTCTGCCTGTCTGTCTGTCTCTCTCTATATATATATATCAACAGTTAGAACTGAGGGCTTCAGAATGAGACTACCTGGTTCAATCCCAAACTTTACCACTGACTTATAGCATAGTTTCCTCCTATAGTTACCTGCGACCACGACACAAGCCTCTCACTTCTTTCCCATCTCTATATAAGCCCAGAAAAAACAAAACAAAACTGTATCATTCCTGCTGAGCCACTGGTTTTCTCCAGTTCTAGGCCCTAGACCAGTGGGTAGTCACACTTGTAGCAAGTGATTCTCAAATCCAACACCAAGTGTTGCAGTAGACCCAATAAATACTATTTTGTGCTCTGCTTTATTACTGTTGTCAGAGTACAAGGATGATGTTATGAAATACAAGTTCATTATAAAGCATCACTGATATATTTTATTTAAGCCATGAGAAACCAGGCACCTCTGTATCCAATAATCATGTCTAAGGACTGTGAAGAATTGCTGAAGTATTCTAGTTAGTGTAAGTCTAAATAGATTAAAAATAGTGCAAATATTTTTATTTCTCTGGTGTATTAAACAGTCATCTATACGATGGAGTATTAGGAAGGTAGTCAAAGAAATATATGAAGCTATTTAGAGCTCTACGTACTGTTCATAAAGATCGTTACCAGGCATGGCGGCACATGACTATCATACTAACACTCGGAAGGCTGAGACAGAAAATCATGAGGGGAGGATCATGAATTTCAGGCCAGCCTGAGCCACACAGTGAGTTAGAATCTAGCCTGTGCTACACTAAAAAAAAAAAAAGACTTTAAAAAGTGTAACATTTATTTCATTAGTTAAACAGAACTGCCAGAAGACCTGGCAGTTTAATTTTGAGTACATTTGCCCAAAAGGATGGACACGGGTGCTTTTTTTTTTTTTTTTAAGTGTACCTGAATGCTCGCAGCAGCACTATCACCACAGTGAACAGGTACGCGACTCATGCACGTCCACTCATGTCTGGTTAAATCAAACGCGCTCTATGCATAACAAGCAGCAGTTCTCAGCCACAGAACGGAATGACGTCCTGACACATGCTGCATTATAGGTGAACCTTGGAAACACTATGCTAAGTGAAAGATACCGCGCACAAAAGCCCACGGATTGCCTGGCTGTATTTACAGGAGGTCTCCCATATCTATAGGGCCCACATTTATGAATTCAATTAACTGAAGATCAAAAATATTTGGAAAAAAAAACCCAGCACTGACAAGAGAAAAAACGGTACCAAACATGTACAGACTTTCCCTTCTTGCCATTATTCCCTAAACAACACAGTATAATGATGTACACTGTAATAGGTGCTATAAGTAATCTAGAGATGAGTTAGAGAGTAAAGAGGATTGTGTAGGCTAGATGCAAATACTACACCATTTTATACAGGGGACTTGAACACCTGCAGATTTTGGTATCCTCAGGAACCAATCCCTCATGGACACTGAGATACAACTGTACATAAAATATCCATTAGAGGCAAATCCACAGGGATAAGAAAGCAACTTAACAATTGAGGGAGGGTAAAGTAGGAAGCATTTGCTTAATGTATCTACAGTTTCTTTGGGGGTGATGGAAATGTTCTAGAAAGTAGATAATGGTGATGCTTCTACAACACTGTAAATGTACTCAATATACATTATGAATTAGTACTAAAAGTTATGAAAGGTAATTTTTTTTTTTGGAGACAGGGTCTTGCTATGTAGTTTAGGCTGGGCTTGAACTCACAGTGTAGCCCAGGCTGGTCTCAAACTCATGGTGATCCTCCTGCCTCAGCCTCCTGAGCACAGGGATTACAGGCATGTGCCACCTCGCCCGGCTCTATTAAAGGTAATTTTATGTTATGTGTATAATACAAGAAAGGGATTTAAATAAATATAGTAAGTGATTATATGCAAAAAAAACCTGCACAAAAACACACAGCCAGTTCCCTCATTCTGACTCCTAAAGCAGCTATTCTGAACGATTATTTATTCCAGATTCAGTTCATCATACACAAGCATAATTGTATACATATAAATGTACATGTATTTGCATGATCCTATGTAAATCTCTCCCCCAAATATGATAGCAGCTATTTTAAAAATCCAAATGAAGAAAAGTACAACTTTAGAATAATCAGTCAGCTGTAATCATTTATGCATGTCATGATGGGGTGTTACTAACACTTCCAAATGAGCTTTAATTCCCCAAATTATTAATTTACTTCCTGATATCTTATATTTATGAGATGTTGCCATGACATTTACATTACTCCATGTAACAGTAATGAAAAATGGAGACTGAGAACAGGAAATCTGCCCCAGCTGATGTACACTCATCCACTGTTTAGCAGCTACTTCCCGTCCCTACTTGGTGGCTTGCACCATGCACTGTACATCTATTCCAAGGATTCTGTTCTTTTACATATCTGAAGCAACAGTTACTGATGTGTAATGAGACACACAGGAAGAAATAATTTCCTCAGGTTGGAAATGGATCACAACCTCCAAGGTCCATGTACTAAAGTCCCTTAAAGCAATCTGGAAGATATAAGAGGTCCCTTAAGAACTTCAGTGTCTGAAAATGACAGGCACAAGAGAATACCCAGCTCCCAAAGAGAGCCTCTTCGTGAAGCCTACAAAAGGATCATCAGAGCAACTCCTTCCAGAGACTGAAAAGAACCCAGTGGTTATTAAGATACTTTTCAGCATTAGAATTATAGAAATCAATCCCTAGCACAGCCCCTGGTCCAAAAAAAATCTAGGACTCAGATACAAGCACAAACAAAGCAGACATCTTTAAGTAGAATAACCAAACCTTTGCTGATCTCCACATTAGGCAGGCTGAAGATGTCAAGGTCCATTGTTCCTCCTTTAGTCCCTTCTGAACAGTCTAGAAGGACCAGCTTATCCGCAATGCCCTGCACAATACAGCAAGAACAAGGACAGCATTACAGCAGACAGCTACTCAATTTCAATTCATTAAGGAGTGAGGGCTAGCCAAGCATGGAAGCACATGCCTGTAATTCCAATTATTAGGGAGGCTGACGCAGGAAGATTGTAGGTCTGAGTCCACCCTAGGCAAACTTAGTGAGACTTTGTCCTGGAGGGGGAAAAAGGTTGGGAGTAAAACTCAGCACTCCCTAGGTTCAATCTCAGTCCTGAGGGGCAGGGGAGAAGTGAGGGCTAACACAGTACTTGTGTATCTTCTTAGGAAGGAAAAGTAGCTGGGTGTGGTGGCGCACACCTGTAATCTCAGCACTCGGGAGGCTGAGGCAGGAGGATTGTTGTAAGTCTGAGACCAGCCTGGGCTACAAACTGAGCTCAAGGCCAGCTTGAACTGCACAGGGAGACCTTGTCTTAAACAGACCAAAAAAAAAAAAAGAAGGAAAAGTAACACCACAGCAATAAAAGTGATGTGCAAGCAAGAAATTCTGAACTCAAATAATGTGATCCTTTAGGTTTGACTCCAAAAACCAGCCTCTTGAACAGGGCTAAACTCAGAAGCTACAGGTGGCTGGTTTCTTTGACGGGAAGTGTCATAAGGAAGTCTGCTACTGCTTTTGAGTTTATGTTTCCACTTTGCTATCATACTTTCCACTCTAAAAGTTTAGAATGGCTTTGGGGTTCATTTAAGTATCTCATTCCTGGCATGAAAGTCGAAACTCATGCCTGGTTTCTCTTTTTAAAAGGGAGAATGGTCATAAATCTAGAGTCAAATTCTATTATCATGTGGTGCTCTCTGGAGAGCTCATGGAGCATAGTCCACATGCCTACAAACAGCGCCCTGGCTAGCACGGCGGGCTGTCTGTAAGTGACGGTCCAAAATTCCCAGAGTTTGTAGGTCTTCTCCACAGCGACAGGAGACCTGGGGTAAAATGCCGGGGTAGAAGTACCCAGGGATCTACCAGACACTACAGGGAGAAAGCGTAACAATTGCAAAAACAAGCTCACTGCACTATCGGTTAGCTGTGTAACACTGAGCAGCCCTATTTCATGTGGCTGTGAGATTAACTATGCGCAGGACTGGCACAGAGCAGACCTCTCTAAATTAGGGCTATTAACTTTATCATTAACCACATTCAGAAGGAAAATGCAAAGAAAACTATGAGCTTCCATTTTCATTTCCCAGACACACAAAGATCCAAATATTTAATAACAGTAATTGTGGGAAAACAGGTATCCTCGCACACTGGAGGTGTGAGAATAAACTGGTATAATGGACATAGGTGATAATTTGACAATTTCCAATTTAAAACATTTTAAAATTAAATTTAACAACTCCTTTACTCCATCAATTTCACTTACAGCAATTATCCTGCAAGCTTATTAGTACATGTGAAAAACAATACAGTATGTACAAGGGTATTCAAAAAGTTAGAAACCACCAAAATATCCACCATGAAGCAGAATAATACAGTGGCTTAGACAAGAGCCGCTCAAGCCTGGCTACACCAGCCAAGTGTACAGATCACCAGAGTTTCATTAACATGCAGATTTAGAATAAGATTCTGCATTTCTAACAAACTCTTAGGAGATACAAGTTGCCAGTCTGAAAGCCACAGTATGAGCAGTAAGGATCAAGAATATATGTTCTAGCAAGCAGGCTGCCTGTCTGCAAATCCTGGCTCCAGCATTTATTAACACTGTAACTTTGGGGAAGTTGGGTAACCTCCCAATGCCTTGGTTTCTTCATTAGTAAGATGGTGCTAACAATGCTGCTTAGGCAATGAGGTTGTTGCAAAAAATGAGTCAAATGTTTAGACAAGTGCCTGGCACCTAGTTAGCATTAGTAAAGGTCAGTTACAGTTGCTGCTTCCATTACTACTACTGCCACCACTGGGCCACTCTTATTGTTGCATTAGGTTGAAACTACTAATGTTTAAAAAAAAATGGAACCATTTAAAATAAATTTTAAAAGGGATGGGGATGTAGCTCAGTGGTAGCGTCCCTCCCCTGGTCAGGGTCAGTCCCTAATAGTATTTTAAAAAGAAAAGGAAAAAGATTTCCACCTAAACAGTTTACAGCCAAATAATGACAGTGACAATCATCTAATGGTTAAAGAAATATGACTTCGAGGTGCTTTCTCATGTACACACACAATTACAAATAAAATTAACAAAACTCAGTACTATTGTGGACATCAAAAATTATGGGCGTGGTGGCGCACACCTGTAATCCCAGCACTTAGGAGGCTGAGGCAGGAGGATCATTGCAAGTTCGAGGCCAGCCTGGGCTACAAAGTGAGCTCAAGGCCAGCCTGAACTGTATAGTGAGACCCTGTCTCAAAAAAAAAAAAAAAAAAAAAACTGGGTTGCCATCCACATTATTATTAGAAGCATAAATGAGTTCTGCCTTTCTAAAAAGCAGTCTTGCCATGAAATAAGCCATGTCTTCTGGCACACTGGTACTGTTTTTGAGATGGTATCTACTCCAAAGAAACTAATTTGGATAGGAAAATAAGCAACATACAAAGCAATGTTTACAGAAGCATTTTACTTAATAATCAAGAACTGAGCACAACTCAAATTCCAATTAAAACATAGTGGTGTATTCAGAGGGAGGGTGAAGAAAATGAAACTATTAAATGCCAGAAGTTAGCATCTTAGCCAGCTGTAAAATTTCTGTAGCTCTTCTTGGACATAATTTCATTATTTGCTACAGGAGAACCTACTTTCAGGATATATATGAGTCTTAAGTGGAAAGGAAAGAATTCAGCCAGCAAAACAATCACATCTTACTAGGAATAGAAAACCTAATGTGAGCCACCAAATAAAGGTACAGCATGACACTACTCTGTACTAGACCCCATCTCTCAAGACAAGGAGGTGCTGTTCCCAGGACTGGGGCCCTGGACGCAGCCTCTCTTTTACCTCCCTGGAAGGGCTTAAACCTTTATGTAAACAATGTGTTTAGAAAAGAACAAAAAAGATTTAGAAAATAAATCATAAACTTATATAAATATTAGCTCAGAAACTATGACCCAAAAGAAAATAATTAGATAAGGCACTGTTTTTTTTAAAAAAGCTAATTTTCAAAAGAACTAAAATTAAATACTACATTGAATAAGTTTAATTAAAGTAGTATGACTCAGAAAGCATAAAAGAATTTGTGACTGAGTCAGACAAACACCAAGTAGTTGAAGCTTCCCTTCGATTAGGATGAGCCCATTGTTCCAATCACTTTTTCCAAGTCTATTTGATGCCTAACTACTAAGAGACGTCAATGATGACAGCGCTGTTTGTTTGTTTGTTAACTTAATATATTTTAAGGCAAAATAAGATTTTCCTAATGACAAAATGAAGCTTTTATTTTCTGGATCTCACACTTAAACTGTCTAACAGTATGGCACTATGATAGAAGTATTTGTAACCACTAAGCTCACATACCTTTGCTGAAATTGCTAACGTGCAGGCAATACCCAACTCTCCACCTCCAACCACAGTAATTTTATTGGCTATTTTGTTCTCAGGACTTGTCCAACTCTTTGAATTTATATCTGAGACACCTATAAAGAAAAGTGGGTGATTCTAAGAATTTATAATACCAAAAATCTGTATAGTATGTTTTAATATTCTACTAAATACAGGCTATCCTTTTAAAAAGAAAGCTGTCTTTTCAAACCTCTAAAAAATATCATAGAAGACTCTTAAAAAGTCAGGTTTCCACAATTCTGAAAGACATTCTGACTCTTACTGCTTTGGTCTACACCTTGCTGAAATTTTCTTATCACTGCTGAAGAGCATGTGTTTGTCTTTATTCTCAATGAGAAGTAGTAAGAATTACATGTGGCCCAGTGAACTGAATAAGCTAAAAAGCTATGTAAACATATAATGACAAAGGTTCAGGATCATTAATATGTATGTAGTGGTTTTCAACAAAACAAGAATTAAGGCTGGACGTGGTGGTGCACGCCTGTAATCACAGCATTTGGAGGCTGAGGCAGGTGGACTGCTGTGAGTTTGAGGCCAGCCTAGGCTACATAATGAGTTCAAGGCCAGCTTGAACTACATAACGACCCTGTCTCAAAACAACAAGAAAAATAAGAATTATTTTGGGACGGGTGTGGTGGCACACGCCTGTAATCCCAGCATTCGGGAGTCTAAGGCAGGAGGGTCATTGCAAGTTCGAGGCCAGCCTGGGCTACAAACTGAGCTCAAGGCCAGCTTGACTGCATAGCGAGACCCTGTCTCAAAAAGACAGAAAAAAAAAAAAAAAGAATTATTTTGTCAGTATAAAGTAAGTTTTCACATTTTAGGAAATTGTATTCATTGGAATTGTATGGTAGTATCTTATAATTGATGTATAGGAATTTTTTATTAAACACAAACACGTGCAGATGTATACATACACACACATACATATACACATATATATGCACATGTTTAGTTACAGAAATTAAGTAGTGATTTTAGTGAGAAATTGTAAATTCATAACTCTTAAGGTAATCTGATCAACAAAAATACAAACCTTCAGTGATTTTTGCAATATAGGCCAGCAAGTCTACCTGCCGAGCCTCATCAGATGATGGCAGAGAATACAGGGGAAGTTCCTCTTGAAACTTGGCAATCATTTCTTTAATTAATCCAACAATGACAGATTTAGGCTGTACAACACACACAAAGGGAAAAGTTACACGAAAATTTTGCTAAAGAATACTTTTAATCTGTACACTGTGAGAAAAGAAAGGTAAAATAGAAGCAAAGCTTTTAAATAAGGAGGGGAAGAGGGATTGAAGGCAATGGGATAAAAAGAAGAATCAAGATATATCATGTACAAGTACAAATTCCCTATGATAAATGCGATCATTATGTATAACTAAATTGTACCACTTAATAAAACTTGCAACTATTCTGCAATAAAAATTTAATTAAAAACTTAAGAAGAAGCCGGGCATGGTGGTGCATGCCTGTAATCCCAGCACTTGGGAGGAGGATCATTGTGCCTTCGAGACCAGTTTGGGCTACAAAGTGAGCTCAAGGCCAGCCTGAACTGCATAGCAAGACCGTGTCTCAAAAAGACACACACACAAAAAAAAAAAAAAAAAAATTAAGAAGAAATTTATACATTGTCATACAGTTAGCCAAAAGAAAGTACAGTTGATCATTGAACAATATGAGGGGTTAGGGACCCTGAGCCATGTGAAGTGGAATATCTGAGTATAACTTTTGTAACTGCTAAGAGCCTGCTCTTCACCAGAACCCTTACCAGTAACAGATAGCCAATTAACATGTATTTTCTATGTTATGTGTATTACACATAGTGAGAAATACATGAGAACCCTTTATATTGCAATGTGCAGTTTACTGGACAGGCAACCTGAGATTATTGTCACCCGGTGTTTTAATGAATGATCAGATAATCAAAACATGAGCACGCTTCAATAGCAATAGGAGGTAGCTAGGATGTTACAGTAATACACACACTATCTACTACAGTTAACTTCATACAGTTGTGACAATACCATATCTTTGTGTTTGTTTACACTATTTGTCATTATATGCAAATGGTATCATGTATTATAGTCTGTAAGTTTGGGTAAATTTGGATAACTTTTAATTTTTACAATAGATTTGTATATATTTTATGGTACTAAATGATGAAATAAGATTATCCATATATATTTTGTGCATTTCACATACCCTTTTATTTTTTCAACATTTCTAGTCTATCTGGTTTATCTGAAAGCTTTTCTAAATAGTCAAAAATATTTTTAAAAATCCACCTATAAGTGAACATTTGTAGTTCAAACCTGTTGTCCAAGGGTTGTTATGCTTTAGATCTAAAATGTTCCCCCAAAGTCTCACGTGTTTAAAGTCTCATGTGCAGCATTTAGAAGGTGATTGGAAAAAAAAAAAAAAGACGGTGATTGGGTCATGAGGGCACTATGCTCATCAGTGGATTTTTATAGCAGAATGTGTTGTTGTGGGGTGCACCCTGACCAGAGGAATGGGTTTCTGGGGTGTGGCCTAAAGGGTGTATTCTTGTCTTCAGCTAACTCCTTTCTCTCTCTGCCATGGGATGAGCAGCATTCCTCAACTAGGCCCTTCCACCATGCTGTTTCTGCCTTGGCACAACCAACCATGGACTGAATGCTCAGAAACCATATGCCAAAATAAACCTCTCTTCTTTTAAATTGTGGGTATCAGGTATTTTGCTCCAATCATGGGAAAGTGATTAATACAAAGGTCAACTATATTCCATCATGTTCTCATTTTTCCAAAATTACTACACAAATTATGTGATACTTTTAGTCATTTTAATACTCTTAACTGAAAAATAAAATCAAATTCTATTAGCATAACTATTCTCTCCTAGAGATCTCATGGAAAATACTCCACAAGCCTGTAAAATAAAAGGCAAACAATGGTAAGTCAACATCCCTAAAAATTAGGAAAACAGCATGAATATACTTAGTAGCAGAATATCTAGGCTTGGTAACTATATATATTTAAACTATTTATTTTGAAATAACTTTAGACTTACAGAATAGCTGCAAAAATAGTACATGTATTCTTCACCCAGATTACTCAAATGTTAACATTTTATCATGTTTTCTTAGTTTCTGTCTTTTTTTAATCAAGAGAGAATAAACTGCAGACATGATGCTCTTTATTTCTAAAACCTATAGTATGTATTTCCTAAAATAATAATAATAATAACCAACTTGGTACTGGTTTCTTTTAACTTAACTGGTTAAACAACCTTGATGAAATTCACTTAATCTTTCTCAATTGTCACTAATAATCAATACAATGTGAATAATGAATCCCAATGGCTGTTAGGAGATACAAATGAGTTGATGCAGGGAAACTACAAGGTATGAGAGTAACCAGATGGTTATTATTATCATTATTATTATTATTATAATAATGAATATTTAGTGATAGGACACGCCTTTAAAAAGGGGTTAATTTCTCAGCATTTGGGTTTCACTGTGCAAAAATTAAGAAGATGCCATTGGTCAAAAACTAAAATACCTTCCAAGACCAAGCAGATAATATGAAATATGTGAAGCTGCCACTATAACAAACTCTGGAGAGCTGGTTACTGTGGCAAACTGGGAAGAGCATGCCTACAGGCATTCATCTTCGTATTCCAAGCAAAACAAAGTAAAACAAAACCACCCTGCTCTTCAAACTAATCATATGGAGCTAATACAGCTCACTGAATCCCTCAAGAAACTGCACCCCTGGCCTACATGACCTCTGGATTCCTTCTACCTCCAAAATTCTATATAATTATATTGTGTAATTACAACTGCATCAGGAACCTAAAGGCACTGTAGTACTTTTAAATAGGGAAGCCTGAATAACATAATATCTTTTAAAGACTAGTTTTAGCTTATAATAAACAGCCTCGGAATAGTAAAATGAAATCAGTACTGTCTACACTGAAAACAAACAATCCTCAACTAAATTATAGGACTATCACCAAGTATTTATTGAACAAACAAAACTATGAAAAGAGATGCCAAAGAAAACCAGAGAGAAGAAACAGGTTACATGAATTCCTGCGAAGCGCACAGATAGCAGAATGTCGTTTGAGGATGTAGCTCAGAAGCACAGAGCTTGCCTAGCATAAGGCCCTGGTTTAACCCCCAGCACTGCCAAAAAAAAGAAGAGAGAAAGAGAAGGAGGAGAAGGAGTAGAGTAATAATGGATGGATGGACAACTCATGAAGGAAGAATCATAGGTGACCGATAAATACATGAAAAAGATTTCAATTTCTTAAATAACCAAGTAACTGAAAATTAAGATTTAGCTGGGTGTGGTGGCACACACCTGTAAATCCCACCACTCAGAAGGCTGAGGCAAAAAGACTGCTTGAGTTTGAGGCCAACTGGGCTACACAGTGAGTTCAAAGCCAACCTCGACTATACAGTGAGACCCTGTCTCAATCAACAACAAACAAACAGATTGGGACACCATTTTCATCCTTCCAGCTGAGAAATTTTTACTTTGCTCCATTTATTACACTTGTGAAAATCTTATTTAAATCATCAAGTAATGGAGATACAGACATGTTCATAAAGTAAGAAGTCGGCTCCACTACTGACAACATGGTATGTGTCTTTTCTTTTCCTATTTCTTTTTTTCTTTATTTATATTAGAAAAATACAAAACAGCATAGAAACAAATAAAATGCCCATCACTGCCTATCTCTTGACGCTATGTCCATATAACGAGAGCTAATATCCTAGTGTAAGGTTTTTAATTACTTACAACAGCGATGGCCCCCTGTACACCCATCAGTTTAGAGATGAGCAAAGCTCTGTTTTAACGGTAGCACCCCTGCTTATAGCCCTTCTACAATGACTTATGCTGATGGCAGAACTGGCACACTTTGTTCATCTTTTTTTTTTACAGTGTCTCGCTCTGCAGTTCAGGCTGACCTAGAGCTCACTTCATTTGTCTTTTCGAAGGCCAGTTTGGCAATACAGATGAAAAACTAAAAATATTTTAAAACCTTTGACCCAATAATTTAAAGTTAGGAAATCATTAAAGATACATAAGATATACACAAACATTTATATTTAAGGAAAATCCATGTTGAATTTCTTATAACAGAGCAATTTAGAAATATATTATGTAGTCTATGGCCATACCACCCTGAATGTGCCCAATCTTGTTGGATCTCAGAAGCTAAACAGGGTCGGCCAGTATATTATGGCCCTTTCCCCGCATCAACAGGGAACCATTAAGAACCATGCATTTCAGGCTGGAGATATAGCTCAGTGGCACAGCGCCTGCCTGGCAAGCACAAGGTCCTGAATTCAATTCCCAGTACCAAAAAAAAAACAAAGAAAAACAGCCAACATGCATTTCAAAAATAGCTTAACACAGGAGAAATACTCAATATATTGATAAAAATCTGCAGAAAAATATACAATGTAAGGACTTGTAAAACAGACTGCAATTACATACATCAGTGAAGATGGATTTTTAAAATTCAGTGCTGAGGCTGGGAGTGGTGGTGCACAAAGCCTGTAATCCCAGCCCTCAGGAGGCTGAGGCAGGAGGATCACTGTGAATTTGAGGCCAGCATGGGCTACATAGTGAGTCCAAAGCCAGCCTGAACTACTTAGTGACACTGTCTCAAAAAATAAAACAAAAAATCCCCAACAACTTCATGCTGAGGGTAGGTGTGTAACTCAGTGATACAGTTATTGCCTAACATGAACCAGAACTGAAGTTTGATCCCCAGCACTGCAGACAACAAAACCTTAATGTTCATTTAAAACAAACACATCACAGAATATTACATACTGTCTAATTCAACTTACACAAAGGTCAACAACGGGCAAAACTACAAATAAGTAAATGTAAATATATAAATTACGTAAGAATTTTTTTTCTTTAATTCACTATGTAGACCAGCTGGCCTCAAACTCACAACAATCCTGCCTCTCCACCCTTGGGTGCTGGGATTACAGGTGTGGGCCACCACACTTGGCTTACATAAGAGTATTTAATAAGAAGAACTAAGAAATAATACCTCAGTGTCTTGGTAGTAGCTTTTCATGTGCTTCCTCAAGTGGCAAACGGCTATAAAAAGACACGGAGCAAAACAGTGGCAGGCTCCAAACCTGGAGACCACAGCTCTGCTCAGGCTGCTGTCTTCAGGGTTCTGGGACCTGAGTGACCTTAGACGGCCTAATTTCAAATTACTTTGAAAGATCATACGAAGAATGTAATTGAAAGAAAATGCAGTAGTATTTGTTCAGAAAAATAAAAACTTCTTGGAAAAAATCCAAATTGATCTTACATGGCTCCAGTTCTGGAGATAGGGCAAGTATATTCTGCCTTGAGCATCCACGTGTTTTCCAACTGTGATTCCCATATTTGCAGTTGGCTTCAAGAAGCAAATGGGGGGAGCAAAAGGATGAGAATCCAAAATCCAGAAACGAACTGGTATGTTATACGTGTTACCTAAACGAGACAGACAAACACACTTTCAAACAGTAATGAAGCACACACATTATATTCATGATGTCCGTCCCTGGCATTTTAAGAAACAGAAAGTCCAGTCAGGTTTACACTTAAAGGATTAGTGTAAATCCAGGGCTATTTAGAGCCCTAGCACAGCATGTAGGGAAACAACAGCCAGCTCATCTAATTCAATTCAGTACACATTTACGGGATCCGCAGTACCAGGAGTTTGGGACACAGCACCTATTCTATGTAATTTTCCTCACCTAACCTAAGCAAAAGGTAATGGATACCCCTACAGTTGTGTACATTCTATACTGAAATCATTTACTTACCAGTCCATTTTCCTGTTCACTGTAAGCTAGAGAGGATTACATCTCATTCCTGTCTGTATCCCCAGCACCATCTACAGTGCCTAACATACTAGCCGCTTGCTCCAGAGAAGTTTCTTATGTGAATAAGAATGAACAAAAGAACAACGAATGAATCAAATAAAGTTTGATACCCACCCTCAGGGAGCTCAATAATTACAGCTGCTAACACATAAGCTGAGTGTGATACACAGAACTTCGAGCTGAAAATAACTGTCACCTTGTACAGTGATTCTTAAATTTTACTGTACATCAGATTACCCCGAGCCTGAAAAGCATGTAGATTCCCAGAACTTATCTCCTCGATTTAATAGATATGGGATGCCAACCCCAAATCTGCATTTTAAACAACCTTACATACACTGCCACCCCCACACAAACACTCCAGAAGATTTGATACAAACGGTCTATCCATCTTTTAGAAACACTAAAAGAAATCACCTCTGGAAGCACTCCAGTATTCACAGAAGTGGAAGCAGCCTCTGTAAATGGTAACTACGAGAAGTCAAAAAATGACCTAATGGGTCGGGTAGCTCAGGGTTACTCAAGGTAGAGCGCTTACCTAGCACGGGTTTGATCCCCAGCACTGCAATACATAAACTACTTCAGAACTGGAAAGAGTGTATGCGTCCCCAGTTTTAACCGTATGGGTTGTGCCAATCAAGAGCCAAAAACTCTCCCTTGGTTGCCAGGAAGCCACAGCTAAGCCTTGTAACACAAGGGGAAACTAAACTTAGGCTAAAAATCTAATACACTACCTTAGCTGCTCTATTCAATCTCTTAATACTTGTTCCTGCTTTCATAGTCCTATTGCATATGTCTTTCTTTGTTATTTAAGAACAGCTCCTAGGACAAGAATGCCTACTTGCATAAATTACGAGCTAGATGACTGTAGGAAGTTACTGAACTGTCTATACCTCAAGTCCTTCCTCTATTAAATGAGGTTAATAATATTTCTATCTCATAGAACCGTGATAAAATTAATGTATGTAAAATGTCCATGACACTACATGACATGATAAATACTCTGAAATATACTTTTTAACCTCAAACCTTTTCTTTTTGTTTTTTTGAGATAGGTTCTCTGTATGTAGTCCAGGCTAGCCTTGAACTCATGACAGTCCTCCTGCCTCCGCCTCCCAAGTGCTGAGATTACAGATTTGCACCACATTTGGCAACCTCAAACCTATTTTGGAAACAGGCCGTCTAGAAATAATTAGATCTCTTTTGCAGTATAGTCTTTTTCTCTTCCATCCACCGAAAGAAACTTTTCTCATCCTGATTCCACTCCACTAAGCACAGGATATGCAACTATGTCTGTAAGTTATAAACATTTAACCTTACCACTTAAGGACCTTTCGGCTTACCCTCAAAGCTTCTGATTCAATGGGATATGGTCTGTGCATTGTTTAAAAGCCTCCCAAGTATTGCTAATGTGCAACCAGGACTGAAAATCAGTGCATTACAGACTGCCTCTACCACCTGAGAGTCAACTGTTTTTACACTAGCCTTTGTCAGAACCATACTCCTGCTTTACAGTCTTAGTATTTACAGCCTGGGTATGAACATACCTCTATCTGCTGTTTCAACTCTATGACTATAAAGTCATGTCATCATAGTCACAGCACCATAAAGTGACCAACAGGTACCAAAACACATCATCACATTCAATTTTCTAATGGTGAGATACTCTAACCAGTGTTTTCCAACTGTTAGTCACAATAAATGGCCATGAAATTAACTTAGTGGACTGCAAACAATAATAGCTTAAGTAGAACTGAACAGAAAATAGAATGCAACTGTGATTCCCATATTTGCAGTTGGCTTCAGTACAGTATTTCAGGTATCTATGCACACATATATGCTGGCTAGCTATATAAAAGAATTTTTTATTTTGGGTCACTGTCAAAGCATTTGAAAGCTACTCTTCAAGGACAAATAAAAAAATTCATTTAATATTTCCTAATATTGCTAGAGTGGTAGCCCAAACCCTGTTGGAGCTACTTTTCTGGATTAATCATTACATATTAAGGGGTTGACAATATCCTCCTAGTTGATCAAGAATCTGCTGCCTAGATGGGTGTGGCAGCCCACACCTATTGTCCCAGCTATTTAGGAGGCTGAGGCAGGAGGATCATTCGAGCCCTGAAAGGATCCTTCAAGAGCTGGGCAAGAGTCAGATCCTATGCCTTGCCCTCCCCTCAAAAAGATGATTTTAAAGAACATTCATTAAAAAGAAAAGAAGCTGCTGCTGCCCTCAGTGATTCTCCCCAGCCCCATTCATGCATTTCAACAGACCATGCCTGACAAAACACCCAGTGACACTGATTCCCGGGCCTAACAGCTAAGATTTTACTACTGTGACTTTTACTCTTTTTCTTTTCTTCTTTCCCATCAGCCAATGCCCTACCTTCTACTATTACCACGGTTCTGCAGTGCTGTAGGGTCCCTTAGAGGCAGGTTTTGTCCTGAACAAAGAACTCATCAAAACAAATGTAAAAGGTAGCAGGTTTTATATATTTACTAACACACACGTCTGTGCATGACTGTCCCACTGGGTGGCTTATATGGGACAGTCATACACATACTGTAGGTAGCTTAGAGCCACCTAGCAGTGAGACATACAAATTATGGCCTCTTCATGAATGTGTTAAAGATATTAAAAATGGGAAAAGAAGAGTGCTCTGCAGAGGGAGTGTGAGCCAATTAAAATAGGAAAAAAAGTACACTCTACAGGGTGGGAGGGAGCCACTGAGAGAGCTAGAAGTGACCACAAGGTTAAGGGTGATTATCTTTTGTATCCTGCATTCTGATGTCAAATCTAGGGTGTCCTTTCAAAAACCTGCTTGATTTTGCAGCAGAAGAATCAAAGATAGCATTCTCTAATTAGTCCCAGGTGCAGGACATAGGCTTCAGAGTCCTGGATCTCTGTAATTGATAGGTCATTTGTCCAGCCACCTGTTCACACCCTAATCTCCTGCCTCACTATCCTGACCAAAAAAATCAGAAGTCCCAGTACAGATATTTCTTCTTAAACAATCTACCTGTTTAATGACATTCAGACTTACAACTAAGGTGTGCTGTTCGGACTTATGATCTTTTTCTTTGGTACAGTTCTAAACACTTTGTTGATAAAGCCTCAATGTCTTTTTTGAGGGTAAAGTACACTTTATATAGTACTGTAATTTTTCCTGATTATACGGTACAGTACAGTACTGTAGTTTTATGTTCTGGTATACATTACAGTACTGCACATAAGAGTTATGCAAATAAAAGCAAAGTCACCAAATTGGAGTTGCTTCTGAACATTTTTTTGTTCCAGATATTGCATATGTATACTATGTACAATTCCTCATTTAGGAGTCAACTCATTTAACAGCCTAGTTGCAGGACTGGAATTCACTCAGTAAATGAGAAGTGTTTGTATACAGTCTTCAGATTTTAAGTATTTCTATCATAAAAATATAAATTAAGGGGGCTGGGGATGTAGCTCAGTGGTCGAGTACTTGCCTAGCATGCACAGGCCCCAAGTTCAATCCCCAGTACCACAAAAAATATATATATATAGATAGATATCTTTAATATATTTTACATGTATTCTGTATATATTTTATGTGTCTTTTTTTGTTTGTTTTTTTTTTGCAGTGCTGTGAAATCCAGGGCCTCTTGCACGCTAAGCGAACACTACCACTGAGATGCTTCCAGCCCCAGGAAAAGGTTGTCTTAGTACTATCAGTAACTCTGCCAGTCTACAGCCATGGATTTACATCCCTGGCCCTTTCTTCCCCAGATTAGTAGTGTTGTTACGAGGTTTTGGGATGCCAGAGTCTCCTAGAGGTGGTTTCTAGGTTCTTTGTCTCCTTAACAAAGAATTGGTCAAGACAAACACAAAAGGTAGCAAGGTCTTACATTTATTCAGGGTTAGAAAAGAAACAAGCTCTGGAGAGTGAATTTGGGCCAAGTAAAAGTAAGGAAAGAAGGTTCAATACAGAGGATTTAGAATCAGAATCGGGGCCTGTAGGTATAGCTAAGTGGTAGAGCATTTGCCAAGCATGTGTAAGGCTCTGGTTTTGATCCCCAGCAAAAAAAATATATACATAAATTTCAAGGTAAGTAAATTATAAATAAAGCTTAATCTTATTGAGACAATACAAATGTCTTGGTTACTTTTCTCCTGCTGAGATAAACTACCTGACACCCAGAATTAAGGAAGGAAAGGTTTATTTAGCTTACAGTTTGTGGAGGTTTCAGTCGATACGTGCCTGGCTCCAAGGCAGAGTGGCACACGGCAGGGGGAAAACGTTCATGGTGGCAGAACACAGCAAAGGCAACAAGAACAAAATGGAGGAGCCGCGGGAAGAGCAAGCCTCTTTCCCTTACATATGCAGACTATTCACCCCAGGGCAGGTATAGCACTCACACCCAATCAGTCAGAACTCTAAAAGCCCCCCAGATGACAGCATGTGGCTTTGGGGGGACACCCAGACACAAACCATAACAAAACATCTCTAAAGAATGAGTACATGAAGAAAAAGGGTCATCATGACTTTAACACAATTTTAGAGGGATCATAAGAAATAAACCAAAATATGAGGGCCAGGGATATAGCTCAATGGCATAAGCGCCTGCCTGGCAAGCGCAAAGTCCTGAGTTCGATTCCTTGTACCAAAAAAAAAACAAAAAAACAAAAAAACAAAATATGTTTGTAGTTATACATAAGGAAATTACTTCAATTTTTGTTTCAACTGTAATTGTTTAAATTTTTTTAGCGCGAGCACATATTATTACACTAGTAAAGCTAGTTAACTAAAGAAATAGTAATGAAGGCAGACAAATAATAGTAATCAACATCAAGTGAGGATTTATTATGTACCAGGCACTATACTGAGAGCTTTATTCACTATAATTCATTTCAGCCTCACAACTCTATGAGGCAGGGTCTATTACTGGCCCATTTTACACAAGAAAAAGGTATATTCTTATCTTCCAAAAATAACTAGTGTGTATTCACACCAAATTGATATAATTCTAATTAAAGGAGGGGGGGACAGAAGGTAGCACTGAGACAGATTAGGCCACAGCAGGCTGGTTGCAGAAGTAGGCATGACCTATTAATTGCAAAGTTCCAGGACATATGCACACAACAGTTCTAAAAGCCCTCCATGTGGAACCAGAGTGCTACCTTCAATTCTCATGAGAACCTGAGCAAGCTTTCAACAGGAGCTACACCTGAGGCCAGCCTGAGCTGTGGGAGATACAAAAGGAAAGTCAACACTGAACTCTCGCTACTGTGTTCTTTTATAGGACTCCACTTTCACGCTGTGGAGTGTACTTTTACTTGGCCCACATTCGCTCTCCACAGCCTGTTTCTTTTCTAACCTTAATAAATGTAAGACCTTGCTACCTTTTGTGTTTGTCTTGACCAATTCTTTGTTAAGGAGACAAAGAACCTAGACACCACCTCTAGGAGACTCTGGCATCCCAAAACCTGGTAACAACACTACTCATCTGAGGAAGAAAGGGCCAGGGATGTAAATCCATGGCTGTAGACTGGCAGAGTTACTGATAGTACCAAGACAACCTTTTCTTGGGGCTGGAAGTGGTAGAGTGCTTAGCATGCAAGAGGCCCTGGATTCAATCCACAGCACTGCAAAAACAAAATAAAACAAGAACAGGATGTGGTGCCGCAAGCCGTAATCCCAGCACTTGGGAGGCTGAGGCAGGAGGATCATTGCAAGTTCGAAGCCAGCCTGGGCTACAAAGTGAGCTCAAGGCCAGTCTGAACTGCATAGTGAGACCCTGTCTCAAAAAGACAAAACAAACAAAAGCCTTTTTGTTACTTTCCTACACTATCTAAAAACAGAAATGCTACTAACCAGTGATTCATTTAAATTCATAAGCTCCTTTGTTAATATCTAACTAACCTTGAAATCATAGGGTAGATAAGAATTATCCTTTTTCTCTCAGAATGAATTACCTTAGCCAATTTCCTTCTCCTCTCTTCACCTTCCCTTCCCTTTCTTCCTTACATCTAACCAAGATAAAAGCCAGGAATGAGGCTTTTGAATGAGGAATGTCTGACTGAGGTTCTCTAAGCAGCCAGAGGGGCTGGGAGCTTGGAAAGAGAGGAGCAAGGAAGGAAAAGAAAAACCACCTCTGCCTGTGCTGCCTACCTCCCTCTGCAAACTCTGCCCTGAGCCCAAGGCTAGTTCTCTCCTCTCCAGCCACACCACATTCCTGTGCAGAAGAACAAACTGAATTCCTCTGCATTTTCTGAGCGTTTACCCAGCGCCACAGGAGGTGTCATGGTGGAACACACAGCGGCAGAACGTTCTGGCACTAATATTCAGAGGGGAACATTAGCAGAGGGGAGGAGGAAAAGCTAAGAAGGGTTTGAGATGCTCTACAACTACCGAAAAGAAAAGCCTACTTTGAAAGAAGTCCCCTGAAGTGTTGGTGTCTTTTGGGCTACGTGTTCCCATGGTGCACTGCTGAACGCTAGGAGACAGCAGGCTCCTCACTTCTCTATTTGGTTTCCAGGTCCTTCTCAGCCTTTTCTGCAGCGCACAGTCTCTTTGCAATACCCACGAAGCTCATTTATTCCTAAGCCCTTCAGTCAGTCACTGAATCAACTCAATCATTCAATAAATATTTCCTGAGAATTTCTAAGTGTAACCCTGTACATTAATGATTTGGGATGTTACCCTTCCTGTGATTATTTGCCTGGATTGACTGACTGTAGTTCTGGGGATTGAGCCTAGGGCCTCGGCACGAGCACATCCTCAGCCCTTTGTATTTTTTTGTTTTGAGACAGTTCTTGCTAAGTCACTGAATGGCCTCTTTACAGTCCTTCAGTCTCAGCCTTCCAAGTAGTACTGGAATCACAGGTGTGCACTACTACACTTGGCAGGACGAACGAATTTTTAACGGTGGAATTAAAATACTTCAGGAAAATACTTTAGAACCAAAACTTCACTGGTGTTCTTCAAATCATACTACACAAGCAATCTTCTCTTTCTTCAGACAGGGTCTCGGTATGTGGCCTAGACTGGCCTTGAGCCTGCAGCTATCCTCCTGCCAAGTGCTGGGACTGCAGGCGTGCACCACCACGTCTGGCTCAACCTGCTATAATACCAAAGGGTTAGCCATTTTTGAACGCAGGATGAAATTGGACTGGATAAATGGGAAGAGTTAATAGGGGACTCTTTCTCCCTTTTTTTAGGACAGTCCTATTTTAACCTAGCAGGTCACCCTAGAAACACCCTTGGGTTCCACATTTTTGGAGTTTGGAGTTTCAGCCCAACACTAGCTGGGTAGGCTCAGGTATATCATTTGACCAGGCCAAGATTCAGTTTCACATATGGAATGGGAATAATGCTGCATGTGATAGAAGGAAAGGAGGGGAAAAATAGGTGTGATGGAGAAAAAGATGGGACTCCGGCACTGTTATGGAAAATGGAGATAATGCTCCCCAAAGCCAGTCTGTGTCACTCTTATGCCGCATCCCAGGGCCTACAGAAGTAGTGGGCACACAGCATCAAACGTTCCTTTTATCAGTACTAGGGATCGAACCCAGGAGTGCTCTACTACCGGGCCACATCCCCGGCCATTTTGTACTTTTTATTTTGAGGCAAAAATCACACTATGTTTCCCAAGATGGCATCAAATTCTCAATCCTCCTACCTCAGTCTCCCAAGGAGCTAGGATTGCAGGCGTGTGCCACTATGCCGGGCAAACTGAACTTTCTGGCATTCGTCTAGGCCTTCCTTGAAAGGGACAGAACCCTGCCAGATCCAGTAAGGTAATACTTTGATAATATTATAGCACAAATAAATCTACATTCTTATCAATGAATTGCTCTTTTAGAAAACTCTCATATTTTCTCAACTTCCATACTTACCCTGATACTTCACAGGAATAGTGCCAGTAAAATTCAGCAGGTCCTTCTGGGAACTATCTTTAAAAACTGGAAGGAAAAAAATCCAAAAAAATGCAATCAGGAGTACAACTGGATTAAAAAAAGTGTGTAAATGCATTGGGACACACACACAATATATGCACATACATACATACTCCATAATGTCTACATCCCACGATCAGTGCATATATCAACAAGGGAAATTACTAGATTTTGTTTACTTAGAAAGCTGTGAGGCTAGCTGAATGAACACAGAACTTTGATACTGAAATTTCAAGTTCTTGGCCCACTTTCCCTCTAAGAGGTGTTTTGGTTACTCTCTCTTCAGTTTCATAATCTACAGAATAAAGAAATACTTTGCACGGTTATCAAAGGAATCAAATAAGATGTGAACACTCTTAAGAAGTCTTATAAAATGTGAGGACATTACTAAATAATTGTTACACATAACTAATCAGAATTATAATCACTTTTCTAATCAGAAGAAAAATGATAGCTAAAAAGTAACTTTTTAAACTGGGCATGGAGGGGCTGGGGATACAGCTCAGCGGCACAAGAGCCTGCCTGGCAAGTGCAAGGTCTTGAGTTCAATTCCTGATACCAAAAAAAAAAAAGACCAAAAAAATAACTGGGCATGTTGGCGCATGCCTGTAATCCCAGCATTCAGGAGGCTGAGGCAAGAGGATCGGTGCAAGTTCAAGACTGGCCTGGGCTACAAAGTGAGCTTAATGCCAACCTGAACTGCACAGTAAGACCCTGTCTCAAAAAGGCAAAAAAAAAAAAAAGCCTAAATACATACCTACATACATACATAAAGCAAGCAACCTTTTAGAAAGATTAATAGCTATCTTCTTTGGTTTCTCTATGATTCTCAACCTTTGCTCAACACTGACATCCCTGAAATGTCAACTTTTCCATAAATAAGTGCGATGCTCTGGATAAAAATCAATGTCCTGGGCTGGGGATATAGCTCAGCAGCACAGTGCCTGCCTGACAAGCGCGAGGTTGCAAGTTCGGTTCCGGTACAAAAAAAAAAAAAAAAAAAAATCAATGTCCTAATCTCAGGCTGAAGACAAAGAAACAACACGACTGATTAAAAAAAACTGTATTGAAATGCAGTCCCTTGGTGGCGCATGCCTGTAATCCCAGCACTTGGGAGGCTGAGACAGGAGGATTATTATGAGTTTGAGACCAGCCTGGGCTACAGAGTGAGCTCAAGGCCAGCCTGAAATGCATGGCGACACCCTGTCTCAAAAAGACCAAAAAAAAAAATCTCATCATTTCTCCCAGACATACAATTAGCCATTCCCAACCAGTACCTCGGAGTCAGATGAAGTGGCACACACTGTAATACCAGCATTTGGGAGGCTGAGGCAGGAGGACTGCTGTGAGTCTGAGGCCAACCTGGGCTACACTGTGAGTTTAAGACCAGCCTGGACTACACAGCAAGACCCTGTATTAAAAAACTAAAACAAAACAAAAAAATCTCAGGATATCTAACATATAAATCTGAATAGGTATGTTTTCTTAATTCAAATAACTCAAATTTTAAAAAGTTTTCAAAACTACACTTTACTGATTTGTGAATTTAAAAAACAATTTTTTTTTTTATACAGGGTCTTACTATGTAATCCCAGCGAGTCTAAACCAGCATTTTTATTTGTTTAACAGTGCTGGCGATTAAACCCAGAGTCTCAAACATACTAGGCCAGTATTCTACCACTGAATAAAACTCTCAGCCCAGCATTTGTTTTTAAATAGGACAGAAGAGAAGATATGAGGGGACAGAGCATGTTAGTTGTGTATATACAGAATCATGATAGGAAATACTCTTCTGATAATAGCTTGAGGTAAAAAATTTTTGAAAGATAGTAAGGTAAAATCTTTCTTAGACAATGAAATCCTCTCTATTAAGGAAATGAGATAACCAAAACTTTGTTATTAATAATTTAGAAACAGTCAGGTAGGTGGCAGCAGAATACAGGCCTTCTAAGATGTGTATATCCTAATCCTTGGGAACTATGAATATGTTAACTTACCTGGCAAAGGGACTACATAGATGTGATTAAAATGAAGACTCCAGGATTGGAAAATTACCCTGCATTAGTAGGGTTGTTCTAACCTAATCACACTGGGCCTTAAAGGCGGAGAAATTTTCCCAGCTGTAATGAGAGGGAGATCTGACTACAGAATCATTACACACATGCAGTCCTGCTAGCTTTGAACAAAAAGGAAATCAAGAGCTGCGGAATAGAGGTGACCTCTAAAAACTAAAAAAAGAGGAGAGCTGGGTTTGCTGGTACACACCTGTAATCTCAGCACTCAGAAGGCTGAGGCAGGAGGATTACTGTGATTTCAAGGCTAACCTGAGCTATCCAGTGAGTTCAAGGCCAGCCTAAACAACATAGTGAGACCCTGTCTCAAAAATAATAAAAAAAGGAAGAAAAGGAAAAAGATTCCCCCCGAAAGCTGCTAGGAAGGAACAAAGACCTGCTAATACTTTGATTTTAGCCTAAGTCTCCAAACTACAGAAATTTGTGTTGGGCTCCTAGCCTACAGAAATGGAACAGAGTAAATCTGCACTTTTTTTTTGTCTTTTTGAGACAGGGTCTCACTATGCAGCTCAGGCTGGCCTTGAACTCACTTTGTAGCCCAGGCTGGCCTCGAACTTGCAATGGTCCTCCTGCCTCAGTCCCCTGAGGTGTGCGCCACCATGCCTGGCCTAAATCTGCTTTTTTCTTATGATTTTTTTTTTTGTTGTTGTTTTTTTCCAGTACCGGGAATTGAGCTCATGACCTTGCTTGCTAGGCAGGCACTGTGCTGCTGGAGCTAAATCCCCAGCCCTAAATTTGCATTTTTTTAAACCACCAAGGTTGTGGTAATTTGTTAAAGTGGCAATAAAAAATTATCAGAAAATACAGTGTACTGTATCAACTTAAATTTCTTCAGAAACCTTAAGTCATAGGTAGCTAAAAGTGAGGAAATAAATAAGAAATGAGAAACTATGATTTTGTAGCTCTCTAGGACCAAATAACTAATAGTTGAAATAATGCAATAAAACTAGAGGTTATTATTCTTACCGTAGGTATCCATGGAGTATCTGAAATGTGGGAAAAACATATTTACGTTCTTTAGTTCTTCCACAGTTAGATCCCTGAACTTGTACTAAAAAGGGCAAAATGAACACAGAAAAAAGAAAAGCTTTAAGTAACACAACCATTACAGTTAACACTTTCACATTTGCCAGGTGGCAGGCCTTAGAGCTTTACAAACATGAAAAGCATTTGATTTAACCTTTTAATTAGAATAGAAGTTCAGTGCGCCCATCCCTTACTTTTGTACTGTAAATGGGCACTTTAGTGTAAAAGTAGCTGGCTGCGTATCTCAGGACCTTTCCCTGAGGGATACATAAAGCAATCTATGTTTTTACCCACTTGGTATGATGAATGGCAAGGAGTGTGCACATCTACAAAAGTGGCTAAACAGGATTTGGACTCACCTTTATGCTCCATTTAACTGGTTTTGGGTATGTTTACCCAGGCATCACAGCGGGTCCAACAGACCCTCATCACTTCAGGATTTGTTTTGAAAGTTTCCTTTTGATTTTTCTGGTAGAAGTAGCCCGGTTCAGTACAATGGCACATGAAAAACCAGATTTGCAAGTTCTGGAGATTAAAAGTGAATCACCAGCTTACTCATGCATGGATGATGAAGATGCTCATTATGGTAAAATATATGCTTTCATAACAGAACAGTGGTGTGGGTGGATGATGACTTTGACATTGGCCATGTAAGCCAAAGGTCCTGTGACAGTGAAATGGTGCAAGAATCAACTGATACAGACACAGGGAATGCAGACCTCCTTGATTCAGATGAAAAGGAAAACAGCAATGTGAATACATATTCGACTAGTCAAAATGTGAAATGGCCACAGAACCAAATGGAATGATCCAGTGTTAGATCTAGGTCCAAAAATATACTGAAGGTCTTGGAAGTGGCGAAACGCACTGGACAGAATGCCGGCACTGCCATTCACTGTTGGAAATTATAACAGAGGAAACTGCTACAAGATGACGTGAAATACACAAAGGCTGAAAAAGAAGTAAAATGTTCTGCATGCACTAATAGCCGTATTAAAAAACGTATTTATTATGACACCTTGCTAGCTGAACTGAAAGCATTGATAGGTCTGCTGTACTTAGCAGGGATTTCTTATGGTGATCTCAGGAATGTAAAAGACTTACGGAAAAGCCATAGGTCAAAATACGGCATACAATGTATTTTTTTGGTACCAGGACTTGAACTTAGGACCCCCCTGCTTGCCAGACAGGCACTGTATCACTGAGCTATATCCCTGGCCCTCTCCATAAAAATGTATGCCTTTATAGATGCAAAAACTTACTGTGCTTTCAATTTTGACATTCTGGGACTCAGCCAGAATTATTATTATATTATTATTCGTATAATAACAAACCGAATGATGTTGTGAGCAGACTTGTTTCTCCCATCTCCCAAGCTAATCAGAATGTGACATTCGACAGCTGGTCGACCACTTTCCAACTGATGTTACATTTGCTAACAGAGCACAAGTTGAACAGCGCCAGAGCACAGGAACAAAGCAGAAACTGCGGATGAAGCGATGCAATTTCAAAACAGAAACTGTATAGTACAACCTCTGGATTTCAAAAAGATGTAACACTGGATTCATACATGACAAAGAAAAACAAACCGGAACTGCTGATGTCAACGTTTCACTGCGATGGATATACTGACAGGGAAACCTCGACAAGACGGAGGCCTGAGGTGGTCTTTCACCCACTTACTTAGCACTTGCGTTACAGCCACGCACAGTGGCGGGCAAAAAGAAACGCGAAGGTAAAAATCGCAGACGCTGCCTTCAAAAGAGCTCAGGGCAGGAGGAAGGTTTGCAAATAATCACTCCACCATGGGATGATCGGTGTACTGGCGAGCTGGTGACTCCGTGTCCCAGGGACTGACACAGAGGCTGGGCTCGCAGAGGACGCGGGCCAAGGGCGGGTCCTTTCAGCGGTGGGAACGGCCGGATCGCGGGGACAGTGGGGCCAGGAACGAGGCGGGAGAGGACGGGGGCGTACGCACTGGCGCGGGCGGGAGCTGGCAACCCGGCGCCACCCCGGCCCTGGGGTGTCCCTAGAAGAGACACCAGGGACGCCGGGACCCCAGCTGGCCGGGTGGGCAGTTCGCACCTTGCCAAGAAGCCGTCTCACACCCTCGCAGTCGAACTCCATCTTCAGCCACGTCCCTTAGCCGGAGTCCAGGACCCCAAACCCGCACGGTCTTCCGGGAGCGCACCAGGACGGAAGCCCCAGAGGTCCAGAACTCCTCAGCGCCAGGGCCCCGCCCCTGCCCGCAAGCTATGTTCCAGCCGCGAGATTCCCGCTGCGAGATTCCCGCTGCGGTCAGCTCCGCGGGCTCCGCGCAGCTCCCCAGGAGCCTAGCGCTCGAACCCCGAGCCGGCAGGTACTGGAGCGCGGCCAGAAGCGCGCTGGAGGCCGGAGGGGCGCGGCCCAGCTCTCCGGAGAAGCCTTGGGGACAGCTGTGAGGGAGGCGTAGGAAGGACCAGTGCGGAAGCAGGGAAGGAGGTAGAAGCAACGCGCGAGCTTCTAGAAAGATGTGTGCTATTCAGTAGAACAGCAGAAAAGATCGAGACCCTAGCTGGGCGCCTGCCTGGCAAGCGCAAGGTCGTGAGTTCGATTCCCGGTACCGGGAAAAAAAAAAAAGACCCTAGCTGGGTTTAGGGAAGACGAGATAGTGGACTTTCTGAAGCAGATTTTCAGAAAATTGAAAGAAATTCAGGAGCACCTCACATAACCGGGAGGTGGGACGGTAGTGGAGGTGGTCAGCGTGGAAGGGGACCCCCAGGAAGGTTACTGTCGGTGGGGGAACCTGAGAAAAAGCCCGAGTTGGAAAACAGAAAAAGTTTGGAAACCAGAGAAAGGAGACTGGTGGACAAAGTCAGCTGGAAAAGAAAGATGAAGGAGAGATGGAGGACACAGTAGTTTTCTGGCACTGTTGGTTCTGCTTGGCTGGTGAGGCCGTGTACCTGCCCTGTGTCCCTTGCTTGGGGCAAAAACGTCGCAGGCCTGATTACTGAATCATCAAGAGGTTGGTCAGGCAGGAAGCTGGTTGTATTTATAGGAGGAGCCAAAGGCAAAGACGCTGCGCTCATTTGGAAGAAAGCCAGAAGCTGGAAGGAGCGTTCATTCAAAAAACTTTTTCTGAACATCTGTTATTTGCAAGCTGTTTTTCTAAGGCTGAGGATACAGCATTGAACAAAATAGACAAAAATACCTGCTGTTATAAGGTTGTCCTTCTTTTACTACTGGAGAGAGAGCAAAACTAAATATAATAAGCACATTATAAAGCATGGTAGAAGGTGGTTAAGTGTTGCAGAGAATAATTTTTTGTGAAAATAGGATATGGGGACCAGGGTAGGTCTCACTGAGAGGTCTCACTGAGGGGTGGAGTAGGCATTCAAATTAGAGAGCAACCAAAGCGAAGTTCTGAGAAAAGCAAATGTTTTAGGGAGGCTCAAAAATAAAAAGCAAGGAGACTCGGATGACTGGGGCACAGTGGTGAAGTGAGCAAGCAGAAATAGGAGTGAGAGAGAAAGACACAGGTTTGTAGAAGTGAGCCCTCCAGTGTGCTCCCCACACTTACACCCACAGCATCACTTGAAATGTGTTAGAAATGCAGATTCTTAAGCAGGGCCTGGTGGCACAATCCTACAAGCACGCTGAGAGGCTAAAGCAGGAGGATCACAAGTTCGAGCCTATCCTGGGCAATTCAGCAAGACTCGGTTTCAAAATAAGAAAGGCTTGGGGATGTAGCTCAGGGCAAAGGCTCTGAATTCAATCCCCAGTGTAGTGGATTGACAACTGGTGGTCAACTTATAACCCCCAGCTGTACTGAGTAACTGTGGTGCTGGGTGTGGGAGGCCCACCTGAGGACTGTTGCCAGCAGCATAAGAGGCAGAACTAGAGAAGAAGAAGGAGGCTGTTAGGAGCTGAGAGAGAGGCCGTGGGGAGCTGGCTTTCCTGATGAACTTGGCTGTTTTCATCCTCCGAGGAGCTCGGGACCTCGCTGGCACTGAGAATGGCTTTGGTTCACTTTGGAGAGCTCTGGTCCTCACTTTGAGCATCGCTTCCTGGTTCCGGAGGGGAAGATGGTGCACTGCCGGCCTCTTGGAAAAGCTTGCTGCATTGGTTTCCCTGATGGGAACTCGGCCATCCTGATCATCGGAGGAGCTCTGGACCTCACAGTTGCTGAGGATGGCTGTGGTACCTTTTGGGGGAGCTCTGGTTCTTCTGAGCATCGCTTCCCGGCTCCAGTGCAGATCCCTCAGCCTGCTAGCACAGGTCCTTCATCCTGCTGGCACAGACTTTGTAGATTCCACCACTGACCTTTGGGCCTTCCCAGCAGATCCGTGAAACAGGCCTGCATGAAACATTGTCATGGGTTCTGCGCCTCCAGTTGGATTCATGGGAGGCATTGTTATGAGCTCTGGGTATTCAGCTCAATTCATGTAGGACATTGTTGTGGGATCCAGGCCCTCAGCTGGATTCCTTGGTCTTAGTGTGTGGACAGATTTCCTGCGCTCTTCTGTATACTGTTCTTTGGGTGACTTATAAATAATCATATAAAGTATGTGTCCTGTATTATGTTGTTCCCCTTGCAAAATAAGCCCCAGACCGACACACCCAGTTTGAGGGGGAGGATGTTTGCAGTTTTTAAAAATTTTGACACAAAATTGTATATATTTATTGTTTATAACATGTTTTGAAATATGCATATTGTTCTGGACTCAGAACCGAACCAAGGTGTACTGACCGACAAACACCGGAGCACACGGATCGCCAATTGAGATTTAAAAGTGAGCCTTTATTAGCTGGCCAGTGACTGACTGAGAGCCTCCACGCAGGGTAGGATCAGGTCAGCAGCAAACCAGGGGAGAGAGCAGTATTTAAGCCAAAAAACCACATAAACCGCATCCTACTTGGCAAGCAAGGTCTTTGAGAAGCAGTCTTCCGAAAAACTATAGAAACTAGGAAAATTAGAAGAAGGGAATGACACATCTCAGGGAGTTTCAAGGAGTGGCTAGAATGTGGAACGAAGCAGGTGGGAGAATAGGGTAATCAATAATCTTTTTTATTTATGTCCCTTGTGAGGCCTTTACACATATATTGTAGGATGGCTAAGTCAAGCTAATTGACATAAGAAATTTAGATTCTAAAACTATACACCAGGCCGGGCGTGGTGGTGCACGCGTGTAATCCTAGCACTCAGGTGGCTGAGGCAGGAGGATCATTGAGAGTTCAAGACCAGCCTGGGCTACGAAGTGAACTCAAGGCCAGCCTGAACTGCATAGTGAGACCCTGACTCAAAAAGACTAAAATAAAATAAAACTACAGCAGACTCATTCAATCAGAAATTGTAGAGTTAGAGGAATCTCCAAACTGATTTATGCCAGCAATCTGTCTTTGTGGTGCTAGGCCTGGAATTCAGGGCCTCCAGCCTGCTAGACCAATGCTCTACCATTGAGATGCACCCATAACCCCTAGCAATCTATTTTAACCAGCCTTCCTGGTGACTCTGAGGTGAGGACATCAGAGAACCACTGAGGAGCTTTGTAAATAATTTAGGGATCCTGGCTGGTGAGTGCCTTCCAACAGAGACCAGAATACACCTGTACTTAGACAGTTTGAAGCTGGGTGGTGGCTTGTAATCCTACCACTGGAAAGGCTGGGGCAGGAGGATTATGAGTTCAAAACTATCCTGGGTTACATAGTGAGTTCCAGGCCAGCTTGGACTACATAGTGAGTCCAAAAAAGAAGGAGAGGGAAAAAAAAAAAAAAGTACAGTAATGAGAAAGCAAGCACCATGGGGAACCACTGGGACATCTCAATAAACTGCTTCAGGATTTGGGCAATTTGGAGGAGACTGAAGAAACAAGGCCTTGCTCTGGGTGTTGTGCCTTCACAAAGCAGGGACACTTTTGTGACTGGAATATGTCAATGAACCTTATAAGATGGACAGACGTGAGTGAGGTCAAAACCATAACTGGTAAAGAAGCAGCAGTCACTTGTTTTAGCAGAAAGAGGAGGGGACTTGGTGTTTTGTCGGTTGCACGGCGACTTTGCTCTGATCTGTGTTTAGACAGAATTGTGACGTGGCCGTCTTGTGTTCCGCTTCCTCGAGGTCTGAGTGCCACGTGTGCTGTCCGTGTTCTGTGAGATTGTTTACATCCAGCAGAAGGATAACCTGGCTTAGCTAGGAGCGCGGGGTCAGTTTCCAACAACACGGAGACCCAGCTGCGTCAGACCAGCTCCCGATGTCAGGGCTTGCGTTTTTCTTTCTCAGCCTTTTACTCTGCCAGATAAGCCACTGGAAGGTTTTGAACAGAAGAGTGGTGATCTGATGGAGGTTTTTATTTTCCTTTTATCTGTGTGGTGTTGGCATGGAGCTCGGGGCCTTGCCCGTTACCACTGTGCTACCCCCCAGCCCTTTTGATGGGACTTCAGGAAAATACTGACCGCTGGATAGGGAAGGGATAGTAGTGCAGGGCTTAGCCCGGGGCAAAGGTAGAAGGCAGGAGACAGTGTGGGAGGAAGATAAGAGGTGAAGGACGTGAGACAGCGCAGAAGAGGCCTATTACATGCTCAACCCGACCTGACAAACCTCGCAAAGAAAGATTTCCAGGAGATCCAAGATCAAGCAGATCCTGCTAGAAATTTATTAATCAAGGAAGTGGTAGCAGGTTAGCAGTGAGGACTGAACAAGTTTCTTCCATTCAAACCAAACCACCAGTTCTCTTCTGGGGCAGTAACCATGGACACTTCTTGCATATCTTGCAAACGTGTTTGATTTCCTGTGTGGAAGGTACTTTGCTAAGAGTTTTATGTTTTATTTGGGTGCAGTGGCACACACCTGTAAACCCAGCACTCGGGAGCCTAAGGCTATTACCATGAGTTGAGGCCAGCCTTGGCTACATAAGCAAGTTCAAGGCCAACCTGCAGTGTATAGTGAGGCCCTGTCTCAACTACCCCCCGAAAAATTATGTGCTTTATCTTAACCTTTACAAAGCTTTATGACTTGGAAAGGATTGTTACCTCAATTTTACTGATGAGGAAGCTTCTTTTAAGGTTTCTGAGATCCTGTTGATTAAAGGTGTATTAATGGGGTGTAGTAGCACACACCTGTAATCCCAGCACTCAGAAGGCAAAAGCAGAAGGATTGTCATGAGTTCGAGACCAGCCTGGGCTACATAGTGAGACCCTCTTTCAAAAAATAAAGATGTATTAGTGATAGATTTGGGGGGAGGGATAAAAAGATTAAAAATTAAAGATGCATCCTGACTTTAGCACCCACAGTGATCCTAAAAAAGCTTACATGTGAAAGCATGTGGACCCTGAATCAGAGGATGTGTGTATAACTGGCTCCGTTTTACAGATATGGGAGCCAGAGTCTCAGAAATTACGTGAGGTGATACCAGGAACCATAATCTTTATACATTATACGGCCTCTCTCTGTCTATGATATTGTGATGAATCTTTTTTTTTTTTTTTTTGTCTTTTGAGACAGGGTCTTGCTACACAGTTCAGGCTGGCCTAGAGCTGACTTCGTACCCGCTTCTGGCCTCAAACTCGATCCCCCTGCCTTAGCCTCCCAAGTGCTGGGATGACAGGCGTGCACCACCACCACTCCCAGCTTGTGAATCTTTGTGAACACTTCCCTAGCATGCATGAGGCCCTGGGATTGAACCTGCAGCATCACCAGTAATGATAATAGTAATAATTTAGGACGTCTTTGCCCATTGACATTTCTTTGCAAAATGAAGGTGTCTGGTATAGGCATTGGCCTTTTTAAGCCTCACCCCTCTGCACTCTACCCCAACTTCCAGTCTGACCACCCTCCTCTCCCGAAACTGGTGCTGTTAGATCCTGGCATCTGAGGAAGCTGTGACATTCATTCTTCTCTAAGCACATTGTATTCTTCTTTGCCTCACGCCTTAGCGTCTGCTGCAGCACGGACTGTACTGGTGGTGTACTGTCTACCTCCATCTCCGTCTCCTTCCTGTCCCCAAAGTCTCTGAGGCCCTCGGAGAAAGGGATGGGATCTCATTTGTCTCTGTATTCCCAGTCCCATGTGTGCTTGGATTTATGCATTTATTCATTCTATTAATATTTAGTAAGTGAGATATAGAGGCCTTCTATAGAAAGTTTCCTGAATGAATGACAGTGTAAGGTGAAGAAAACCTTAAGGAGAAGAAGGTATAATGTGTTAGTAATCATTAGCCTTGCTGGGCATGGTGGTGCACACCTGTAATCCCAGCACTCAAGAGGCTGAAGCAGGAGGATCACCATGAGTGTGAGGCCAGCCTGGGCTAATAGTGAGTTCAAAGTCAGTTTGAATTACATAGCAGAGACAGTGTCTCAAAAAAAAAAAAAGGATACAAGAACACAAAAGAGGCCAGAGTGCCAAGAATTTTCAGGATGAAATATTGAGAAAGCAGAGCACCACAAAGAAAGAACTTCGGAGATTTCCACGGGGGTCCTTGTGAATCATTGGCTGAGTGCTGTCTTCACGCACATGTGGTAAAAGTCCATGAGGCTTGGAAAAGAATCACCCAAAAGTAGTAGGTCAAACACTTGTTGGAGCCCCTAAAACACTGAGAGTGATAGAAAATTCCACAGATCAGAAGATCTAATGCAAGAGGCATTAGAAAGATTGCTCAGAAGCAGCATAGCTCAATGTTGGTGATAATTAACCCTACGGTAAAGGCAGTTCTTGGCCACCAGAGCAAAGCCTACAACAAGCCTCAGAAGAATCAGACTGATCCCAAGTAATGTAATTTTAGAGAAAAATCCAACACTATAGCAGGGAATACAGCAAAATCCACAACTAGAAAACTCACCATGTTCAACGTCCATTTGAAAACTATCAGGCATTTAAACAAACCATCAAAACAGACCTGGATACAGTATTACGGAGGTGATGAATCTTCAGAGGAGGTCCTTAAAATGTTTATTATAAACTGGGCATGGTAGCACATGCCTGTAATCCCAGCACTTGGGAGGCTGAGGCAGGAGGATCACTTCGAGTTTGAGGCCAGCCTGGGCTACATAGTGAGTTCAAGGCCTGCCTGAACTGTGTAGTGAAAATCTGTCTCACAAAAAAAACAAAAACGAAAAAGAATGTTTATTATAAATCTTAGAAATTGCTCAGGGGTGTAAAGAAAAATATGAACATGATTTGGAGAAATATGAAAGATACAATTAAAAAACACAAATTGAGTTGCTAGAGAAGGAAAATACAATATCAGATGAAAAATATTGCATAGCATAAACAGAAGATTAGAGCTGGGTGTGGTGGTGCACACCTGTAATCCCAGGACTCAGGAGGCTGAGGCAGGAGGATCATTGTGAGTTTGAGGCCAGCCTGGGCTACAAAGTGAGTTCAAGACCAGCCTGAACTACATAGTGAGACTCTGCCTTAAAAACACAAAAACAAAAACAAAAACCAGAAGACTAGACACTGGATGGGTGGAAGATGAGTGATCTTGAAGACATACCAATAGAAACAGTCCAAAATAAAACACAAAGAAAAGAAGACTAAAAAATGTGTAGGGCATCAGCAGCTATAGGACAGTATCAGCTGATCTAACATACATGGAAGGGAGATCTTGGAAGGGAGGAAAAATTTGACATAATTGCTAACCATTTTCTCAATTTGATGAAAACCAGAAACTCACAGTCCAAGGAGCTCATCAAACACAGGTAGAAGAAACATACAGAAAAGTATACAAAGATAAATTAAAATCAAATTACTGAAAACTGCGGGTCGTGGTGGCACACACCTGTAATCCCAGTACTTGAGAGGCTGAGGCAGGAGGATCACCACAAGTTCGAGTCCAGCCTGGGGTACATAATGAGTCCAGGCCAGCCTGAAATACATAACGAGACCCTGTCTCCCCCCTCAAAATTGCTGAAAACTATTGATAAAGAGAAAAAATTTAAACAGGCAATTACTGAATGATCATTGCATTTACCCTCCTGGGTATTTGCCTTAGACAAATTAAAAGTTATGTTCATATGAAAAAGAAGTGTTTATTCTTTTTTTTTCTGGTACTGGGAATCAAACTCATGACCTTGCTGGTCAGGCACTTGAGCTGCTGAGCTATTTCCCCAGCCCCTGAAAAAGAACTGTTCACAAATATTTATAATGTTTTTGTTCATAATAGCTTAAAAGTGGTAACACCATAAATGTTACTTGACAGGTAAGTTGATAAACAGGAATGTCCATACAGTGGGGCAGTAAAGAAGCTTGTGAGTCCATTTATATGAAGGTCTAGGAAATGCAAAAGCACATCAGTGGTTTCCTGGAGCCCATGGTTTGAAGGGAACAAGACCAACTGCCAAGGACAACAAGGAATTTTTTAGATGATCAAGTTCTTCCCACCCTGATTGTGGTGGTGGTTATAAGGTTGATACAGTTCTCAAAACTCATCAAGTTTTTGGGAACTTAAACTACACATGGGTCAGATTAGAATTTTGTATGTAAATTATACCTCAATAAAGCTTCTGATTAAAAGCAAAACCAAGCCAGGCGTGGTGATGTATGCCTGTAATCCCAGCACTTGGGAGGTTGAGGCAGGAGGATCATCTCGAGTTCGAGACCAACCTGGGCTACAAAGTGAGTGCAAGGCCAGCCTGAACTGCATAGTGAGAACCTGTCTCAAAAAGAAAAAAAAAAAAAAAAAAAGCAAAACCAAAAAATGAATGTGTAGGATTTTTTAAATCAGTTCGCCCAGAGGAATGCCTATGAGGTGTTGTTGTAAGAGAGAAGCAATTTGCACGGTAACAAGTAGAACAAGGTCACCTTCAGTTCAACCACAATGGAGGAGCACCTTTTTGACCCCTGTGTGGAGAAGTCTTTGGCAGAAGGATAACCTAGGTTACATCAAGGGGGTGGAAACTGAGTGAGAAAGTATTAAGTTTTCTCTATATGTCCCTGGATGTCTTCCTGTTGTACAATGAATGTTATTATTTTCATAATTAAAAATACTAAAAATCAAAAGGCTATAAGAGGGCTGGGGATTTAGCTCAGTGGCAAAGTGCCTGCCTGGCAAGTGCAAGGTCGTGAGTTCAATTCCTGGTACCGGAAGAAAAACAAAAAACAAAACAAAACAAACAAACAAAAAAGGATATATGTTTTTACAATGTTTTTGTATGTACATAGAATAATATGAGAATAATATGTACATAGATGTGTCTGTGGGAAGAACTCAGACAGAAGGAAGAAACTACTTAGCCACAGCAAGGGGGTGAAGGGGAACGGTACAGTTGTTAGACTGCAAAAAGAAAAAAATCTCTTATGACTTCTGAGAGGCCATCTAAGCAGTGGGGGAGACTAGAAGCTAGAATGTAGTGCATGGAAAACAGGTGTAGATTGGAAAGGAGGGCTTTGAGTGGGGACCACTTGTTTAGGAAGTTTGTCCAAAAGGGAAATCAATAAACAGGACAGTTAGGGAGGGAGTCACAGATCAATTGGAAGCACTCCTGCCCATACCCAGTATTGAATATTGAACTCAAGGCCTCATGCATGTTAGGCAAGTGCTCTACTGCTGAGCTACAGACATCCCAGCCCTTTTGAGACCGGGTCTCACTAAGTTACCCATCCTAGCCTTAAACTTGTAACCCTCCCGCCTCAGCACAGAGCGCCTTGGGTTCCAGGCATGCAACACCATGCCCAGCCCTTGGAGGCTTTTCTGAGGAAAGGACAGGGATACTTGTGGCTTTTTGATGGTGAAGAGAACCAATGGAGAGAATCTGGCCAGAGGTGTTCAAGAATGTGGGTGGCACTGGGGGTAAGAAAGCCTTCGATACGGGAGAGGAGGTGTCACAAGACAGAGACAGATGCATCACTTCTCAGAACTTGTTTTTTTCACAGCTGCTATAGACCTAGCAACACCTTTCCAAATCCCCATCTCTAATGAAGAAATTAATTAATTTTTGTTTGATTGAGACAGAATCTCACTTTGTAGTGTAGGCTGGGCTTGAATTTATTATGTAGCCCAGGCTGGCTTTGAACTCGAGACAATCCACCTGCCTCAGCCTCTGGAGTGCTGGGATTACAGGCGTGCTCCCCTGTACCTGGCTCCTGTCTCTAATTTTAAAAGTGCAACTTTCTAATAGGCAGCTGGGCCTAAGCTTTGACCTGATCGCAAGCGTCTGCTGTGTGCCCTAGTGCAAGACATTCAGACTCTGAGCCTCAGTTTTCTCCTGGCAAAATGAGAATGGGGTTAATAACCTCCTGGCCGCATAGTGCCGCACTAAGATAACATGCACAAAGAGTTGTGCTTGCTGCTCAGCAGTGTGGAACCAAAGACAACTCTGGCACGTTGTGAGTCAGGACCATCCGACTGATGACGTCACAATGCCCCTCTAGACTCCAACTTCTCCATCAGGGAGCTGCAGATCCTTTGGAGCCAAGGAAAGGAACTGACATGTGAGACAGAAGTCAACTGAGGGTTCATGAGCGAACTCCTTTGCCAAGGTCTTGGTGGACAGTCTCTCACCGTGAGATTGTCTTAGGAATTGTTTTACTTTGGATCATGATCGTGCTTGGCTGGATGCTTTTTGTCGGACTTGCGTGTTACATGGGCGCATTTCCAGAGGTGATGGTAAGTAATGGTCTTGCGCATAAATCTCTGGTCGTCGGTTCTAGCTCTGCCTCACCCTCCCATCTGGGATTTCTCGCTGAATAGGAAATGTAGCTGAGGTCTCTCCACTACCTGGGAGTCAGGGTGGGGTGGGAACAGAGTTGGTTTCCCAGGTTCCGCCCCGTCCCCTAGGAACACTGTTCTTCTAAATTTTTAAATCCGCTCCCCTTGATTTGTTAGCTTCACTTGTTTCAAGATATTATGGGCTGGACATGGTGGCATATGTCTGCAATCCCAGCACTTGGGAGGCTGAGGCAGAAGGATTGCCATGAGTTTGAGGCCAATTGGGCTGCAAAGTGAGTTCAAGGCCAGCCTGAACTGCACAGTGAGACCCTGTGTCAAAAAGATTTAAAAAAAAAAAAAAAGACATTATGGAATTTATAAGAGGTCTTGCTGGAGACAGTGCCTGCCTTCTAGGTTTCTTTCGTTTTTTTTTTTTTCAGGCTGGCCTCAAACTCACTTTGTAGCCCAGGCTGGCCTTGAACTCACAGCAATCCTCCTGTCTCAGCCTCCCAAGTGCTGGGATTACAGGCGTGCACTACCATGCCTGGGTCTGCCTTCTAGGTTTCAAGTCAAGTAGATCAGGACTTGCTGGTAGGAAGGAGAATTGTATGGAGAGGGTGCTTTGAGCAGCTCTTCCAGTCACCCCACAGAGGCACTTACCTAGAGCCACCTCCACCTTTAATTCCCTCTCTCTCAGCCTCCAACTCTGAAGTGGAAACAGCGATGCCCTGTTCTGGAGAGCAAGGCGCGGCGGAGGAGCTGGGCTTTGGAGGAAGATTTGCCCCTGTGAGTGGGTGACCAGGTACATTGGGCTGGGTCACCATTCCCGGAGGACCTGTCGCACTCTGGAGTCTCAGTGGAGAGCTTTTATTCTCCTGGAAGAGACACTAACTTGTGGAGGGGGAAATGGTTTGAAGCACATGCTGGGGAAAGAGGACTTGGGGACAGCTGCTGAGGACAGCTGGTCAAATTCCTTCTGAACACTTCCCGTTTACTTTTTTCTCCTCACAGACACCCTACCAGACCAATATTTTTAACACCAATATTGGGGGGTGGTGAAACTAGAGTTAATATGAGCTTGAGTTCAAGTCCTTACTTGGCAACTTACTAGGCATGTAACTTTGGAAAAGTTTTAACATCTCTGAGCTGGTTTCTTCATGTGTACATAGGAAATATCTGTGTGTTACTGTGTTTGTGAAGATTACATTTAGCAATTCATATAAGGCATTTAATGCAAAGCTTGACAGTATTTAGTGGAGTATTAACTCCTAAGCAAATAAGTCAACAGACATTTACTGATGACGGCATGATCCAGCGCCACACAAGCAGCACACTGCCTCTCCCTTACTCCGCTGCCACCTGCCTAAGAAGCAGGAGTGGCGGCAGCCCAGCTGGCAAACCATCTCCTGGGCTTCTTGCTTCCTCACCCCATTTCATTCAAATCTGTTTATTTTTCTCAAGAGCAATTCCCATTGTGAGAGAAACTAACTCTTGATAGTTTAATAACATGTTGATTACAGGAGCAGGTTTTATGAGATGGTCCTCCAAAAGGTGGGGTTAGCAAGCCCAGTTCCAGGCATGCTAAGAACAGCACAGCAGGGTTAGTCTCGTTTTTCTCTGTGTGCTGCAGGATCTCTTGAGACAGCTTTGGCCCAAAGCATTGTGAGTGTGGGGACTGCTTAGCTGAGCCACTGCCACTCTGTGATCCTGATCCAACCACTCAAACTATTCCAGGCCTCACTTTCTCCAGCTCTGCAATAAGCATAATAAACGGTTCATCCTCCTTCCCTTGTCAGGGAAGTTAGGAGGAGGTTTGCTCTGCATGATGGGGTAATTTCTGTTTCACAAAATGCAAGGTTTGGGGCTGGGGATTTAGCTCAGCGGCACAGCACCTGCCTGGCAAGCACAAGGTCGTGAGTTCGATTCCTGGTACTGGAAAAAAAAAAAAAGACTAAAACAAAATGCAAGGTTTTTCTTCTTTGAACGGTCTTAAGCGTATAAAGTTAACTGTTCATGGTATACATAGGCAGTTCTCCCAATAAACCCAAGGTACTGTTTTTGGCATAGCAGCGTTTTTTTGTATCAGATTGCATAAAGCGAATAGTTAAGCATTTTGGCATTTGCTAAGTTATTAAGGATGTGATGCCAGGTAGGTCCTACACAGCGGGCACAGATCAGAGCCCTTTGGCTAAGGTTTATTCAGCCCCAGCACACCCGGCATCCTGGCCCCTCCATCCCATTGCTGCTCACTCTGACTGGGTCCCCAGCGTCACAGGGGCTGATGTCATAATTGGTATCTGAGCCCTGTTCCCCCGAATGGCCATGGAGTCATGTTAGTTCAGACTAGACCACAAAGATCCTCAGCCGGGAGCTGCCATGCTGGGCCGCCCATCACTTGGTCTCGAATGAAGACAGCCCATTTCCCAGGACTCGGGGCATAGAACACCGCACCTTCCAGCACCACCATTTCCCCCCACAAACACCAGCAGCTGAGCAAGAAGCCCCACGATGATTGTCGTCTTATGGATGCTTCTCATTGCAGGAACCATGTGGAAGGGATATAAATATCCCCCTGGAGGGGTGAGTGTTCTTTCAGCCTTTTTCTCTATTCTTACTTTGAAGTGTAGCCCCCTAGTTTAACATACTGAAGCACGGAAGTCCAAAGCCAGTCATTTCAGAAATAAATACTCTCCTCTGTATTTAAAAAATGTTATGATGGCTTACCTACTTCTATTGATCATTCACACTCTTCTTGGAATTGGGAGAGTTCTTAGCTATCATGTGCTCTTTTATTCATGTTTTCTTGAGTATTTGTGTGTGTTTGTGTGTCTTTATAAGACAGGGTCTCACTATGCAGTTCAGGCTGGCCTTGAGCTCACTTTGTAGCCCAACTGGCCTCGAACTTGCAATGATCCTCCTGCCTTAGCCTCCTGAGTGCTGGGATTACAGGTGTGCGCCACCACACCTGGCTTCTTGAGTATTATTTGTTCTTCAGCTGGAGGTAAAGAAAAGGCTATTTGTGGCTCAGTCAAAGCTTTAGACTTGGGTGACTTAGTCTGTTACACTGATGGTCATTTTTATGTGCAGCCTTTCAAACCATTTCCCCTACCAGCCCACTTTAGCAAGCCCCATTTCACTCTTCCTGAGTAAACACTCACTGGTAAAAAGAGACGGGTAGCAGACGTCTCTTTCCCCTGCTCCTTTTCAGTTCCCGCACTGCTGAGCTCCCCTGGCGGAGGCCTGAGTTCAGACAAATCGGACACAGCCACCTCCAGCCCTTGGCAAGAATAGCAGTTGCCTCAGCCCTGCACCCTATCAAGTACTAGACCAGCCTGACACACTTTTCTTTTCTCCCCCTGCAGACCCCCGTGGAAATAAGCAAGGATGATCCTGGTGAAGCAATGCAGCTTTGAAGCTTACCTGGCTAGCTGTACAGTTCCCGTTACTGGTTTCGCATAAAGTAATTGCACGTTATTTTGTCATATGTGGTTATCACAATTTTTAAGATGAACAAACTTGGTGTTCTGTTAACTTGTAACAGAGAGATGGAGGGTGGGAAGGAGGAGTAGATGGGATACTCCTTCTGTTGGACAGCCTATAAGGCCAGTGTATCAGTCACTTCTCTCTCATTGCTGGGACAAAATACTCGACACCGGAAGTTAAGGAAGGAAAGGTTTATTTAGCTCGGTTTGTAGAGGTTTCAGTCCATAATCAGTTGGCTCCAAGGCAGGATGGCATGGCAGAGGGGCAACAGTTCATGGTGGCAGAAGACAGCAAAAGCAAGGAGAGAAAAGAGGGGGAAACAAGCCTCTTTTCCTCCCTTATATATAGGGCAGGTTACCTGCCTTAGGGCAGGTGTAGCACTCACACCCCAATCCCAGCACTGGACAATGAACCTATCTCTAGATTCAGCTTTCTCTGAAAAGCCCACCCCACATGACCTGCATGAGGCTTTGGGGGGACACATCCAGACACAAACTATAAGAGTAAGATACCTAAGTTTGCTCCCTCTTCTAAGGACAGAGATTCTCTAGAGCTCTTTAGAACTGTTTCCCGATACCTTCCTCCTGAGTCCAAGGTCCAGACTAAAAAATGTTACAGGAAGTGCTAGATATTGTAGCAACTTTAATCCTATTGTATTTTTCCTTGACATTTTCCCAGCTATTACTAGGAACTCAAAGCTTACCCCATGTGGGAAAAGGATTTTACTTTAGTATTGAAGATACTAAAGTAAACTTTATTTCAACCCTTATAATAACTTTCTGAAGCTGGGTATTAGCTTCATTTTACAAAGTAGCAAAATAGAGAGGCTTAAGTGTCTTGCCAATAGGCACAACTCTGGATTAAGACCTGGAAAAAAAAAAAAGACAGAAAAAGCCAGGCACGGTAGCCCATGTCTATAATCCCAGCACTTGGGAGGCTTGAGGCAGGACTGCTGTGAGTTTGAAGCCAGCCAGGGCTATACAAGACCAGTCTGAAATTACACAGCAAGACGTCTCAGAAAATAAGATTAAGACCTGGGCCTTCTCTACTGTATGCTTTGTGCCAAGGCAAGAGTCAAAATAGAGAATGGGATAGCTGATATATAATTTTTTTTTTTGTTTTTTGTTTTGGACAGGGTCTTGCTATGTAGCCCAGACCAGCCTCAAACTTGCAATCCTACTGCCTCCAAATGTTGGGATTACAGGCATATGTCACCACATTCAGCTTTGTGGGTTTTTATTTGCAAGTTTGCTGCTTTAATGTCTCCCTCATCTGAAGAGTGAAACTATCTGAAGATCCTTTTAAAAACAAGCATATGTAGAAACAAAAACTACTGTAATTGCTTAACCCTCAATATGATACGATACAGGGAGTTTATAAAACCATGGGCGGGAATTTAATTGTATAAAACATGCTAGGAAATCCAGGGCTGGGGATATAGCTCAGCAGCATAAGCGCCTGCCTGGCAAGCACAAAGTCCTGAGTTTGATTCCTGGTACCAGGAAAAAAAAAGAAAAAAAAAAGGAAACCTAGGTGTTCAAATCCCACAATCTTAATGAGTCCTTTTAAGGTGGTTTGGAGATTTCACACAGGGACCGGGAACTTGGGGATAACTGACAGCTACATTGTTCAAGAGAAATGCACCCTTTCTAGCAAAGCAGATCTTCAGGGTACAGAGAAAACATTTTATTATTTGGAACGTATTTGTCAAATTGCTTGTAAGATGCTCATTGTGTTAAATGGAACACCCTTTTATTGGAAAGGAAAATGAATCAAAAAGCCATAAACACAATTGTTAGAATTTCTGAATCTAGGATCCTAGTATCTCTTGTATTTCTTCAAAGAGCTAGACTCAACACATTGTAGTCAGGCACATGTCTACATTCTCCGGCCATGCCTGCCCACTACCTCATATATATCCGTAAGACTCAGCTCAGCATCTGTGCTATTATAGGGGACCAGAACCTACTCATTTTGACAAGAGGAACTACAGGCAGCTCTGCTCCTTCCTTCCAGTTTGAGCGTACCTCCCAACTGGGCCACAAAACTAGATTCTATTGTTCTAACCCCGACAGTTCTAACAAGGGTGTCTGAGAGCACACGATACCCCAAGCTGGTAGTGGACAAGGCCAGGTCAGTGGAAGGGGCTGAAGAGATGTGAGTGTGTGAGGGAGAATGAGCAGAGTGTATGGGAGACAAACCAAAACTCAATAATCTAGAGTCTACTTGAGAGTTTTTACCTGGGAAAATGTTCAAGATGATAAGAAATAGTTCAAAGTTTTAATCAATAAATGCAAACCAATAAAAATATCAATAAAATATTTTTAATGCCTACAATTTCTTGTATACATAAATTGTAAAACATTCACCTGTATATGCAAAAGTATATTCTCTTGCAGGTCAACAGCACCAGAAAACAAGCTAAGCTATGTAAAGTTTTTTTAAACTTGATTTGTCCATTATGTAAAAGACATGATGGATTTAATAACTCCAAAGAAATCTATATTCCATTCTTAATTATACACTAAACACCTGAATATTTATTTCATCACATCCACTCACAAAATAAATAGTAGTCTAATATATTCAGCACGCTGAAAATAAAACAACCAGTCTCTCTTCATATATTTATTCTTTCCAAAAATGTTTTGGTCTCCTGCTATAATCTCAGAAATGTACTAATAGCTGCTTTTAAGTTATAAAATACAAAATAACAATTTATTTCTTGGAGAAAATCTTGGGGATTACCATTAAAAAAATGAAATTTTGACTTCCCACAGACTTTCATTTTTGTTAACAGTCTTTGAACTTTCTCACGGCACACATGTAAGGCCGCCTGTGACATGTGGTACCCTGGCCTCCAAAATGGACATAACTGCATTTATAGCTTAGAGAAAATACAAAGACAAGTTCAGAAAGTAGCTTTAAAAGAAAGTGCCCTTTGCTTTGACGTAGCAATGTCAGAAGCAAGTGGGACTGTGCAATCAGAGCTATGAGTTTTATGAAAACTACTCTCCTTTCACATCACTGTTAAGAGAATGCCACACCCACGATCATGTAACATTACAACTGTGAAATCACATTACTACATTCGTGAATTAACATTACCCAATAAAAGGCACATTGTCAAATATTAAGAAAATTTGAAAATCAAAACATGAATACATTAAAAAATCAAGCACTTAATTTGTAAACTTCGATAAAATAACAGCCTACTCCAGTTTCTTCAAAGGCTTGTGAGTTTTTCTTAAGAGTGGTCAGGAAGTGCAGAACAACAAAATGGAAGACAGGATTTGGAAACAAGGCCAAAAATAAAACATAGCTTTCTTTTTCCTTTTTTAATAAGCCACAAGATGTTCTTGTATAATTTAACACAATCACTGTTAGGTAAGAAATGTCCTCGGAAGCGGTAGACATTATGACCTGATGCTTCCTACCAAGTTCTGGAACTGGAGTACAATGGTCCTTTTCTGTACAAATCACTGCACTGTATCATTAAGAGCCAGTAAGTCATCAGAAATTGGTCAGCTTTGATAAGGATTTGATTGTATTAATTTCAGAGCCTGAATACTGAAAAAAAAATACCCAAGAGAAAACATTTTGTGGGGGCACACGAGTGATACCGAAGAAAATGTTCCAAACCTATTTTATTATTAAATGGACTATCACACTACCCTTGAATCATTTTCACTGACAGTATGTGAGAGGGGTGGTAAGTTGATGGGGTTTTCTGCTACAAGAAAGTGAAATAGTGAAACATCTAAGTGAAGAGCAGGGTATTATTCCTAATGAAGAAGACGCCGTTCATGGGCTTCAACTTTATCATGACAGTGGATATATTTTAATTTTTTAAATCAAAGTAAGACACTAGGTATATTTTGTTTCTTACCAAATCAAGACAGTGGATATTTTTAAATTTTTATTTATTTTATTTTTTTTGTCTTTTTGAGACAGGGTCTCACTACGCAGTTCAAGCTGGCCTTGAGCTCACTTTTGTAGCCCAGGCTGGTTTCGAACTTGCAACGATCCTCCTGCCTCAGCCTCCCAAGTGCTGGGATTACAGGCGTAAGCCACCACGCCCGGCTCCATATTTTGTTCTTTAAAATCAAATCAAGACAGTGAACATACTTTAATTTTTCTTTTTAATTAAATCAAGACAGAGGCTTCAACTTTAATCCTTGCACTTTCAAAGTTTGTAACTCAATTCAAAATGAATTAGTCTTGGGGCTGGGGATTTAGCTCAGTGGCAAAGTGCCTGCCTGGCAAGCGCAAGGTCGTGAGTTCGGTTCTCGGTACCGGAGAAAAACCAAAAAAAAAAAGAATTAGTCTTAAAGGATTGGGTCACATGGTCCCACTAAAGAAGGCCAACAATGGTCATCTATGATTCCCAAACTTGAAAAATAAAGACTTTATGGTAAAAAAAGAATATACAAAAATGCCAGGACCTGTTGAACAGTAAGGATTCTTTCTAGGGCAACCTCTCCTTATTCCTGCTCCCCATCCAATGGCTTCAATCCCCAGAACAGTTATTGCAGAACTGTCCCCACGAGCTTACTGTAGACTGCCTCCCAGCTCTGCACACGGAAGAGTCAGGACAAATGTTCTCTAGCGTCAACACAGCATGGCAATTCTGCTGCTGACTGTTATTGAGACTTGGCTTCCTCCGAGCCAGCTCCTTGGTCAGCCTGGCCAGAACGTCTGGAGCGGAGGCCTAAGTGTTATAAAGTCACCCCTCTTTAAGTCATTATTAAAGAGGGGTAAAAATGAAGAAAGTTCCACAGCCCAGGAAAACACCCACAGGAAACACCTGTTCTGCCACGGGGGTGGGGAGAATCTCTTCACAGTGCATAGTTTGAAATCAAAGTGCAATATGGGCAAAAAGAGAAGGTGGTGCTCTTGATACACACAAATTTAGTTTTTGGTTTTTTGCTATTACTATTGGCTAAGGAATTTAAGCTAAAAATGCAAAGTCATTAACATCAAGAGGTACAGGGCACCCTGGGATTCCAAAATATCTTTGTGATTGGGAAGAATAAGGTGGAGAGGAGTCTCACATGTCACTTCCTTATTTTTAAACTATTCTTCTTTTAAATCTAATATCTGAATAAAATATTTTTCTTTCTTCAATATAAAAATGAATTTTTTAAGATCAGCACAGTGACCTTGTCTGTTTTACACTAAAGTCAACATAACAGTAAGTTGGAAAACTTACAATATTCTTATACTGGCATGATTTGTATTTTATTATTTTTTTTTATGATTTGTATTTTAACTTGGAAAAAATTTTTAAATTGCCTAATTATCTAAATCAACAAGAATGCTCAGCATCCAATCCAGAATAATATAGAATACACTAACTGTATTCCCACTGTGTTTTGTACTTCAAAGCCACAAGGATGACATCTATGTGATAATTTAAAGCATACTCTACATTTCAGATTTCATAATCCAAACATATAGATTAGGACAGGTCACTTTATTGCTGGCAACATTCTTCGAAGGGCCAGTTTCTCATAAAGAAGTTGAATTTGGGAGTTGAGGGGTGTCCTACTCACACATCAGCAGATTAAGTCAAGAGACAATCTTTTTTTTTTTCCTTTTAAAGTAACAAAGGAACAACAAAAGACTGGCTGCCTGGTGAGTGGCCCCAATCAGAGTGCATAGCTCATCAGGATCAAGGCTGGCATCTGTGGACGGTTCACTTCACAGGAGCACGCGGTGGGCATTCCATCATCTGCACTACAGATTTTGCCTTGAGTATTCGAAAATACTTCCTGCTCAAATGACAGCCTGCAAATGACAGTATGCATTCCTTCTCCTTGAGTACTCAAGTATAAATCTAAAACGATAAGGGGACTTAATTCAGTCTGAAGGCAGGAAATCCTTGCAGCAGTGATCCCAGAATTTCACAAAAATAAAAGCAGCAGCTAACGTCGCTTTAGCTTCTTGGCCTTTCGACGTTTCATTTCTTCTTCTTCTCGTCGCATTTCCTCTAGGTCCTCTTGCATACCTAGTCTTAAACTGTTGGGAAAAAAATTTAAATAGTATTCGTCAATATACATGAGATTGCCTCTTTCACAGAGAAGAATGAAATCAGCTGGGCAAGCACATGCATTGTGCTGTGCTCTCAAAAATGCCCCAAGGCTTTACCACTGCACAAAGACTAGCAGGACCTTCACAGATCTGACTGTAAGAGAAAAAATAATCTCAACAAAAAATACCTTCCCAGTCCCATTAAGTTAATAAGAGATAAAGATCTCAAAACCTTTGAAAAAGATACTTAATCATCATTAACATTTTATTTTTGTTCTTTCCCAATACTCTGACTTTTTTTTGACATGAGGTCTCATTATGTTGCCCAGGCTGCCCTCACATTCTTGATCTTCTTGCCCGGCCTCCAGAATACTGGCACTATAGGTATGCACAACCAAAGTTTGATATTTTAGCTACCAGTAGTTACAGGACGGGAGGTCAAGACAAAAGAAAGGTTTAATATCACGGGTTGAGATGGAAGTGAACTATTTACTCATAATTAACACTGTATTTGTTACTCCTACTGGAGAAATTTTCACTCCTTTACCATCATTACCTAACAGGCATCAGAAGAAAATCTAATATACCTTCCTTGGGTCCCTAAGGTCAGCAAAGTTACAGGACAGCAAGATAGATGCATTTGATGTGGAAAGAAAAGCACAAGCTTCATAACAAGCGTAGGGAATACAGGCCTCTAAGATTTATTGTGTTGCACAGGAGGCACTGTAAGCACCTTGTCCTACTGTTTTCACCTCCACAATCCCTCCAGGAACATAGCACAGTACTTCCTCATCTAAAGAGATGAGGAACAGCCAGGTGTGGTGGCTCACACCTGTAATCCCAGCACTCGGGAGGCTGAGGCAGGAGGATCACTGTGAGCTCAAGGCCTGCCTTAAGTGCAAAGTGAAACCCTCTCTCAAAAAGACTAAAATAAATAAAATAAAATAAAATAAAAATAAAATAAGATAAGATAAAGAGATAAGGAAACACCAGAAAAGCTAATGGGTATCTGAGGCCCATATAGTATATCACTAGGATTACAACCCAGAACTACGTGGCCCAGAGCCACTGTTTCCAGTGCTGCAGCTGCACTAATGCACAGAAAAGAACTTAGGACATTTTGTGCCAGTGTGTTAGGTTTTGTGCTCACCTCTTTGCTTCTTCTTTCTGCTGCTCCTTCCAACTGCTCTCCATGTAACGTAAGGCATAATCACTTTCATCTTTGTACCTGAGAGAAGGCAATCAAAGTGTTAATCAATACCTGAAAACAAATTCCTAAGCCCTGAGAAGGCAACTCTCCCTGATTTAATACTGATGAAGTTACTCATCCAACAGTGCTTCCTCGGCTCATCCACACTCACTGACAGTACTTTAACCAAGAACATGTAGCTAGGTTAGTGACAGCGCAGGTCAGTGCTGTTGCTCTACTGAGACAGTCTCACTGCACCGCCCAAGCTGGCTGTGAACTTGCGAGCCTCCTCCCTGCATCCGAAGTACTACAGCTGGGGTTACTGGCACACATCACCCATCCAGTTCAGACTGAACCTTCTGTGTGTGTGGTACCGAACTCCGGCCTTGTACATGTCAGGCAAGTGCTCTACCACCCAGACTGAATTTTTAGATCTGATTTTTGACCCAGGTCTTCCTTCCACTTTTTTTATGCCCTTTCTTTAGATGGCCTTCTAATTTCTCATGTTCAGAGGCATCTAAGGGCAATTACTGACTTACAGGGACTATGACAGGTCTCATTTGTTTTACATACATTCAACCTCATTTAACCCTTCCAAAGTGTCATTTTAAAAATAATTTACTCAAGTTTACCTAGCGAGTAAGAGGTGGAACTTTAAATCCTGGTCTTTCCTTAATACTAGTAGTGCTCAAACTGTCGTGTGTGTATATATGAAATCATCAGGGAATCTTTAGCAGATTTGGATTCAGGAGGCCTGAGGGCCTGGGGGGCTGCACTGCTAACAAACTCCCAGGTCTATCACTGCTGCTGCTTCCAAACTGCTGTCCTGGGACCACATTCCCGACAAGCGAAACTTGACACCAAACCAGAAAAGTAGCCATCACATCAGGATGGCCAATCTATCACACAAAGCTGTTCCATTCTTCTCCAATCTATCTTGTCAGGGCAACATTTTAAAAGGGGTACTTTCTGGTCTTTGTGCAAATAACTACACAAACTCTTCTGAATTCTAAAATAGTGTCAAAAGAGTAAATCTTTTGAAAATAGCAGTCAACCAAGGATTTCTAATTATCCACTGTATCCTTTTTTTTTTTTTAATACCAGAAATCAATTTCTCGACCTCTTGCTTGCCAGGCAGGCTCTGTGCCACTGAGCTACATCCCCACTGTAATGGCTCTACTGTTGTTAATGTTTCTTTATTCCCCATAATATGTACTACTCAAAAAGAATGTCCGATTTATTTAAAGCTTCTTTAGACTTACTTTTTCCGGTCATAGCCAAAAATTTCTCGAATGTGCTTCGATATTTCTTCCTGAGGTTCTCCTTCATCTTCAATAAAATCATCCATTTCGGGGTCATATTCATCATCTTCCTCCTCTTCATAATCTCGCTGCCTTTTGTAGCTGGTAGGGAAGGGAAGCCTTTGAGGACCTACAAACAGAAACCGTTATTTGTAAGAACATTAAATCTTAAGGTCCTTCCACAGCAGGTTCTATGTAAATTGAAATTCTGAGAAGTCATTAACACAGTGGCCTTGAAGCTGCAGAAAGCAGACAACAGGCTGGGTCTCAGGATGGTGTCACTACATTCAACCTCCCTTCATCCCTCCAAAATGTCATTTTAACAATCATTCCCTCAAGTACACTGCTGTGCACATTACCCAGGAGGGCCAGCACCATGGATCCCAGTCTTACTAGCAAAGCTGTGTTACACTTTCTAGCTGGGTAGCGCCCGTGCTTCAGGGGTTTCAAAGGCCAGTACAATCTCTCAGATGGGTAAGTAAAAGTTACAAACTGCAACAGAATTATTACCCATCAAAAGCAGCACCTTCCAAGTTCGATCATCATAATCGCATTTAAAAAGCTTAAATTCTGCGCATGCCTGTAATTTCAGTTAGGAGGCTGGGGCAGAACTGCCGGAGCCTTGGAGTTTGAAGCCACGTGCAAAACACAGCCAGGCTCTGTGCTCTGTTTCAAAAATAAAGTCCAACGAAGTAAAAGAGACACCCAGAATTAGAAATAATTGTTTAACCCGTGTTAAGTTTGACCTCAGGAAAAACACATTATCTTATTTTAGCCACTTTGCAGAAGACAGGTATTAATTAAAAGACCAACATCCGGGAACAACTACTGTCTACTCTGATTAGACACTTTCATTCTTCTACAGCTGTGTGTAATATGTACGGCCTGTCTCCCCGCTCAGTCCCCAACCCTGGTGCACTAGCACGCAGGGGCTGTCCTGGGCACTGTTTGTTCGCAGCATCCCCGGCCTCCTCCACCACCAGGTTGTGGTTAACAAACCTTCATTTGCCCTATGCCTGCGACAATCAAAAATGCCTCCAGACAATGCAAAAAGTACCCTTGAGGAGGGAAAGAAGAAAATCACCCTTGGTTGAGAATCAGTGGTCCAGCTGAATTAGGAACTTTAAGGAATTTCACTGGTTGCTTTTTGTATTCTTAACAAGTGCAGTACTCTAACAAGTGCCTCCTAGCGTGAGAAGCCTGGAACAGCACTGACAGCACCAGAGGCTAGGGCCTTGAAACACATTGTAAGGAGCAGAAACACAAGGACAGTCTGAAACACCTCCTGGCATTTACCAGGTGCTTCGCAGTATTTGCTGAATGAACAGTGCACCCAAGGCTTTCAGCTGGCAGTTATTCTGGCCCTTGAAGATAATCTTTTTCATGAAGACTGAAAAAACCTAGTTAAGGCATGCAAGAGTGACCCTATCCCACAAATGACAAAGTTAAGTTTAATGTACTTGGGGACACCACAGCTGCAAACACAAAGGACCCTACATAAGTCTTTCTAAAGACTTTTCCAAGCCGCCATCAATAAAGGAACTCTCAAGCACAAGGCAAACAAAATGTCAGGCTCTATCAATGTGAGTACATTAAAGAGCACACAGAAGCATTGGCGAGGTCCCTAGCTGTATAAAACAAAATACTCTTCCTAATTTCCTAGTGGCAAATGTGCACGTTAGGATGACAGGAGACTTTACCTTGGGCAGGTCTGTAGCCTGATAGGGGAGGCCTCATTCCATTCATCTGTCCATTGCTGGACCGGCTGATAATATTCTTGGAAGAAATTGTTTCCGAGACAACGGTGCACTTGGGCCTTGCAGGAGGACCTGGGCTGCTGACTGTTCGCCCAGGTCCTAAGCTGCTCATTGGTCGCCCAGGGCCTGAACTAGTAACAGGCCGTGCAGCCAGAACTGGGCCATTTATGGGTCGTCCAGGACCACTGACTGGCCGTCCAGGGGGCCCTGAGCCACTCACAGCTCGCCGATCATGTGAACTGCTTACAGGTCGCCCAGGGCCGCCAGAGCTGCCCACAGGTCTTCTGGAACTGTCTGAGCCACTGATGGGTCGTCCAGGGCCACTTCCACTGCTTGCAGGTCGCCCAGGGCCACTTGTACTGCTACCTGTCCGCCCAAAGGGATTTGACTCATTGGGCAACTTCTTAGTCCCACTAACTGACGGCGCAGGCGTGGAGCTGGAGCTGCCATCCTGGCGCCTGGGCACAGCGCCAGAACTAAGCATGTGCCGAGCTGTCCCTGGACTGGGCTGCCCAGGGGTTGAGCTGGACATGCTGCCTGGCTGCCTGACCCCTGGACCCTTAGCTTTACTCTGGGGAGTGACCATGGGCCCAGGTTTGGAATGGCTAGGTTGGGAAGGAGGAAATTTTTTGGCTTTGTGCTCAGTAGCAGATTTCTGAGTCCCACTAGCAGAAGTCTTTGGGACACTTGGTGAATAGGTGCTGGAGTGGGGCTTCCCAGCCCCATTGAAAACGGGTCTGTCGTGACCCTCACGGAGCGAGGGCTGGGAGCTGTTGCCAGGTCCTGCTTTGGTCCTCTCTCCTGGCACGGATTTGGACGCAGACAAAGCTAAATGTTTCTCACTGGCTGTGCTGGGTCTGGGTTTCTTCTCAGGAGGAGCAAAGGGCATTCCTTTGGAAGGATGCCTGTCCCCAGGAACTCTGTTAAGTTTTGTGCCCACGCTTTCTTTCTGAGAGGGTGCCTTTTTAGATACAGCTGGAGGTAGTTTTGCATCTGTCTCCGGTTTCGTCTTCCTATGCTTTCGTTCAAGGAACTCCCGCTCCCTAAGTTCCTGCGCAGTCATAGGTCGCTCTTCTGTTTTCTTCACCACCTTGATCTCCACTGGTTCAAACTGCTTTTTCTCAGCCAGCCTCAGTAAGTCAGTGAAGTTCATGGGCGGTGGGGCACTTTTAAGGGGGACCTTTGGTTTGCTTTCTGCTTTGGGGGGCTCTTGTTCTTCCTGGTACTCCTGCTCCGACTCGGCCTGATTGTATTCCAAGAATTCGTCCTCTTCCTCCATCTCGTACTCTTGGTCTGCTCCCTGGCTGGTGTGGCTTTCCATCGCCTGCCTTCTCTTTGACTTCTCCTCAACAGGAATCCCATTGTAACCATGGAAATTATCCTTTGTCCTCTTGGCCATAGCTCTTGCTTTCTTGTCATGTTTGAGCTCAATTCGTTTTTTCACTAGTTCTTCCTTTCTCCTTTTCTCTTCTAAGGCTAAAAGGCACAGAAAAGGAACATATTATTTCAAGACACCACGGCAGCAGAATGTGCATCTGGAATCAGTAGGTGGCCAAGCCACAATATTCAAGCTATAGTTTGAAGATTTCTAGGAATCAAATGAGGAAGTCATTTGAATAAGTATCAATTGAGTCATCTTTACAGTCTTAGTGGGTCACAAGTGGGCTTTTCTTATGACTAAGCAAGTGAGAGACTCAGTTTTCAGTTTTAAATATAGAGAACAACTTATGCCAAATAAGTTACCAAGTTACGTGAACATCAGTACCCACTGACAAGAGGCTAGTAATTATAAATCGAATACTTAAACTTACTTTGTTATTTGCAAGAAGCAAAAGTACATCTTGAACGCTATAGTTTTAAAAACATCACTACTTTAACTTTTTAAAATAGCACTCCTATTAATAAGAATACAAAACAGGAATAATGTCAGAACCACGGATAAATAATAAAGTTCTTACTGGGGACTGGCCAACCTAAAGACAAGTTCACTAAATCTAACTTCTCTTTTTTTTTTTTAAGAGACAAGGTTTTGTCCAGGCTTGTCCTACGTTCCTGAGTTCAACTGATCCCCCTGCCTCAACCTCCCAAGTAGCTGGGACTATGTGTGTGTGCCACTACGCCCAGCCCCAGAAAGCCTTTAATTAAAGGGGGGAATAAAAGAAAATTTCTGTGGCTGGGGATATAGCTCAGGGGCATAAGCGCCTGCCTGGCAAGCACAAGGTTATGAGTTCGATCCCTGGTACGAAACAAACAAACAAACAAAAAACAAAGAAAATTTCTATGCAAATGACCAACATAAGAACACGCATTAAAGCTATACATAAAGTTAACCCAGGCATACATATACCTACACACCCCAAATTCATTGGCCTGCTGTTTTTAGAAACCTCTGCTGATATCCTCAAAAAAACAAAAATAGCTGGTTGTAGTGGCGCACACCGATAAGCCCAGCACTAGGGAGGCTGAGGCAGGGGGATCATTGCGAGTTTGAGGCCAGCCCGAATTACACAGTAAAACCCTGTCTCAAAATGACACACAAAGAAAGATGTGGTATGTCCCCATGATGACTGTAATCATTATGTGCTGCAAACATGTGCTATTTAAAATTAAAAAAGAAACATCCACTGGTAAGTACAAACTAGACATGAAGATAAAAGACTTTAAAACTGAGAATAAGGACAGAGATACATACCCTTTTGTCTGAGCTCCTCGTTTTTTCTTCTGAGAAAAGCTTGTACAGCTGCTGATTGGACACCTTTAACTTTTGGGTCTTTCTTAGGAGGTCCCACGGCCAAACTATACCTTTTCTAACAATAAAAACAGAATAAACATTATAAGCAATTTGATTTTCAAAATACTCTAAGACTGGGGATGTAACTCCCAGGTAGAACACTAGCCTCTCTTAAAAATAAGCACCTCAAAGTTCCACTTTTCAAACAAACAGAAAAAACTCCTTACAACTATTTTCTACTCTGACTATGCCTATTCCATATGACCTCTTTCTTTGGAAACAAGGTCTTACCATGTAGCCCAGGCTGACCTTGAACTCATGGTGATCCTTCTGCCTCAGCCTCCTGTTTTCTGGGATTACAGGTGTGCACCACCTCGCCCGGCTTCTATATGATCTTCTAGCTGGGACACACACTGCAAAGGTTATTTGCTCAGAACATGGAAACACTGGGATTTTGATACCAGAGGCAAAGGCTAGGCCACCTCAAAGAAACCTTGACAAGCACCGCAAGCAGTGCTTGCCTGGCATGTACGAGGCCTGGGTTTGCTTCCCAGCACTCCCCACCAACAATCATGAACAAATACCAGAAGCTGGGATAGGGGTTACACACCTGTAATCCAGCTACTCAAGGACTACAGCAGGAGGATCACAAGTACAAGCTCGGCCTGGGCAACTTAGTGAGACTGTCTCAAAGTAAGAAATAAAAAAGGGGCTACAGGTATAGCACTGTGCAAAGACCCTAGGTTCAATCCCCAGTACCACAAATCCATAAATACGGGGTGGGGGGTAGAGGGGAGAACTTAAACAGAGAGAAGAGCCCATTCTCTATACCCTTTCATCTATCTGTACAGCTTCTATTAACTATCAATTTGCTACACAAACTGTCTTTTAGAGAGGTCACCAAAAGTGCTAATATTATCTGTCACCCAAGATACTTCTCTGGACTTAAGTTTTTATGTAACTGCAGAGGGAAATGACTAAAACAAAAATAATATTAATTTGAACTATGAAAGGAAAACTATTTCTATTTTACAAGGATCCATTAGAGAAGTATGCTAAATGGAGACCTACCAGAGATGATTCACCTTTAAGGTCATTCTACATTAAATATATGAATCAGGAAAGAAGATTTTTAAAATGATTTTTTGCAGTGTTGAGAAAAATACCCAGGGTCTTGTGCATATTAGCCAACCACTCTACCACTGAGCTACACCCCAGCCCTGGAAGTATGATTTGAAAGTATTCTCCCTCTTTTGTCATGTTAGGAGATGCTATTCTTAGCTACTTAACCTGCTGCTGTTTGTAGAAAAAGAGATCCCAGGGAGCAACTTATAAAACAAAAAAGTATTTCTACAACAATGCCTATGAAACTCCTAGGGGAGCCAAGCGTGGCGGGGCCCACCTGTGACCCTAGCACTGAGGCTGGGATCAGGAGGCTGAGATCAGGAGGCTGAGCCAGGAGGATCGCCATGAGTTCGAAGCCAGCCTGGGCTACAAAGTAAGTTCAAGGTCAGCCTGAACTGCATAGCAAGACCCTGTCTAAGAAGAAAAAGGAAAGAGAGAAAGAAAGAAAAATAAAGGAAACTCCTGAAGAAAGCCGAAGGATCTGTGCTTTTTATATGGTTGCCAAATACAGAGTTTCTTGAAACAGGCTGAAGTTCCGACTAAATTAGGCTACCAATCAAGCAGCGGGGCAAGGAGGCAGGCCCTAACCCAACCTGAAAGTCCTGCACGATGGCAGTGCTGAGCGGACACAACCCTGACAGAGAAATCCCAAGGCTGCATCCAATTCTTCCCCCAGCCACCTTGGCTGGACATAATAAGATCTCTTAATTAGTCTGTATCTTTGTAAAGTAAACTACAGACTCTACAGTGAATAGGGGGCCCAATACCTGAGGAAAGGAAAAAGAAGGAACAACAGACTAAAGAGAAAGAGAATATTGCTAACCTAACTAGATACATAAAGTTTACAAGAGAATCTAAGCCTAGGCCTTATCCATAAAATTACCATGGCAATGTTACCATGAATAAAAATACCTAATTTGAGTTGATAAACACATACAAAGACCCATAGACAGTCACACACTAACCCCTCTATCCATCAGAAAGACCTGGAAGAGAAAACCTGGATTTTGGTTGCCAAGACCTAAGACTTTCCTTCCTGCCTAACTGCGTACATTGTTGGTAAGGCTGGGGATGTAGCTCAAGGGTAGAGTAACTGCCGAGCACGTGAAAGGCCCTGGGTTTGAACCCAGCACTACAAAAAACAGCGCACGGTCACCTGCCAAATCACAGCTTATACAGGGTTTGCTTAGAAAAAAATGTGGCTGTAACTGGTTACTCATCTAGAACAGGGCGGATTCGTTGTCTGGGTTATCAGAGCACTGAGCTTTACCTAACGTGGTTTTCTGAGATCTTGTCTTTCACTGGGACTCTGAGACAGAGATGGGGATATGCCCGCTCCCCAGCTCCTTACTGGACACTGTACTCGAAAGAGAAAGTGTCAGTCGCTCAGTTTAGCTGTGTACCAAGTGTCCAGCACCTGCACATTACCTTCATGATGTCTGCCTGTACTTTTCTCCCAGTTTTCTGAAACAGGATCTTGCTATGTAGTCCAGGCTGGCCTTGAGTACGGGATCCTGCTGCCTCAGCTTCCTGAGGGTCAGGATTACAGCCATGTGTGGCTCCTATATTATTATGGACTAATTTTTTAAAATTAAAGTAGTCTACATCGCTGAGCTTTACCTCAGCACTAATATCCTGAAATGACTGACTTAAAAACCTAGTTATATTCTTAAAATTCATATAAAAATATGTCACTATTAAAATAAGGGTCGGGGATATAGCTTAGTGGCACAAGCACCTGCCTGACAGGGCCAAGATCCTGAGTTCAGTTCCCAGTACCAAAAATAAATAGATAAAATAAAATAAAACTATCACCTGAAATCCTGTATAGCCAGGCCTAAATATACTGTCCTTTAAGAAACACTGATTTAGAGGACAAAAATATAGGAAAGGCACACAAACAAGCAAGTGGGTATTCAAGAACTCAGCTTTGCTCTGAAAAGAATTACACAGACTACTTTTAGCTTTTTTCAAACTACTCACCTATTACAATTCATATGCCTATTTCAAATTCATTTTTTTTTAAAATAACACTAAGTATTGTTGGGTATGGTGGCACATGCCTATAATCCCAGCACTCAGGAGGCCGATTTGGCTCCCCAACCCCCAGGGCTACAGCCCAATAGAGAATGTGTGTGGGGTGGGGCGGGCTTCAGGCTGGGAGTATATTACATTCTATTTAATAAGGCAGAAGAACTATTTGGCGCTTTCCCGTGCGTCAGATGGTCACACGTAGCTATAGCAGCAGCATATCAAGATGTAGCCATCAATTCTGAATCTGATTCAAGGCACCAGACTGCTTCATTGTTTCAGCTTCATGAAAAGCAGTTGGACAAGAGTTTCTTTGATCCTAAGCATATCCATTCTATTACACTGGAAGCCAACTCAGTTACGCTGCTGGACCCCAATGAATGATCCACAAGGGTGGTGCTTAGGCTATTTAAAGACAGCACAGAGATTTTGCCAAGATTTATAATTTTGAAGCCAACAGACCTACAAAATAAAGTCACTTTGTTTTATTTATTTTTGTCTTTTTGAGACAGAGTATCTCTACACAATTCAGGCTGGCCTTGAAGGTCCAGGGATACAGCTCAGTGGTACAGGCTAGCCTTAAGCTCACTTTGTAGCCCAGGCTGGCCCAGAACTCGCAGCAATCCTGCCTCAGCCTCCTGAGTGCTGGGATTACAGGAGTGTGCCATCACGCCTGGCTGACCCATACTTTTTGTTTGCCTCTATCTCCAGGGTATCATTATGTGGCCAAGGCTGGCCTTGAACTAGCTATGTAACCCAGGCTGGCATCACAGTTATAATCCTCCTGCTTCAGTCTCCCAAATAGCTGGGATTATAGGCATGTGCCACCATGCCCAGACTACACTGTTCTTGAAAAAGAAACACTATACACTATACATATAGCAGACTTCTTTTGAATACATAGAGCTTGCAGCCTATCATTTTATATCCAGGCTACATCAAGAAGCTGCATTAGGGCTGGTGTTAGCTCAATAGCAGAGTACCTGTTCGCATGTATAAGGTTTGATCCCCAGAGCTGGGGGGAAAAAAATTAAATTACAGAATCTACCTCACCCCTAGAGACATCTGAACGTGTCATCTCAGTTAAAGTCCTTGGGTACCACGTTTAGTACCTACAGCTCTTATCCTTGAGGTATTACGGACCTGCAAATCCATACATATCTAGTACTACACACAAAGGATTGTTCTTCCCCTTTTGGGGTCCGGGCAGGTCACACCCAACCCTATCTTATCTGTGATGACTTTCACATCACAGGGTCTGTGAAAGGACCATGTGACTTGTCTCATGTACTATAAACCGTAAGTTACAGCTACGTGAAACTTACAAGGATCCATATTCTAAGCTGCACTAATCTGTCAAAACCACTACTTTTTCTTTTTGCAACAGAGTCTCTTTATGTAATTTAGGCTGGCCTTGAGCTCACTATGTACCCCAGAATGGGCTCCAAATTGCAGCAATCCTCCTGCCTCAGCCTCTTTAATGCTGGGATTATAGGCATATGCCACCACACTTGGCCAAAACTCTTGTTTTTTTTTCTTTTTGGTACTGAAGCCCACAAAGAAAAGCGGAGTGCAAGGTTACCAAAAATATCTTTTCTCCTTTAAATAAAGACAAAAGTAGCAACAACGACTGGTTACATCACCTTGATCAGCTGTTATTTTGTATTCAATTTTCCACTGGGAAATGACAGTGTGCCTAGTATAACTTAGCATGATGCAATCCAACCTTTGTTTGAACTACAACATTATGAAGATAACTTACTTTTTAAAAGAAATAAGGGAAGGGGCTGGAGATTTAGCTCAGTGGCACAGCGCCTGCCTGGCAAGCGCAAGGTCATGAGTTTGATTCCCGGTACCATAAAAAAAAAAAAAAAGACAAGAAATAAGGGAAAAGATTATTAGGGAAATGTCAGAACAAGGTGAGCATCCCTAATCTGAAAATCTGAAATGCTCCCAAGTCTCAGACTTTTTAAGCGCTGAATGGCACTTAATAAGAGGAAAATTCCATATCCTGACTCCATGTGATGGGTCCAAGTCAAAACACAGGCACACCAAAACTATTCCATAGAATTATCTTCACTGTACGAAGGCATACATGAAACATCAGTGAATTTAGTGTGTAGATGACTCCCACCTCCATATCTCATTGTTTATGCAAATACTACACAACGTGAAAAATTCTGAAATCCAACGCTTCTGGTCCCAAGAATTTCAGACAAGGGATTACTCAGCCTGTATCTCAAGGCAGCTGCAACAAACACCTCTTCCAAATAAAGCTCTGCAAAGAGTCCAAAGTGCTTCCATATGTTTTGGTTTTCACTCTCTCGGATTTTAGTTGAATCATCACTAATCATAGGATTTCCTTTCTGACCTAAGCACTCTGGAGACTAAAATCTGAGTGTTAACTCTAGTAGAATCCAAATGAAATGGCTAAAAGGAGAAAGAGAAGCAAGCAATGGAAAAGGATGCAAAGCCTCTGTGGTTTCCACACCATTAATCAAATTTAGGTCAAGCATCTTGTCAGCATCGGGGGCGCTTGTGTGTCTGTCTTGAAATGCTTACTAGCTTGAATGGTAGCTCCTAAGGATACCCGTTTTGTAATACTTTAGTACACTGTGTGGAAAGTCTCGTATTTTTAAAAAGTGAGGGAGGCTGGAGACTTCAGTTGTATCAATTATGCTTTATTTCTTTCAGAAACATACGGTGCTGGGGGTAAAGCTACCTGGCAGAGCACTTGAGGCCCTGGGATCAATCCTCAGCACTGTAAACAAACAAAAGCTTCTGTTAATGTATGCTAAACATGCAGTGTGGGCACATGGGGATGTGTCAATGTTCTGTATCTTGGATGTGTTAATATTCTGTATGTTTGTCAAGGACCCAAATTATTTGGGGCTGATAAAGAAAATGAAAGTAAACAGGAAAGATGAATCAAGTTAAAGCAAAATCATGGGTTAAATTTAACTGCTATTCAACTTCTATTCAGTAGTTTTCTGTGACTCATTCTATGCAAAAAGATACAAGATTTTAATGCTGCTAAGTGAAACTTCTAAGTTTACTAGCTTTTGAAGAAAGAGAATTTGCTTCATAGAATGTCTGTTAAATATATATTCATCTGTTAAATTTTGAAGTACTTCACCATTTGCCCTTTTTTGTTTCCACTTCCTGTATTGCAATCAGAGATGGATAGTGTGTATCCTGAAATAAACACATATTTTGAAGTTTCTCCATCTAGGTTTGCCATCGGCTTTTCACCCAGCAGTCACTGACTTCAATAAGAACTAACTTGGCTCTGCTTCTTCCATCAAAGCTAGTATGACTTATCCTTGACTTCTACTCAAATTCAAGATTGAGAATTAAATAATGAACCAAATTATGCAAAGACAAATGATTACTAGACCCAAAATGTGTCGGCACCTAAAAAATTTACAGATGCAACCAGGTGTGGAGGCAGATGGCTGTAATCCCAGCTCTTGGGAGGCTGAAGCAGAAGGACTACCGTGAGTTCGAGGCTAGCTTGGGCTATACAGTGAGTCCAGCCTGGACTACACAATGAGATCTTGTCTTTAAAAAAAAAAAACAAAAAAAAAAAAAAAAAAAAAAAAAAACATAAAATAATTCTGCCGTTTAAAGTTTCAAAGTTTTGGACCCACAGCTTCACCATGCTTGGAGAATAATTATTCTGAATACCAGAATAGGGGATGACTATATCTACCTACCTGTCTGTCTATATATATAACTTCTACATATATCTGCTCATATAAAGTCAGTGGATAGGGTTGGGGATTTAGCTCAGCGGCACAGCGCATGCCTGGCAAGTGCAAGGTCGTGAGTTCGATTCCCGGTACAGGAAACAAAACAAAACAAAAAAGTAAGTGGATATAGAATTTTACCCTCAGACCAACATTTCAAAAGAATAAAAGGGAGGAGGGGGAAGGGATGAAAAAGGTAATTGAGATATGTCACGTACACGTACCAACTCCGCTTGAGGAATGTCATCATTATGTAATGCAAACATGCACCCCCCAAAAAAAATAAAAACGAAAAAAAAGGGTAAAGGACTGGATAAGAAAAGAGGCAGAAGAGAAAAAACCAACATTGCAATATGCAAAAATCTAGCCAACGCAGAGCACACAGTGAGAGCAAGAAACTCCAGTTGAATTGACTTTAAGATGCGTTGGAGTTCCATACCTCAGTACTCAAACCGCAGGTATCACAATAGTTAATCCGTTTACAGCTGTGCTGTGGGTACCATCTGAGGATCCCGAAATGATTAGTTTATGCAAAATAGCTACAGCCCCACAAACAAGACACTCTCCACCACGTTAGCATTTAGCTTTCAAACCAACACCACTCTAAGCATATCAGGCGTGGTGGCGCTCGCCTGTAAACCCAGCACTCAGGAGAGGCTGAGGCAGAAGGACTGCTGCGAGTTGGAGACTAGCCTGCGCTACAAAGTGAGCTCAAAGTCAGCCTGAACTGACATGGCGAGACCGTGTCTCAAAAAGACACACACACACGAAAATCCCTGCACACGGAAAATTGAGGAGGCTCGCCCCTGTAATCCCAGCACTGGGTAAGCTGAGGAAGGAAGATCGCAGTGAGTTTAAACCTGGGTACACAGTAAGTTCAAGGCCAGCCTGAACTACTTAGTGAAACCCTGTCTCAAAAAACAAAAGAAGAAAAGCAAAAACAACAGTGAATTGGCAAACACTCAGCAACTTAGACGTAGATTTCAAAGAAAGATTGAAATCTGCAATGCTACAAGAAAAACGGAAGCTGAAACTACCTACCCCCCGCTTTTTCTTCTGGTACTGGAGATCAAATCAAAGCCTGAAACATGCTAGTCAAGGTCTACCACCGAGCTACATCCCCGACCCAACAGAAGGTCACACTTCTGCTGGCCAAGGAATCGTAGAATCCGCCCAGCTTTTCTTCCCGACAAAAAAAGGTGAGACTCCCCGCTTGGCAAGTGGTAAAGTAATCACCTCGTCGGCTCAGTGGGTGGGGCCCGAATCAGAGAACTCGCTCGAAACCCGGAGATCCGCGACAAGCCTGCCAAAAGGCTTATCACACCGAGTTCCTAACAGCTCTGAACTCCCCTGGAGAGTCTTCCTCCTCAACCTGCGGGCTGCAGTTCACAGCGAAAGCCAGAAACTACCGGCGCTAGATTCCAGCCTGCGCCAGGCGGGGCTCACTCAGCTGCTCTTCCCCAACTCTCAAACCTCTGAACCATAAAGTCGCCGTTGCCGGGCGAACCACGCTGAACCCTCCCCACAAAAAGGCTCTCGCTTCCTGTCCCAAGCCTCAATATTCCCAGAAGCGCAAACCCAAGCAAAGGAAATAAGTCGTCCAAGTCCACGGGCCACGTATCCCGAACTTGAAGACCGGCAGTACGGCTGCTACTCACCGGCACATTGTTGACACCTTGTCCTTTGGAGGCTATCAGGAGAATTTCCCTGAAGTCCATGTTCGGCTGATGGGGGGACTGGTCCACGCACTCAGAAAGCAGTGCAAGCGCGCCTTGCGGAGGCGCCCGGCTACGCAAGTGAACTGCCTCGGCAGCGCGCGTCCACCCCTCCTCCACGAGACCACTTCCGTCGCCTCGCAATGCCGTCTGCCCACCGATTTCGCTACAGCTGCTTATATACTCCCAGTGTCCCGCAGTACGCCCTATCCGCGTAACTTCCTCTTTCACGCCCAAGACACGTAAAACGTGATACGTGGCTATGGCGTCAGCTCAGGGGGGCGGGGCTAGACCCTTTGCCAGCCAACGAGAGGCGGCCTGGTAGACTGGGGGTGTGGCTAAGGCTAAGGGAGAGGGAGCTTTCCAGGTGGGCGGGATGCGGGGTTTGGCTGTCCTTGATGTTGCTTGTAAGCAACCAGAGTAGGGAAGGAAAGGTGTGGGGTTACTTGCTAGGCTTGTTTTCTCTGAGTATCACGGGTGGGCGCCCACATCCGAAACAGCGACGCCTCAACTGCACAATCAATAGGTCTTGCGCTCGGAATTTCGGTTACGGTTTCTTGGTGGTCAGGAAGCTGCGCAGGCGCACAGGGCACAGACTGGTCCTGGATACGCTTTACTCATCCGGACCTGGCGCGTGGTGTGCGTTCACGGTTAAACAGATGCACGCAAACTGGGCATAGAGGCAGGCGCACCTCCTTCTGCTCCTTCTAGGTAATAAGCGCCACGAATGACAGCCCACCTGTGGTTTTGATCGGAATAAATGAACGGATTGCTTGTACAGAACCAGCCTGGACATACTTTGATGCGCTGATGAACATTTATTTGTATGCTATCTTCATAGTCACTGCCAGTCTGGTCCTCGCTTCCAGTGGAGGGTTATCTTGGGCTTGTAAGGTCATGTCCACACAGTGAAACACATGTAAATAATTAAGCAAACCTGGCTCTGAGGGTGCGAACCGGCCAGGGCTTGACAGATAATGGGGATTAAGGATCTTTTTGTGATGGAAATACTCTGAAACTGGATTGTGGAGATGATTGCACAGTTCCAAAAAACTTACTGTACACACAAAGGAGTGAATTTTAGAATATACATTATACTTAGTGAGATTTAAAATATTAGGCAAAACTTTTGGGCCTTAGCAGGGCACAATGGTGCACGCCTATAATCCCAGCACTCTGGGAAGCTGAGGGAGGAGAGTTGCAAATTGCAGCACAGCCTAGGTCATTGAGTGGCTTAGTGAGACTCTGTCAGAATCTTTAAAAGAGGAGTAGTGTGGGGCGGGAGGTGTAGCTCATCTTGAAGACCCTGAGTTCAGTCCTTAGCGCTTTTTGTTTAAAAAAACAGGAACAAAAAAAACTTATTGGGCTTAACTCTTTCAATTGACATTTGATGCTGAATTGGAAATTGTCCCTTTCAGAATGCCTAAGTAATAGGCATTCAGTCCTTGGAAGGGCTGAATTGAAATATTGAACTTTTAGCCGGGCGTGGTGGCACACGCCTGTAATCCCAGCACTCGGGAGGCTGAGACAGGAGGATCGTTGTGAATTCGAGGCCAGCCTGGGCTACGAAGTGAGTTTAAAGCCAGCCTGAACTGCGTAGTGAAACCCTGTCTCAAAAAAGACAAAAAAAAAAAAAAAAAGAAAAAAAAAATTTTGAACCTTTCTATTGCCCTGGGGAGCCCAGCTACAGACACCTCTGCCACACCGTTCAAAAAACATAAAAAACATATCCAGCTGTTTTAAATTGTTCACATTGCAGGAGTACACTCCTGCACATCTTTTACCGTTAAGATTTGTGAGTTATCTGGAGGCTAACTAAGGTGTAGCATTTTGGGGGAAAAAAGTCAAATTTTAAATCTCATGTGTAAAGGTAAAACAGACATCTCTGAATTTCCTTCAGGTGGTTCTCTTTCCCCAAGTAGAATGATCCTTCCATAGTCTCCCATTGTTCATAGAATAAGGACTCCAATCCCAGCCTTACACCTAACTAGCCTGTAAGGACTGCCGTGGTTTGCCTTGACCCACTTCTATAACATTATCAACTCAGCTCTTTCATTCCCTTACATGTGGTGGGTTCTCCTCCACTCCAGTGACACAATGATAACATTAGACAAAAAGTTAGCAGAGTGTGGTGGCACACCTCTGTAATCCCAGCATTCAGGAGGCTGAGGCAGGAGGATCGTTTCAAGTTTGAGACCAGCCTGGGCTATAAAGTGAGCTCAAGGCCAGCCTGAATTACATAGCGATACCCTGCCTCAAAAAAAAAAAAAAAAAAAAAAAAAAAAAAAAAAGAAAGAAAGAAAGAAAATTAATCATTAGCAAGCTGGAGACAGGTCCCTGGGGGCTGCTTGAAAAGCAGAATGATTTTTCTTTACTTTCTTAAGCATTAGCTGTCGGTAAGATCCCCACAAGCTTGTGGTCTTAAACATTAGCTTAGCAGGACCAGGGATTTAGCTCAGCTGCACAAGCTCCTATCTGGCAAGTGCAAGGTCCTGAGTTCGATTCCCAGTACAGAAAAAAAAAAAAATTAGCTCAAGAGAATGTAACATCTCTCAGTGTAGCTGGTAAGGTCCAGGCCCTATGTAAAGTTCAGACTATTCCTGAGGGGTTAAAAAACCTAACAGGGGCCTGGGATTTAGCTCAGCAGTGCAGCAGACTACCTGGCAAGCACAAGGTTGTGGGTTCAATTCCTGGTTCCCCCCCCCAAGGAAAAAGTCCCCCAACAATCTAGGCCAGGTGTGGTGGCACATGCTTGTAATCCCAGCACTTGGGAGCCCAAGGCAGGAGGATTGTGAGTTCAAGGCCAGTCTGGGCTATATAGTAAGACCCTATCTCCAAAAAAAAAGTGAGTTCAAGGCCAGCCTGAACTACATAGTAAGACCCTATTTCAAAAAACAAAACAAAACAAAACAAAAAAACCCTTGCAGTTTTAAAGCAGACTAAATGGAGATACCCAACTGAAACTACTCTTGAAAGTTGGTAAACACAGCCCATTCTATTTGTACAACAGTAACATAGACAGGGATTAATCCCTACAGGGATGACAAAAAGGGCAGGATCCTAGACCCTTACAAGCTGGGGATTTAGCTCAGTGGCACAGCGCCTGCCCAGCAAGCGCAAGGTGGTGAGTTCAGTTCCTGGTGCTGGAAAAAAAAAAAAACAAAAAAAAAGTAAAAATAAAAACCAGATTTGTATTTTTCCTGGGACAACTAGGGATTTAAAAGGCCTTTTTTTTGCTACAAACCTTAACTCTTCACTTGGATCTACAGTTGCCCAATAAATAACTAAAAGTAGAACAATTTGGCTTCATTTTGTATCTTTGTCACTTAAAACTTGGGTCACATCACTTCTGAGCTCTACATACAGATATGTTGTGAGAAATGAATTAACTTGTCTGGAGCTGCCCCAAAAACTGGACTCCGGGGGCAGCAAAAGCCGGGCTGTAATCCGTACGCTTGCAAGAGTGGTGCCGGCGTACACAGACAAGCACACCAGAGTGGAGAAGCTGTGTGCTTTTATTCCTGATTTGAAAGATGTCTTCCCCATCTCCCAGGGCCTGGGGTCTGGGTTTCACAGTCTGTCCAGAGCAATCCATCTCGGCCCACACTTACTTCCCTCCCTCCCTTTCCCTTTTTGCCCCTTCCTCTCTCTGAATTTCTTCTTGTAGGTATTTACGGCCTTTTGGCTTCTCAGGACCATAACTCTGGAAAAGTTGGTTAGCAGTTATCTTTTACCCCAGTCTCTTATCTCTGGCATGAGTCTTTACAGCCTGCATGTTCCTGTCCGCTGTTTGACCCAGCTGATTCTGTGAGTAAGGGCTTATAGAGTGCTTAATAAAATATGAACCATTAAAAATATTTGGATCGCTTATATATCTGAATCAGGAAGTGCCTGTCTAAAAATTGGCAGAACAAGATTGATTTGCCCTGAATTAACATAATTTCACTCCCTTCAAGACTGAAGACACCAGGATAGGCGATTTCCAGGGAACCCAACCATGCCTGACAATCTCCAGCCATTGGTTTAAGCCTTTGATCAACTGGGAATGAAACCGTCCCTGTGTCATTAAGATTCAGACGCTAGGACTCCAGGACTGAAATAACGATCAACCAGACCCCAGCCCACAGTTAATCCATAAAAGCTGGCCTCCCACCTTTATGGGTGCCCCCTGCAGCTCCCTAAGCTGGAGCCCTTTCCTGTCTCCTGCAACATTCCAATTAAACCTCTTCCTGTACATTTTTGCTTTAGTTTTTTTGTTTTGTTTTGTTTTTGTCTTTTTGAGACAAAGTCTCACTATGCAGTTCAGGCTTACCTTGAACTCACTTTGTAGCCTACACTGGCTTTGAACTCATAGCAATCCTCCTACCTCAGCCTCCTGAGTGCTGGGATTACAGGCATATGCCACCACGCCCGGCTTTGTGCTTTAGTTTTAATTTCCTTTGTTACTGAAAGCAAGGGTCCAAACTAGCCAGTGATACCAGGGCCTTTGAATGTACTCTTCTTGATCTGATGTGTTCCCCATAGTCCATTTGCTGGATCAGCTCTAACTCACTCTTCTCACAAGCCTTTGGTACGTGGTTGTCTAGCTAGGTTCAAGACCCAGCTCTACTGATTCCTTAGGAATTGTAGGAATTTAGGCAAGGGCTTTCTGTACCTGAGTGGTATAATCTATAAAATCAAATAACAATGACAAGGTTTCTGTAAAGTAATACATCTGAGGATTATGTGCTAGTAACCTGGTCAAAGTTTTATATCATATGTTGAAATCTTAACTCCCAGTACCCTAGAGTGTGACTGTATTTGGAAATGGGTCTTAAGGAAGTAATTAAGTAAAAATGAGGTCGTTAGCCAGGCAGAATGGAGCATACCTATAACCTTAGTTATTTGGTTCTTTTTTGTTATTTTTTCTTTTGTTTTTTGTTTTTTTTTTAAGAGACAGGGTCTCGCCATGTAGTTCAAGCTGGTCTGGAACTCACTATGTAACCCAGGCTGGCCTCAAACTCAAGGTGATCCTCCTGCCTCAGCCTCCCAGTGTGTGCCACCACATCCAGCAAACCCCAGCTATTTGGGAGGCTGAGGCAGGAGGACTGCAAGTTCAAAGCCAGCCTGGGCAACTTTGTGAGACCTTGTCTCAAAATAAAATTTAAAGGCAGGGGAGATGTAGCTGTAGTAAAAAAGAACTCCTCCAGAATGGCCAAGGCTTTGGGGTCAAACCCCAATAGGAAGAAGAAAAAAAAAGAAGGAAAAGAGGTGGTTGAGATGGATCCTAATGCAATATGGTCTGTGCCCTTATAGGAAAGGGAAATGT